AGTTTTTTTTTTTCATAATAAACAAACTGCTATTTTTAGCGTTGGATGGAAACGATCGGCTGATCAGACGATAATGTCAGTCACAGGTGGCAGTCGTTCGTTTCGATCCAAATCTTTCGACAGGAGAATTGCACTTTCGGATATTTAATTTTGAATCGAATATGGACAAATTATATCCCAAAAAATCTCGATAACTTAAGTACAAAGTCAATACAACACGCATAGATTGAGTAATCAAATGTAAATAACCAATCAGTCGCTAATGAGATACAAGACGTCGAATCGTTTGAAACGATTTCAACCCTCAATGAACTTGCACTCAAAGCTTGCTATGTACTGTCGGCGCCTTCCGTATATTCGTGTGTAGTATTTCCAAGGGGCATTACGGTCTTGACATTGGTTTGAAAAGCGATTTGATATTCGGCGCCTCGCATGATCATTCCCGCTATCCCGTCGTCGCCTTTCCTAATCATATTCGTACGGAATGACTGACAAGCGTCATAAAAATTACAGCTCTTGAACTTTTCAACTTTACTGCTTCGTTCGCTATCGAGGTCTCGCCCCAATTTTAACAATAACAGAGCACGCGACTAGAATGCGTTATTTGGACATTATAGAGGCAAGGTTATTAGTCACAGATATGAATGCTTTTGTAGCATTGTAGTTTACAAGTAAACTTGACGAGGTAAAGGAATTAGTTATTTGCAGCGATTGGGACTAATTGAAGTGTTAGTTAAGCAGTTTGCTAATAATCACGGATTTATTACTTGCCTCACAGTAATTACTGTCGGCTGTATTTTGCATTTGAGTGTGAGCTCGTATTTTGCGTGAATATTGTAATAGGTGATCATAGACATAGAAATGTTTCAAAAAATTAAACATTTTAGAGGTATATGAATACTGCATTAGATACGTCCTTTGTCAGACAAACTAAGATCAGGAAATGCGGCTGAAATTTTAGATTCTAGCGTATTACAGTTCAACTTGAAGCTATTAGTATTTGAGGGGTTTGGGGTAATTGCATTATAGAAAGGCGGTAGGTTCGAATTGTTGTTTGTTATTGCGTTGAGTAACTCACGTTTTGCTCGTGTTTTTAAATAACGACTGTTTCGCATCATATGAGGTAAAAATATGCTTACGAATGAAAAGCACACTGTCCATACGTTTGAGCTGCTGTAGTGAAGTAGAAGTTCAGTTTCAAGTTACTGAGAACTTCTCCTCATCACTCGACTGTCAATCAGACCTTATCGTGCGGCCGTCTGATAGTTTTACCCTGCTGAATTATATTTCAATTCAAATGATGCTTAGTTTGTCAACGACTCTTCGGTCAAATTTAAAATGGATTAATAATGAATTTCGCACGGTTGAGTGATGATGCGCCTGGAAAGTGAAGTACTCCATTATAATACACTCAATAATATACTCGATAAAGTAATCATTTATACAAATACGTTTCATATATTATGATTATAATACCAATTTGGTATTGCTGTGTGAAGTCCGCTTAAGAAGAATGAATCAAATTTACATATTTTGAGTTTAACATACGGTAATTCAGGTGGTGAATCCATTGGTTTCAACTCACTTGGGTATTTTTGGCTACTGTTTATCCTACTGGCCTGGGACGAAATATTACGGGGCTGACTGAAACTGAACCGCATAGGTGTTGCGACGTGCAAACATTGCTCGCTTTTGTGTGTTATTCATTTTATTTCTTGTTTCAAAAATTTCAGACAACAAGTCTGTCAGTGCCCAATTTCGATTAATAGGTTTTGAACGACTATTCCAAATTTGAAAAGAACTGAATTTGACACTGATTTATTGAAAATAACACAAGCTGATATACAGCCAGCGGCCACATGGATATGTATTGAAAATATACAACTCGTTCCAAAAAAGTGTATCCAATATTGTTGTGTATCTGAATTACTATTTTTGGAAGTGCAAATAGGTTCATGGAGCGATGGAATCGCAATACTTTGTTTGGCAATTTTTTCCTAGTATTACAGTATTTTCGATGATGCTTGCACTTGAAATATTTAAGTGACCCCTTCGCGATCTAAATTACTTGACTGTTCGTCGATTCGACAAACAGTGAATTGCAAGTAGAAATAACAATTTATTTTTAATATTTCATGTCTGTCATATATTTATGAAGCACGAAAAATAATAATCCATTATATTAACTGACTTTGACAATCCGGTTCTTGTCAGAATGTAATTGAGTTGTATTAAATTTACATTTAATAACATTTTATGTCGATATATTATCACCGTCATGTAACATCGAATTAAAGAATTTTCAATCATTTTACTTAATGAACCGAAGAGCGGTATTTCTAAATTTATTACAACTATACATATCAATGAACTTTAAAAAATCAAAAAATTTATCAGAAATTGGAAGTGATTGTGAAAAATATGCTTTGTTTATATATATGACAAAGTATTGAAATATGGCAGTATGATACGCAAAATTGATCATATCTCATTTTTGGGTTGGCCAAAACAACAGATTAGCTAAAAAGTTATTTTTAAGGCAATATTTTCCTTACCAATCAAATTTTCCCATATCGGTGCTCATTACCAATTTAGAGAGATTAACATCTATAAACAACAAATAGGTTTTGTATATGCAAATATTCCAGTGCTCATTTCAAATATTTGTAACCCTATATGTTTATAGAGATCCTTGTCCGGCGCCTTGCTCGAAGGAATAGTGCGTAGCATTTCGCAAACGAAAAATAAATGCCTTGTCTCAAAGTAAAGGTTGTGCTGTTTATTTAGTTTTTTAATAATATATTAAATATTTGAATTATCAATCACTCTTCATTCAAGATTATTTCGTATTATTATCAGGTCTTGTTTCTGGAAATGAAATCGTAACGATTCGTGCGATAAATTAAGAATAAAAATGTAGAGTCGACGTTTGCGGTTGACATTTCCTTTCCCGTGAGAGACACAACTGTCATTCACCATCATTTGTCGAGTTTACATTCACTCCTTCCATTTTTCGCGACTGTTAGTGATTATTTTTTGTAGAATTCCCATATAGAACATTTTCGCCGTGCCGAACGGGTTAATTTTCAACCACGTACTGTTTCTAATTTCATCGACGGTAGTTGTCAGTATTTGAAGATTAATTGTCGCTTTATTTTTGCGCAATAGAAGCTAATTTTCTTTATCATTTCATGTCAAACAGTTACAGAAATTTCTCTGATGTTTACCGCTGACGAATTTAATAAAGACGATTTATAGTTATGCAGCAAATCAAGTCAAACATTCGCAATGTTTAGTTTTTTTTAAGTGGTATGTTATAAATAGCTTGATATTTCAAAATACTTTTCTGCAATTTATTTGCAATTTGCGTTGATGCAAGAGAATTGAGATATATTCTACAAAGTTTCACAAAATAATCAGTAAATTCAATTCTTAGCAATATATTTTGATAAATAGTTTCAATCTATTAGTTTTGAATTATGTATTGGTGATATTCTCGGACATCAGTACCAAGCATTCATGTATGCTGCGTGGCTACAGCATGGCATATGTCTCTCATTCAAGTAGTTTCTTAGTTTCAGGATCGCCTGTTTGTTTATTTCAGTCTTTTGGTATTTTTTCACCCAACCGCCATATTTCATGACCTAAAAATGATTCCCTTTTCTCTCCTTTTCATTTGTGGCAGGCTGGCGGCTCATCTGAAACCCTACATGTTATTTCATTGTAATAAATCCACGGATTACGCAAAAGCATGAGTGATCACTTTTTCATGTCACAGCAAACCGTATTATTTTCATTTTCTCGGCCGTTTTTTCTTCATTTAATTAAAAATAATGAAGCTCTCGTTGTCGCTCGAACACTCATTGCGGGATCATGTGTTATCTCGATTTATTTACGAGCCATCCGTCACCATTCAGCTTAATTTTTGTGGCTTTGTTCTTTTCTCTCGGCGACCTTTCGATGAATGATATTACCTACCGGTTGCCAGGCTGGATCGCTATTTTAATTCTCCACGCATTATTGTGACTAATATCGCACAATCAAGTGATGTTTTAGAGTTAGGAACTTGCATAGCCTTCTATACTATACATTATCGTTTGTTGTATCATCCCGTTTTGATGTAGAAATTTCATCATGGTTAAATCTGGCAACATGTATTTTATGCTGTGAGATGCATTGAAACCTAGCCATATATAATTTATTGTGTTGCACATTGCTAACCTTGAGCGACGTATAGATATGCATATTTATTTTCCTTCGCTGTCATTAACCCATAGGTCGATTTACTATTAAATAAGTTATAGGATAAAACTTTCAAGTCATCTGAGAGTTAAACGAATTATTATCGGCGGTAATGGATACAAAGGCAAATTGAACGGGCCTCCCGCGTTGCTACTTTAGTGATATGCGTGATGGAAAGAGCCTAATGTCAAGACGATTGACTGATTGACATGTTTTGCAGAATACGACAAAACGACGGACAAATAAAAAATTCCATATCGTCGGGAGGCGTCACAGAAATGCTTGCTCCTCCGGGAGAAACAAAAACTTCGGAAGATTGAGTAGTAGTCTAACATTCAAGTGCCCTCGACCGCCTCGTGTGACCTTTTCACCCACGTCGAAGCAGTCATGATCTCGATGAGAAAGCGTGTGATTCCGCCGAACGAACTCTTTAAAAACTTTTGACAAACGGACGGCGATAAATCTGTCATTCGAAGTGGACTATCAGAGATAGTATTGAAAATTTTTGTTTACGCGAACGATGGATGACGCCGCTACTTTCACCGCACTTGTCCTAGTTAGAAGCGTTCACCGATGATTAGTCGTACAATAGGATAAAATAAATAAAAAGCATTTATTGCCAGCGAACTTCATTGATACCTTGTTATTGAATGGGTTCAGAGATGCGATGAATCTTTCACTTTTATAGCTTTACTATAATGAGTTTTCTCAAACCTGGTGTTAGGATATAATATAAAAACTTTTTTTATTATTTTTAGCTAAGGAAAATCTAGGAAACATTTCTGAGAAAAAAGGAGGCCAAAATTGCGAAGGCAAACGAGGCTGCAAAGATGTTACGTCACTAGCGATAACAGAACCAACCGAAGAATCAGGAGATAAACTTTCGAATATTTGTGCGCAAGAAAACACAATAACTTCGCACGAAACAATGCATGGAGGAAGCAACAATAAACAAGAGAGTACAACAAATGGAGGTGACTCGAATACTCCGGATGAAAGTATTCACGAGGAAAAGGTAAATGAGCCGAGTTTGCCAGATAAAGCCAATGGCGAAAACGAATTACATGACACAGTTGCAGGATCAGTTCACGAATCGTTTACGAACGGTTGTGAATCGGTGGGAAAGCACAGTAATGCTGTTAAAACAAGTGATGATACTTCTCTTCTTGATGCACTAGCTACCGTAGCGGCTTCACGTTCGACCTCACCCACGCAAGAAACACAAAAAGAAGCAAAACGTCAGTCGTCGACTGGGTAAGGTCCTTTTATATAAACTTGCTGTCAATTTCAATTTCACCCGGACGAAGACTGTCATGGCATCTATTGCTGAAATACCGTACAGGATTTTATGCCTTTTACCGAGTTTATTCACGGGGTTGCTATCGTTTCTTGAATTACTGACCTAAAATCTCGTTTACACTTGTTTATTTTACAGATCGGATTCTTCAATGCCAATCAAAAAACGCGGGAAACGTATTTCCACTCCTGATTCTTGCGTTGATCATGTTGGCACAGCGTCCTCGCATCTGTTTTCGTCCGAAAAAACAACGGATAAATCACTCGAATCTAAGAAAAAATCTTCACGCATTGAACACTCTTCAACCAATCACTATCAAGCTTCAGACCACGTGTTTCACAAAACGGCAAATGAAGACATTAGAACAGGTAACAAGAACTGCAAGATTTTAATTCCATATACGGAATATTCAAACATGTGGCCTTTGATAATTTTTTGCTGCGTGATTTATTCAATTCAGTAGGTATTTTAGAGTTCAATGCCGGGAATGCAACAAGGCATTTACTATAAGAAAAGCGTAACAAATAACTATGACTAAGACTATGTATTTGTAAAATTGGTCGAATCGAGACATTACTAACGTATGAGCTTTCGTTTTGAACGTTGAGCAGCTCTTAAAATATTGTCGATGTTTATCGGCCCCTCGTTCATCCAATAAGCAACTGGCATTGTTTGTAATATTATTGCGATGTTGAATTTCAAGTACTTCTAAACAGAGCACGTGTTTATGAACTCATTCATCGAAATGGGACAGATCGAACCTAGAAAAGGAAATTGTCATTTAGCTGTCATCTTATTGAGAAAAAAACAAACCCTTGCAATAATCCATTCGATTGTCAATTCGACAGGATATGAATATTTAAAGAAATAATGTCAGCAGAATTTAGGATGGATGGAAAGCAATCTTGAGTAAGGATGGTTTTGTCAGTGCAGTGTAGGTTACCAGGATTAAGACTCTTGTTTACGGTCAGTTCAATATTTAGGATTGGGCAAATGGGATATTGGAGAATAGTGTGACGCCACAGTTGTTGTATTATGACATTGTGTTTTATATTATGACGTCACAATACTAGTTTGTTTTTTGCTGCATTTTCTATCAAACCAATAAGTCATCATAGTTTGGTATTGTTTTTCGCAAATTGTGACCCTAATTTGACCGGGTGTCACACCCATCAATCACCGTGGGTTTGAGAAATGAAGTTAATTTACCGAATGTCATGCTTGCGAATGATGAAATGTGATTTATTGCATAGTTATTTGTTGCTAGACGAGTGTTTTTCATATCAGTCGACCATCCGTCATTGATATCTTGGTAGCTTGCTATTGAATTCTTTATTTATCTTCGTTTAAACCTGTCATTCGGTATTTATTCTTCATTACGCACGATGTAATAATAAAAAGTCGTTTATAGATACCCCGTGCGTGGTGAGGTACACTTTATCTTGACAAACAATAAAAAATGAAATATTCCATAAGCATAAATCCGAAAGCTGTTTCACGTCAATCCGCGGGGATGAATACAAGGTCAACCCTTGCCTTGTTGACTGATTTCTATTTATTGCTTATATTGTGTTTACCTTCCCCTATATCAAGTTTAAGATGCCGGGAAAAACAGACATACATCTTTTTAAAAATGCCATCGATGTTATTTATTCATTAATTTCATTTTACTACGTCTTCCTTCCAGCATTATTTGTAATTGATTGAGTGACAGCGATTGTACCTTCTTGACGCATGATTTTGTTGTTTTATTAACGTTCTACAACTTTTAGGAAAGCTTATGCATTTCAGATATATATTACTTGTGTTCGGGACAATTTGGCCATGATCATGTTGCTATGGTTACATGAAGCTCTTAATATATACATGTTCATTTACATCAAGAATATGAATTTATATTTTATGAAGCCCTATCTGCGGACATCATTAGTTTATCAAATTTTTTTATTATATTTCATGTTAGTTCTGAAGCTCTCAAAATATGTATTACCAAAGGTTAAGCCTTCAAATTTATACATTATTCAATCCAACAGCACTATTGTATAAATATTACTTAATATTCTGTTTATCAAAATATTCTTATCATGTATGCTGATATTGAAATGCTTAAATTACTTTTAACAAAAATCGTTAAATTAATGCGATTTTATTCTTATACATTACTTCCCGCTCATTCTTGATTCAAAATATATGTCAATAAGCCATTCTTATTCTGAAATTACTGCGAAATATACAGTAAATTTGACAATTTCAAATGTGACTCGATCGTGAGAAATCAAACGACTGGTATTTTATAACTGTTAGATAGTATTATTTAAAATGAAGAATGATAAAATAATATGTCAATTTCTTGGACTTATATTAGAAAAATAACATATTAACGACTTTCAAATTGATTTAATATGTAGGAACTGCAAAATCGAAAACAGTGCAATTATGTGATATGTTTAATGCTCCACTTCAATTTTTTTTAGATGTACTATTAAATTCAGTTGATTATAAACAATTTTATCAACTTTAAATTTCATACATGTCCGAAATTGGATACAGCGGAATTCATTACAGAATTGCAATAAATGACACGTCAACAGCATATCGTTTTCACATATATATGACTTGACAATCTTAAGACAGCGATGAAACACGTTTTATTACAAGACAAGAACATAATGCATCCTAATTCCCCGAATTAATTCTTTTCCAATAAACTGGTGAATAGACGGATAGATGGATGTACCATTCTATAATGATGCGTGTCTTCCGTTCTATTTACAAAATTACGAATATAATTCTGGTTAATGTGGATTAATAAGTCGTTCTATATCCTGTCTTGACAATGCTTGATGAGTATAGAACTTATTTAATTAATCTGAACTTCGAACAGACTTTGATTAGAAATACTGAATTGTATTGAATTATCTGTCTCGGTATTTTAAATACATCAAACATTTCCTGTTTAAGTCGTCGCTGTATATTGAATAATTCATTTTTAGGATATGTTGGTTTGATTTCAACAAAATACAATTGAACGAAGGAGTAATGGACACGAAGACCCAATGTCCTATAACAGTGTTCACATATGGCATAGAGAAGTGTTCCCATGAAGTAATAATTAGAAAGAAAAAAAAAGGAAAAGCCCTTTAGAGGGCCCTTTTATCTCCAAATCTTTGAATATTGAAAATTTGAAATTGATTGGGTGTTAGTTGCTAACAACAGCATTTTTTTCACAATACCAACGAAAATATCCATTTAGCAATTCGACCCATAGTTCCAGTCAGTGTCCAATAAACAGTAAAAACCCAGTGCGTATTTATAATATGGAAATTAGTATATTCCTTGTAGTTTCCATTTTCGACTTCCCATAGACTATTCCAGACATATATTAATATTTATTAATATGGAATTGATATTTCCTTAGAAACATGTCTTGAATTCGTCACGACCTATCATATATAATCTGTTGACACATCGTTCAATGTGATTTAACATTTGTCTTATTGTCAAATTTGTCGCATGCTGATATTTTCGAAGCTAAAATGTCAAAAGGCTTAGGAGTTTTATTGTGTAATATTTATCTAGGATGGCCACCGTTCAGTACAATTGAAAACATTTAAAAAATATATCTTTTATAATGATACAAATTGTCATGAAGTCAATCACAAAATTCGGAAAATTCCTATTTATTTTTAACTTTCGAAAATAATTACAAGAAAATTGTTTTCATAGTACCTGGCTCTTAAATTTGAATCTAATTGTGGTAAATTTTGTCGTGGAATATTAATTTACTTTGCGTAATGTCTTTTATCTAGTAATTAAACTATTTTAGTTTCGATGGATAATTGTGATGCACGTTTTCAGTGAATAATTTTTGATATTTGACGTTAAGTTAAATAATTTTATTTCGTAAGATGTCTTCGTGAATAGTACGGTATCTGTGAGACTTTAAATTTAGTAGCAACTAAAAAGTTGAAGAGTTAGCAAAAAGAGACATGTTTTGAGCGGAGAGTATAGTGAAAATGAAATGATTTTCCAAACTCAAACAGGTATAAATTTAATTTACAAAATAACGAAAAAGGTAGACACGCAAAAGTAATATTTGAAATTAAGCTTTTACCCCGAATACTTAAAACTGTTAATTTTAGCGATGCAATATTCGAATATCTCTGCTTTTGTTATTAATTGCTCAATTAATCTTTCAAACCATTGGCCCACACAAAAATTCGTCTTCCAACATTTTTTTATAAACTGGGAAAACTCGCATGACCCGATCGGACATTCTTATATTCAAAATATCTTTTAATTTGGAAATTACACAAGTTAACTCGAACAAATTGAAAACTGTCATCTATACTCTATAGAATTCAAGCTGTCGTATCTCGTGACGTTTCGTTATCACGATTTTAATTTGTCACTATTGTCAGTTATCGCCACTTTGGATGCACGTTTTGGGACTGAAAATGTTGTAATAATAACCGATGCTTCAATTTGAAAGCTAATACTTCGGTATGTCTTCAGCTGAACTGTAACAAAATTAATGTCGATATAAATCAATGATTTATCCGTGTGTCTATTTCTTCTGTTATTTCCAGAATTTGGATTTATATTTGCGACGTCATAGAAAAGGGTCAAGTAAGAGTATCTATAGTTGTTGATAATTTATATGCTTTGTATTGAAATGTAAATACCAAGCGTGAAGAGAAGATAGAGACAGACACTTTGAAAGTAGACTTTATATTGGATGGGGCCTCTCGTCCGGCCCATACTACAAGTATATATCAGGCCTAGAATAGTTTTAACTAGTTATTCTTATCAGATGCATGTATTCTATGCTGGAGAAGCAGCCTACAACGACGAAGAGTCCAGCCGTCCTCGTGCACGTAATTATCCCTTACGGAATTCGAACTTGCCAACCCGTTCATGGGTTCAACGCGATACGTCCTAGACTCTTAGAGCAGGGGTGGGCAAGGTTTTTCGACCATGTGCCAAAAATTTTGTCCACTTATACTGGCGGGCCATATAAGTGCCACGTAAAAAGTTACATTTTATGAACAATATTTAAAGTGTTACAAAAGCAAAAGTTGAAAACAATAAGCCTCGTGCCAAAACTAAATTAAATCGCAATCTCAACAAATTCCTCAAACTATTTTTTATGTAAAACATCAATTTTGATTTAGTTTGGGTATGGCAGCCTCAGGCGGGCCTGATTGAATCACCCAACGGGCCAGATTTGACCCGCGGGCCGTAGTTTGCCCATGTATACTCTACCAGAGCCTTGTTATGAACCTTGTAAGTTGTGATCCTTGTATATAATAGTATAATATATTAGCGTGTAATCATCATTTCCGTGTATTGAGGAAGGAATACAATGAAGTTGATAACATAAAAACACGTACTTGTGAGAACGAAAACGAAACCGGAGCAGTTAAGAACGGTCTGTGTCATCATTAGAATTTTAATTATAAAACGGGTTTACCATGTAAAATTATAAAATACTTTAGGTTTTTTAATAGTGCGAACAGCGAACGAAGCCATGTTCAACCTTGTATTCTGTCATGTACATACATAATCTACTCAAAACTATTGATTTTATGTCGATAGCATAAGGGTTATGAGTCTGCCGTTTTTGGCCATTTCAAAGTCCTAAGCACTGTTGAATACCGGAAATTTCAGTTTGGTTTGTGTTAAACTGTTGTTATATTTTATTACAATGTGATTTACATCCATTTTGTTTTACTGAACTTGGATCGGAAAGCCGGAAACGAAAAAAGGTGCAAATCGTCATCATATCGCTTTTGAACTGTGGTACGTAAAACATAAAACTGGTTTTTCTAATCTCAGCATTGGAGAGATTAGCCTCAATTTATGGCGATTAGCTCTATTACCATCATTATCTGACAGCTCGCTTGTAAAAATCGCAAGCAAAAACACAAATGCGCAAATCAAATTTCGCCGTCGCAATCAACACACTCACTCACTCACTCACTCACTCACTCACAGAGAGTGAGTGATTTGTTTGTTGATCTTGGCATGTGGAATGCGGGATGGTGTGACCAGAATCTCTTCCTCATCGCCTTCTCACGAGTGAACCAACCCATATGAAACAGGAACATATCATTTTCTTATCCTCTGCAAGACTAGGATGGATTTATAAAAGTTATTTCAGAGGGAAAACGGTACGGACTATTATATATTACCAGCCAATTTTCTTATTTTCAACACTGACCAACACGGCGTTTTGTTATTGGGAGTACGTTGCAGAAAAACCACCCGTATGCGATAAAATCTGTTTTGCAGCCACGTACCAGGAAAAACCGTAGTAAAGAAATTTAATCTACTGTGATATGGCGTTTTTAAACCTAAAAGGGGCCGGTGCTGGACTCATGGGAATACACGGTGAAAGCATCACTCGTTTCGTGTGAAACATGGCGACGCTCGACCGCCAACACGATAGCACATGCGATTATTGACGATTCAACATTAAAAAACGACGAAAATGCGATTAGGTGTGAGAGAGAAATTTTATGCGAGCAAGAGAGCATGGGAGATAATTTGACCTCGTTTAGTACGGACGTTAGTACTTTTGTGAAATTGACAGCATCTGACCTTGCATAGATAAACGATCATATTGCTGTAATTTTCCTGCGTTTGTTGTGTATCTAAATGCGAAGGGAAGTGAAAAGAAATTTGAATATTACTTATCCTTCTTCTATGCTTTTGTACCGGTGGATCCGTATGCATATAATGCAAGGATGCTGTAGCAAGAGTGAAGATAACTATCCTAAGTGATTCAAGGGTCTTGTTGCACACTAACACAAATATATTTCTGTAACGTTTCGTCAGAAATCTATTTTTTACAGGAATGTTACAGAAATATATTTGTGTTAGTATGCAGAAAGACTCTTGAATCACTTAGATTTTATAGTTTAGAAAAATTTGCCTACTATACTGACGATAATTAAAACTGCTTGATAGACTAATTGTTGAAGATCGATAGTATTAGTTTGTGCATAGACGTGACCGCCTTCTAGGGTTTTATTGTGAACGTATTAGACTTTATTTTATTTCGAATTCTTCGCTGGATTCAGAGTACTAAATTGCGTTCAAAATCAGAGTTATTATCGACCGTCTTGTTGCACACCAAGCCTGTTTCTAAGCTGATATATCACTGCATATTAATTTGAAGCATTAAAGTGAGACACGAGAAGCGATAAATCATTATCCGCAGGGTAACCCGAAACAAAACACATACATTTCGGAACTTCCGTAATGTGTTTAGGGTTAGGCCATCATTTTATTCCGATTTTCCTTATTTTAGTTCTATTACGAGTTCGGGGACTGTTTGTGTTAGCCAAGTGAATATACCCCCTGCCCATAGGTTTCAGTCTCTTAACACAACTTGATGTAAAGTAGGCGAACAAAATTAGTTACCTACATATTGGTACACACACTTCTGGAGCGCCTAAATTTCTCATGTTTCAGTAATTTAGAGCACAAAAGTTATGTTTTCTGTGTAATATGTTCCAAATGGGGTGAGTAGCATTGTATGACGTTCATAATATTGTGTATCGTAAGGGTCTAATCGACGAATTAACGAAGCGAATTTACATTTTTCAAATAACATTTTTTAGCTCAATTTATACTCAGTACCGAACCTTCTTTCAATGTAAATGTGTCAAATATTATCTCATGCTATAAATTGCCACGTCAATACTCAAAGAGCCGTGTTAGCTATTTCCTCTCTCGATGATTGACGGTAATTGTATCAGCCCACTTGATTTCTGTTTTGCCAACATTCGTGTATTTGAGTTTCCGGTTTCAGAGGAAACGTGCTACCTGATTTTAATATATTTGAAGAGAATGTGGTAACAGTAAAATCATATATATATAGAGTATTTAATTTAGTGAGACGACTTGATGAATATTTCGATTTTCTGGTAAAATTGTTTTCTGTACATGGTATTTGATTAAATAATAAGTTATAACCATGAAAAAGTATAAATAGGATTTCCAGTTGTTATTTTGTGTGAAGTAAGTCAAATTATAATATTTTGTTAAATATTCTCCGATAACTGGCAAATAACAAAAATTGAGATCTATCTAACTCAAGATTATTTGGGGAAAATGGGAGAACCCTTAATTACGACATTTTTTAGACGGGGGAAATTTTTGGTTATGGTTGAAAATGGTCGAAAAAACAAATATTTCGGTTATGATGGCTTATAATTTTATAAAAGTCAATCGTTGTTGGCAAAATTTTTTGACCAGAATAGGATAGTATTGTGATTCAATATACATACCTACCTATATATATAATATATAATAAAAGGTGGATTTATTAATAATTGCGCATCCAAGTAATCTATGGGTAATCTATAATCAATAATCTAGTAATTTAAACAATAATAATACATAGGTGATCACATTTCGAAACGTAGGAAACGGTATTTCCTAAATGTTAATACTTGTTCCCGTTCGTTAATAACGTATTGTCCTATTCTATTATCTCTTCAAGAATTATTTTTCAAAATGTAATTGCGATTAAATCATTTGTCGATTTACTGAGAATGAATTACTAATGATAAAAAGGTGTGGATGATTTAGTTTTAGCTATACATCAATGGCGCATCTATGATTCGCGTTTACAGAAATCCCAACCCTAGTTATACCTGCAGAGGTGCATATTTAGGTGCATATATCACTTGAAAGCTGATGACTTTGTTATGTGCTAACTATATTAACTCGCATGGGAAACGTAGACTGTTCTGAAGTACAGTCGTAGTCCGTCAATCAACTGCAAATATAGAAATTCTGACCTAAAAATATCCGTGTCTGGACATGTCACTAAATTGATGGTTTTATACAGTGACGCGTCTCCGATAGCTAATTGAGAAGATGGATGTAGCCGATGTATTTTAACTTGTGAAGCATTTGTCATTCTATATTTTCATCGTGTTGTACAGATGTAACCGGTCAAACTTTACCCGATTTGTGATATTGTTCAATTGCGTGATTTTCAATTCAAATGCACTACGTCGGGACATCTTTGCCTGTATAAATAGACGGAAGCCGTGGCGTTTGCTAGTTTGAAGCTCTCCATTGTATCGAAAAACTGCTGTTTGCTCTATAATCGACTCATTAATCATCTTTCCTTCCGAAAGATCTCGCGTAACAAGCAAGCAGATGCGCACTTAGCGGCATTTGTTAGCCTGTAAATCAATATACATTGTTGTTACACTTGGCCATGGATAGAACGGGATTGAGGATTTATTATTCTACACGAATATCGTTGAACTTATTGGCAATATGTTGTAACTATCACATTACAAGAGTCGGTAAATACATCCGACTTTTTTGTTTTTTTGTCGATTCGTACCCCGCTGCACGGTGTATATATGTACGAAAGTCATTTGCAGATGCTTTTCCGAAACTTTGATAATATATCCAATTTTAACAATGTTGTATTTATCTATTAACTAACAAGAAAAAAAATGGAGTACTGTATTGAAAATATACTTTCCCATAACAGCTCCCCCTTAATCGAAGCGGCGATAAGTCAATCAATATATTGACGAATTCATCTAACGACATTTACATTATCAAACGGGATTAGCTTCTTATTTATACAATTGACATTGTGTTACAGACAAAAATTTACAAATCGCAATATTTACCTAATTTATATTTTCTAATAACAGATTAAATATTAATATATATTAAGTTTTATTTGATAATATTATTCCAGCTGCTGCAATGCAACATGCTAATCAATTGCATCTTATGGAAGCAATGATGCAACGACAAAGACAAATCTACGAAGAATGTACCGACAACCAAAATAATAATTGGATGAAAATGCAGGTAGGCTGATATGTCCCTCGATTTCCAAATTGGTTATCTAAGATAAAAAGATGTTTCTGTGTTTATATTGTTATGACATAATAGGATTTTGGGTCGTAGTTTACTTCGTTTCCGAATAATATAGTGTGAATAATGACAGTTTTTTCATCGTAAAATGTGACAAAATTTTAATGTCAATTATCCCTATAATTAAAAACTCTATTTCGAATAGCAATAATTTTGAATTTCCATTCAAACTCAAATTACTTGAGTATTTCCGTTAAACTGGATATTTTTTATATAAATATTTTACGCCAATTTTGCCTGCTTTTAGAATCAAAAATTTTGTTTTAAGTATCGTTCTGCTACAAGTGGAAATGCTTTTCTCCATTGCTTTGTTGCGGCGATATCGTGCTATTTTGATTGTTTATGATTTGTTAATGTTTGAGGTTTATCGATCTAAAGTTCAAATTTTAAAAGCCGAAAAAGATCGCCCGCTTATATTTAGAGACACTAATTTGAGGTGTTGTCAACATGGCTGATAGTTTTTATCTTGCTAATCTTTTTGGCTGTTGTTTGGTTAGTTTTTTTTATGTCAGATTTCTTTGAACACAAGTTGCCTTTATTTTCATACATGATTGAATACAGAATTTTAAATACTGTTTAAATTTTTTTCAAAATTTACGCGAATTTAAATGTAATTATCAAAGTCATTACCGCCAAATCTACCAAAATTATGAAAGCTATTTCTGAGGCTCTGATCGGTCACTCTAACATTACACAAAATTCTATAAAAGGTTGAAATTTACCTTAACTTAATTTGGCATAACCAGATAATTTGAAGTTAATTTCACGCGTTTTAGGTTAATTTTTCGGTCTACGTGACTATATCACCTGGATATGATTTTATCTGAATTCGTTGTATATTTTCATTGTGACTAGAGCGACAAATTCTCAATTCCGTTTTACTTTTCAAAATATTTCTTGTAATACCAGTGTGCTTTCGGTTAGATTTTTGAATATAACCCGTAGTCCATATAGTATTTCATGGAGTTCTTTCGTCAAGAAAATACACTTTTCAGGGAAATTGCTCAATGTGCAATTGAATATTGATATATGTCAAATATTGTGATATATCATTTATGAATATTTCATAGCAATTTATTGAATTAAAATTTCATCCATCAGTGGCAAAGAGCGATTTATCTCAAGTGGTATCTCGAGATATATTTTAGACCAAATCAAAAGCGTCCAATCCAAATACGTCCGGGTTGAGATAGGGCGCAAAATAACAATCAGGAAGTTTTAGATCTATTAATCATAATTTAACTTGTAATTTCAGCGAAATGACAATAATTGCTTGAGTAAAAGCAAAGCAAAAAGGTATCGTTGGTGCGTGCAGAAAAATCAAGAAAAAGATTCAATTTCTACAGCAAGCCCCAATACCAGTAGAAGTTCTCATCAAAATCAACAAACAACAACTAAAACGGCAACAACGTCCACTGTACCAACGAGATCTTCAGCTAACGATTGTCAAAACCATCAACAAAATTCCAATTCTTCGTCGAATGTGAAGAAAGTACAAACGAAACGACAACCAAATCCTATGCAAGTATGTTCAGCACTTTTCCTACACCATTTATTTTCTGAATATTTCAAAACTTAGTTATTATTTCGTCAACTAAAATTCTACGTAACCTAACTGTCCACAGACGTTGTAGTTTCCTAACATACTAATTCTGTTGAGTTTGTGTCCTATGGCGTTTTCCTGAAGTCGAAATCCGGTCTAAATGTTAGCAACCCCATACATATAACGCTGTAAATGCAAAATTTGAAGAAAAAAAAACTCAAAGGAAATCCATGCGTTCAAGTCAATGATTGTTTAAAGCTTTCTTCGGATGGAGAGTTCAAATAAGTTTTACAATGACGTCACGGTAGAGAGTTGTGTCGAACTTTAAAATGTGTTTGCACTCCTCTTTTAAAATATCTGTAAATACGTTTTTGGAGGAATCCGTTACGTCGCGTTCATTTTCCTTATTTTTTAAGCACTGCCATATATATTACATTTGATTGGACTGAAATGAGTCAACCTGCCTGTCCATATTTCTAAATTTGCCCAAATGATATACAATAAAATTATAAAACACATGATACTATACGTTTCTCGAATTTTCAAAATCTCGAAAATAATTTTTTTTATTCACTGTTATTAATTGTGATAGAAACAAGCATAAGACAGGCAGTTTTTCGTTGTTATTTCTGATAGTTTGGTAATGTTATTTTCCCCAATTCAGAATCTTGTTCTTGTCACTTTCTCTTCCACGCAATCTCGACTGCTTGTTTATTTTACATTCTTGTATCATAAATAATTTAAAACGATCCACAATTTTATTTTATATATCAGTTTGAATGATAAACTACTATTGCTGCCAGCCTGGCGTCGTAACGACACGTCAATTGTCAAAGTCCCCGACATGATTTCCTTTGTTGCTCCTCACTCACTTTATTAACTTGTCACGCAAAATATAAAAAAAAATTTATGGTTGAAATTTTTGGTCAAATTCAAAAGAATTTTCGAGTAGAATGAATATCCAAATGTCTTGCTTTTAATATCTTTCAATTGCTGGTAAAATAAGGAATTTTTACTGTTTTTTTTTAAATTGATAAAATGTCGAACAATCACAATTTTAAAATGTTGATTTGCGTGTTATTAGAGTGGATGATTTTTTTTAAATGAATACTATCGCAAATAAAGGCGCATAATTCGAAATTTTTATTTTATTCAAACTTAATGTTTTTTCTAAAAACAAATAAATAAACTTAGTTATATTCATGTAACCATTAATAAGGCGATTAAATTTAATCTGTTGCCAAAAACGATCATTCAGGAAACTTTTTGACCAAACTAACTAGAATTCGTAACTGTGTAGATCGTAATTAACATGAAAATTTATTCGAGCCACTACCAAATGACCTAAAATCTTGTCTGTGATACATTACATGATGAATTGCATCCAGATCTGAAAAATCCCGTCATTTAGTATATTTTACTGATCTAATACACGTTTTTGAATGATTTGCATGAAATATTACAGATTTATGGAAATAAAATGAAGTCCCGTCACCAATGACGCTGCGACATTTGTTTATTTGCGTCATCAAGGACATTTTTCATGTCGGTGTTGTAATTCAAGTAAAACTGTCATCGTTACAAACATCTTTGACACGTTTTATTTATTAAAAAATATAGAACAGTTCTTGGCCTATCAGTGATCGACTGTTACTTGTCTTATAGACGAGAAGTATATTTTTTTTGTAACTGAGTTAACGTGGCCTTTGAGTAAATACTCAAAAAATATTAGAGTGAACAATTAAAAAGACGAATTTTTTTTAATTTTTTACAGCCCACCCAATTCATTCTAAATACAATATTAGTTTGCCTCTAAATGTTTTAATTTAAAAAGTAACATTTATCAATTTGATATTTTTAATCTATTTCAAAAGTTTCCAAAAAATTAATTCACACATAATATCCGTGTTTTAATTTCCATCATAATATTTATTAAATTGACAAAATCGAATTTTCTTCAAATGTTCGTTATTGCTTCATTATTTGATTGATATCCGCCCGTCGACACCAATTTTAAAAGAATGAACTCTAATTAGATGTCTGTAAGGTTGAAAATTTATATTTTCCCTTGTCTGGTCGAATATAATTTACTGTTGGATACTCACACCTCGTGTTATGTTGATTTTATTTTGGTTTTTTCTGTCATCATTTTATTGCATATTCATTTTAAATATGACAATTCAAATCTATTTTAAGTAAATTTGCATAACAAAATAATCAACAATTTTTTGTTGTCAGTAATTAATTATTATAATATCAATCTTAGAGTTTTGTCAGTTCGAGGTAATAGGGTAATCATACCTTTCTGGTCACGCAAAAAATTTGTCATTTTGAAGAAAAAGGCGCTAAATTTGAGCAGTTGAAGCGTTTTTTTTGATATACCAATTCAGGTATCATACATTAAATAAAGTAAAAAAATCTTAAATAAACACTGTTTAAAATAAAGCTAACCTGGTTAATATATTGAGAACTGAATTGAAATTGTAACGTGACTTTATGAACACCCTTTATTCTGTAATCGTGGTTATTGAAAGAATTCCTGTCATGTCATGCGAACTCGGCCGCACGAATTTGCAAACACAAATAGCGATTCGGAAATATCACGACAAAACAGCATCGTAAAAGAGTCCAAAATATGCCACGAAGACTATTTTCTTAACCAACGATAATCCCTTCGATTCGCATAGTTGCACCCGAGCATTATACACTTCAATCCGTCGAACGTCAATTAGACTGTAGTGGGTTGTCAATAACATTTCAAATTGTCCTGAAGGAGAACGTCGCATCGTGATATTATAGTCGAGCCGTTATAATCCTTTTTGAATTAGTATACCATGCTTGTTTATGTATAAACCTGGGATAACATATTTTTTTTGTCTTTTATCAGCTTTGGTAGTTAAGTCTCTTGACGTTTTATAGATTTTATATAAGTTGGTCGCAAAACCGTTTCATCTGTCGATTTTGTGATATTTCCCAGAATGTCTTGTTTGTTTAGAAACCTTTTATCGTACAGATGTCATGTTTGACAAGATCATTTTAATTTTCGTCCAGAAATGTTATAAGTTAGCTAGAACCAACCATGGCTGTTCAGAAGACTGTTAGATTATGTTTGTTTAATTACACACCGCCCACCACCCAGTGTGGCCAACTGATTAAAAACTGATAGATCTAAAAATAGTTTTCCACCGTCCTTGGTTTTATTTCGATTCTTGTTTTGTGGTGTGGTATAAGTAATAACAATTGTGGTTAACAATGCTTCCTTTTCTAAAATTTTTGTACGATATTTTCAATTGAGGATTGAATGTTTCACAATTTTAATTTTGGTTATTCCCTTCAAATTCAGGATAAACTGTACGGTACTGTATTCACTGGAGCAAGTAAATTTCGATGCAGAGATTGTGGAAATCCATTCAATACTTTGGTTGATTTAACTGTTCATATGAGTAAAACAGGACATTATCGAGATCAAAACATCGCAGAATTCAAAAGTTTGTACTTTTATGTGTTTTGTATATGTTGTATTATTAAAAATCGCGGTTTGCTTAGCAATTGGGCCCTGATACTATTCCAGCAGTCAACCCTCCCCAGCCTATCACTCACCCATGGCGTTGAAAATTTAAAATGCAATATAGAAACATAGGGATTCTGGCAATTCCGTATTGCCTGTTCAAAGGGGATGCTTTGATAGACTCTTGATAGACCTCATATAAGAGAAATTTTATAATAGAATTACATTTTGCATTTTCGCGTTAAATCTGAATATCGGTTCTTTGCCAGTCGACGAAACAGTTATGCTTAACATATTTGTCATTACTTTGATTTGATTGAAAAAAATATTAATTTTCACATTTTATATTGTGTATTTTCACACTTTATTATATCATTAAAATATACCGATTCGTGAAATTGCATTTGCGATATCAAAAAGAAATCGTGAGATGTTTTTGAAAATAAATGTTTATAGATATTTAATCTTAATTTCATTATTGCAATTATGATAATGTCAATAATCTGACGCATAAAAAAATGAACGGTATATTTGATTTGACGTAAATGTATTACGCACCATTTGGCACAATTTAACCGGATGTAATTCGATGCAATTTTTTCTTTTTTGAAGGCTGTGATTGATATTTTGAGAATTGTTGTCAAAAATAAATAATGGTAAAAATTATTAAACTAAAAAACAAGGAATTACCCCGTAATTATAGTCACGATATTTCAGTTTCATTCTTGAAAGAAAGACATTTCTTAGGAACTGAATTTTTTGTATTGATTACGTCATCAGGTCAAAATGACGTCAATGGAAAATTCGCAAAACCGAAAAAACGTTCAATGATGGAAATGGAGGAAACGGAATCAGCTGAAAAAGTGTTGAAATGCTTAGGATGTGGACATTCATTCGACTCTCTACAGGTATCTAATTTTGGGTTTTGAACTAAATTCAGAATAGTAGCGACCTGCATGCCAGTGGATGCTTCGAAAGACAGAGCCTTGTTCTGAGTGTAAATGCGCCTTAAAAATATGAGTAAAAAATGAAACTTTTTGTATAAATTGTCGATGTAAGGTGATGTTTGCTGATATGCGTTTATTGTAGTTCATATTATGTTGTTGTATTGGCGCTCCAGACGTGTGTGTACCAATATGGAGGTAACTAATTTTGTTCGCCTATTTTACATCAAGTTGTGTAAAAGGACTGAAACCTATGGGCAGGGGGTATATTCACTTGGCTAACACAGACAGGAAATAAGGAAAATCGGAATGAAATTATGGCCTAACCGTAACCCGGTACACACTATACAGGAGTACCGTTGTATTTTATTGAACTGTTATAATTTCGATTGATAATTTATTAGAAAATATAAAAAAATTCATTTGCTTTATTTGTTGCAGGATTTGACTGTTCACATGATCAAAACTAAGCATTATGAAGACGTTCCATCTCTAAGATTTTACAGCCAGAAAAATGAATTCTGTGCTTCTGCTAATGGGAGTACGCATACATCGAATGAAGAAAAGAACACACCTTTACTTACCCAGATAAATAATAACAATATATCAAACGATAGGTCGATAGGTTTACAATCAAATGGACATCGTGAAAGCCCGACACACGAACAGAATAATTATGAGCAACGGGTTTCACAATCTATGTACGGAGGTTTTTCAAATCTTGCCAATATGCAAGCTCTTGTAACTCAGAATTTGTTGACTGGTTTCCCGCCATATATGCCAATGGCGTTCCCAGGTGCCATGAATGGATATAACAACGCCACGACTGCATTTGCCGCCGCTGCCGCCAGTTTATTGTTATCAGCTCCATGGTTGATGCAGGTACCTGGGTTTGGTCCAAATATGTTATCGCCGTTTTTTAATCCTGTTCCTCTTCCAGCCTCTTTGTCTTCTCATTCAAGACAAATGTCTCCGATAGCTAATATTGACAAATTAACGCCGTCTCCGGTACCAGCTTCTGCTACCCCTTCCCCCAAGGGTAGATCCACCACACCAAGTGGTCGGCATACACCAAATGATAGATACGATGAAATATCGAGATCAAAATCTCAAATACTTCGCTGCTCTCAATGTGGAAAGTCGTTTTCATCTTTACAGAAGTTGACCAATCATATGCGTGAAGCTACACACTTTCCAAATGCCACGACACCGCCCATTGAGAATTCGTCTCTTCATCATTACCGGAAATATAGCGAATCTCCTGAAAGATCTATACGAAACAATTCAACCTTTTCCAATCACTCGAATGCAAACATCACTGGACCGTCGTCATCGCCTTTAGAACATCTTGCAAAGCTAGCGTGTGGCAAGTCAACTTTGGGCCAGCTCGGTTCCGATACGTCATCACGTTCGAAAAGTCATTCCATAGTCGGTAGGCAGTTGATCAAATCTTCTCCGGACATCAGTAATCGAAAAGATTCTTCGACTAAATCTCCACAAAACATGTCGTCGCCCTCTCGTGATAAATACATAAACCCGGATGACAATTCCAAACCAACTTCTTCAGAATCTCCTAAAACTGGATTCGATTTTATTAAATCGTTAGAAACGACAATACAAAGCGCTATTAGCAAAGTAAACGAACCATCCATGTCTCCTAAGCAGAATAAAAAAAGGAAATCATCACTGAATTACAATCATCAGAATGCGAGTCAAACTGTTCAAAATTCCAGGGAATCAGAGTTTAAATTGTTCGGATCTCATTCAGAAATGATTTTCAATCAGTCGTCTCACGTTAACTCTAAGAATCGACAACTCAAGCGACCCTCTTCTGACGGAGAAGAATATCATCATAGAAATAACGGAGAAACACACTCAGCAAAGATGAAACGCTTGAATTATTCTCCACCTTTGGATCTTTCCAAAAGTGTGTGTAACGGGGCTACAGCTCCATCAAAAACAGAAAAGAAAAGCTCGAATGGTAACGAAATGGAGAGAAAATCAAAGGAAACACAAAGAAAAGAGACGTCGTCAGCAGGCGATACAACGAGCCTTGCTAAAAACCCTCTTCAATGCATAAGAGATAACATGCGAACATGGTTCGATCCGGACGTAAGAAGGCGTTCAGTACCTTCTTCTAAATCTAGTGAAATACTAGAGAAGAGTAGACACGAGGGAAAAAGTGTTGCAAGAAATCAAGACTCGAAGACAATAAGTCGTGACGAAAAGAACCCCCACAAAAAAGAAAAGACAAATCCTCTAAAAGAGATGCAAAAAATAGTGAATGCGACAGAATTGACAAGGCGTCCAGAGAGTTTGACAGAAGTTGCTTCAAAAGATCCGACTTTTCTTATAAATCGGACGAATGTCGGGCTTCAAAAACGATCTTCAGATTTACAAAACGGACTCAAATCAGTTGATGCCAAGCGTTATAAACCCGACTCTGTCTTGCTGGATTTGGTGAGACATGAGAACGATTCCCCACCAGCTGTAAATCCGTTGGCACAAATGGAACATCTCGTAAATCTTAAAATTGGCGAAAACGTATCAAATTCGAAAACATTGTCCAACTCAATATCTAAAAATTCAAATCTTGCCAAACCATATACATTATCTCCTCCACACGATGCAAACGTGGCTTGTAACGGCACAAATCCGATGTCCGCTCTGCTGAACCTTTTTAAGGAAGCAGGTAACGATGTTCTTTGTAACAAAACCGACCGAAGCGCTGATAATCACAAAATAAAGCATCGTGAACATAGAGAATCAAACTCAATATCAAAGCCACCGAAAAAGGCAAAGCGACACAGGAATCAACAACCTAAAAATAAACTGCCAACTGAAGAAAATCTTGCCACAAAAATTCATAAAAATTTATCACTTCCGGACGAAACTGCTAAACTCCGAGATAAAATGGCGGACTTTTTTCGAAGTATGATTGCGAAAGACCGTCTTGCCTCTTTCCCACAGCAGTCATCAATCAAAGAAGAACCAAAATCACCTTGTCAAGAAAATGAATATCCGGCACACATATCCGACTCCGATAAAGATGCAACACCTCACAAGTGTAAAGTCGAGATTTCATGTTCCAGTGATTCAAATCTACAAGAAATTCAACTTCAAATCATTTTTGCTTCCCATTTCGATGAAAATTTAAAAGAAATTAAAATTCCAGAACAAGAAATGAAGAAATTGTCACTCACCACGGGAATATCAATAAAAACCATAAAGGTTGGTTCATAAGCCTACAACTTTATTTTGTCTGATTACATGCAAAATGTGGCAACGATCATTTGAACGCCATAGGTTTTGATGACTTTGCCACCTTATCAAACTTTTAAAAATCGATTTTGTCACCACTGGGTTAGTTTTGACAGGAGGTCATATATTAAAATTATGAATATGTTATCTTCCTTCTGAGGTCTTGTCCTGTTTGCCCCAATAAATCTGTCAAATTATATCGTCATTGACCCTCATTCGATCCCCATTCAAAAAACAATAAATTACGTTGTTTGGGATCACTATATGACCCTTGAACTTCCTGCCTGTCAGGTGTGATTGGCTCATTCTTCAACTATTACGGAAGTCTTGTCGCACGCTCCACGGGTTACGTGATTTGTATCAGTATGATTCGACATTTTTACTTGTTGGTGTTCCCTTTCAAGATTGTTTTCAAATCCAATATCTCTATTTTTGTATTCAATTTGTCAAATTTATGATATTATGAATATATTGTGTCTGTGATATGTTCTATATTTGCCCTCGACCTGTCATGTAAAGTCTATTTGTGTTTAATGACGCAATAACTGTCCATTCGTAAATCACTTCTTTCGACAAAGGGAATGATTTTGGACAAATTCCTACTTTTAAAGCAAAGACGTTTAGCTAGCGAAGTTCGCCTATGCGGTACAGTATTAGTTATCTTTCAGACTTGTATGTATCATGTATGAGTGTCTGCTTGTGTAAATCCGTGTTCTGGATGAACCTGTAAAACACATAGAATACATCGAATCATATCTGATACAGTACATATAGGAGTATTGGAACCTGTAGCTATTGGTACGGTCCTGTCACATTTATATAGCAACATATAGAATATAGTCAATTGTTAGTCAAGAATATTAATAATGAATAGATGTCCTCAACTGTCCGTCCAAAGTCATAAAAACGTTTGTATCAAGCATTTATGAATTATATGAATTATGAATATATGAGTTGATCTGACGTCAACATCATGTGCCTTGAACATAACAAGGTAATTTGAAATTAAAAGTCATATATCACCATTTACATGCATGGCCTTTGATCATTGCATATCTTGAAGCACTTTTTATCTATGGACCGTGTGTGATACAATATCGATTTAAACCAGGGTCGGTTAAGTTCCGGAGCGACAGATTTCATGATGAATGATGTGTCTTTGCCTTTCGTCAATAAATTAATATTTTGAAAATGTCCCTTTCCCCACCGCAAGCATTTGTCATCCCTCTTATTCGTGAATTTTTAACCTCGGTAAAGTAATCTCGGGGTTAACTGTCATTTTATTCTCAACGCTGTCGCAGGAAATCAAGAGCACCCTGATAAAGTGTATAATATTTATTCAAGGGGTCCAATCAACAAGTTTCATCTCTTTACCGGAGTGCGGTGACGTCACGCGAGTCGCGGACGAGCTTTGTTTCTTTTATTACGTTGATATTTCGGTAAACGTCGAGAGATAGCTAGTGATTGATGGGCTGTCGTCTATCATACTTACGCCATGCGATTTTTATTTTCCCATCAATCGATCAAATATTAACCCATTCATATCATATGTAATACTAGATTACTCAAAAATACATGGTTAACAAAATTGTGACCTGTAAACGAGAATATGTTATACTTTAATCTCTGCAGACTCGCAATACTTGACAGTCTTTCCTGTGGTGTGTTATGATAAAATATAATCTTCCGATACTTTTCTTATTCTCACTCCAAAACGGAATCCTTATGTTCGAATTTTGATGAGCCTTTGTCGCGCTTTCTCTCAATTTTCAAAATGACGAAAGAAAATAAGTGGCACCTGGTTGTTTCAGACCACTTATAATAAATAATTTCAACGTGATAACGAAACTCTCGACCAATCGAGTATTATTTGTTCCGTCTTTCGCAGCTGTTATTCGATTAACCGCGATTTGCCAAAATAGCAACCATCCGTGAAATAATAATATTGTTACAAAATTCTTTAGTCTTTTAGAAAGTTATGAATTTCCGCCTAAAATTTGACAAAATAATAATAAACTGGTCGTGTGTAATGTGCCGTAAAATGGCCGTCTTCGCGTAGGCCATCAATCATTGAACGTCACGAGTTTTCATCAAAGGTTTTTCACGGTCGTCGCCGTCGTTTCACGTTTTAATCAATCGGCTTTGGTAATAAAGGTATCGTAGTGACCGCCTTTCATGTTTCCGGGGCGTTCTTGCTCGTAAAACACAGCCTATATACTGACACCCGTCATACTGAAGACCTCGGTGCGGTATTAAAGTTATGAAATTTGTCTAAAGCCTTATTACCTTATTATAAAACACAAGGCGGCAAAAACTTCACTGTTTATACACTTTTAAATTTGCCAACGCTGATGATATTAACTGTTGGTCTGTACCTATAAACAAAAGTCCATTAAACGCCACAATTTGAATGAAAAATATCAACGTTTTTATTTCATGTCAAAAATATTCAATTGAAACGATAATTGTCGTTAACATTTACTACTGGATTTGAGATTTTGGGCGGTTCAAGTTTAGCCGAAGTTCACCACTTTTTCGCCCAACATCAAACAAACTGGGTAGCGACGCCAAACAAAAACGATTGTCTCCCCAAAGATCCTTGCGCTTTGGGTATGGAAAGCTCGTGCAGTGTACAATAAAGATAATAAACAATGCTTTATTTGTGGCGGTGTACCATATCGACAAATTACTAAATTTTGAGAATGGTGGTATATTTTCAGACAAATCCAACCGCACTGAAGCCATTTTTGGATCTCCTTTTTATTTACCAAACTGTAAAATTTGGTTATAAAATCTTTATTCTTCGCTTTACTAGAGTTTTAATATCCCATTCTAATTTTGTTCTTCATTGAGTACGGCTGTAGATGGTTCTTGCCTTGATGGTGCCTTTCATTTATTGCTCATGCATGGTTCATATTTAATCGTGACAGAAAAATTGTAAAAAATCTAACGTTGTTTTTAACAGTATACAACTGTACCGATGAATATCTGGGAATTCTCATCCAACATCTAATGATAAGAATTTATTGTGATTAACTGGAAGGTTTTACTATTGTTATTGCACAATTATATGTGTTTATTAGATTTTTTAGTATCCAAGATCCAAGATCAAATATTGATGTATTCGTGAATTTCCATAATTATGATTAGATTACATTCATGATATTATGAACTACCATCATACACTCTCCAAATATACCCCCGGACAAGCACCGTCTTTGTCGCAACAGTGGAAATCGATAGGGTCTAGTATAGCTTACCAAATACTTTACTACCGAAAAACGACGTAAGCCTATTGCACCACACACACGAAAATAACTTGACGTCTTTTTGAGTCATCATTCAAGGCCCAACTCAAGAGGGTGTACTCAAATTTATTATTCGTATAAAGAAAAGTTTATTGATAATTATAAAGAGAATCTTTGTTATTGTCCGATGAAATTTTCCAAACCTGTGTTGGCAGACTTGATCATTTGTTATGCCTCGCCTACAACACTCGCATCGAAATCGCAATATATACCATACCGTACGTTTGATCATGATGAAAGTCGTCCGTTGACATATTTCTTGTGATTGATTGGACATTGAAGTCCAATTAATCTCGGTTTAATAATTTGCATTTGAGATTCGCGCCACCATATAGATACTAATTTATCTTGACGTAGGTTAGGATTCGACACTTCTCGCTGGATTATGTGATTGGAAACAACATATTGTCCAATTGACAAAATCACAAATTTGTCAAGTTAACTCATTCACCAATGGATGCCAACTTATCCAGCTTTCGTTCTGTTTTTCATGCCTAAATTTTCGAAAAAAAAATTTGGGATGTACTTTGAATTTTTGAATCTTTTGTTGATTCGAGAACTTACTGGGTCTGGAAACAGCTACAAGCAAGAGACTTACTGTAATCATGAATTTAAATTTACAAATTCATTTTTGTTTTTTTGCTAGCATATCAATCGATAGTTGTGACATTTCAAACATATTTTTCTTCTAGGAATGGATATCAGACATTCAAGAACAATTATCAGAGAATAGAAAATGCAGTTTTATGAGATTATCATCTGAATCTGAAGAGAGTTCAAAATACAATTGCACACATTGCAGTAATAATGACAATGACAAGACTAAATCTACTAATGATTTATCAGCAACCGACTTCCTCAAACATATATCAACACATATAAGTAAGCACAATCATATATGGTCTATGCATATTTCAATCTCTAGACCCAGTTTTTATTTTATACCCATAGTCTATGGCTATGCACTCTGGAATATAAACTCCAAGCAAGATACATCTTTGGGCCATACCCGAAAAAGCCTGTCTTATTCAGAATGGACAATTTTTAAGTTACTTACGGCCCCGTCTATGGTCGGAGATGAATATATTAATTTTATTATTGGCCATTGATAAAATGATAATAATTCTAATTAGGAAATACTTGATATTTAATTTCCTTCCATTAACAAGTTATCAGCTCGTCAAATGTTAAATTTTCTTTAAGTGGGCCAAGCATGCTAGGGACTTGGTCATATCGAGAATTCCCAAGACTAAATAATAATATCCATACTGTTAAAAAGCAAGTAAAATCAATTTGAATTGTCATTCATGTTAATGGTATTCTCTTTTTAGATACAGATTTGCCTGAAAATGAACAAATTGAGGAAAATTCCAACCATGTCCATCAAGATTGGAAAATGTTGTATAGAGGAGCCATGCGTTTTGAGTACGTTATTTTTTTTTATTATTTTTTATTATTTTTTTTTTCAAAGTAAAAGAGAAAGTAGAACAGTCGCCAAGGTAAATTCTTTCACATTGGGGTTAATCCCACCTAACCTAAATTAGTCTAATTCACCTTTACATGAATTTGGTTTCTTGTTTTATTTTCATTCAAACGTTGAATATCAGATTACATTTTTGGTGTAGTTGTTTCAATTTATTCAATTCTTTACACGGGCATTTTTAGTGCATTTACATAGCTAGCACACTAATAATTTTTTCGAAAAAAGGACAAAATGAATTATTTTCAATATTTTGAATTTAGTTTAATTCGCTCAATGCAAAGTTTTTGTTTTTATTTTCGCGTTTGTTTTTTCTTCATCGTCTCTCGTGGGTTCATTTAAAAAATCTTTTCATTCGAACGTCCGATTGTCGCACAATGTACGTTCAGAGCTACATCAATTAATTCGCTTAATCTACGACAGCTGATCACAGATGAAAATTAAATTTTTTATTTTACTCTTATAATTAACCATAAATCTTAGGCGGCCTCGTACGATTTTTTACACAAACAAAAACTATTTTAAAAAAAGAATGCAAGACATTTGAAATTGTATGCAGGAATACTACGAATTTTTAATACATGTATGAACCGTATATAATCACACATAAATCAAGTATAAACTATCGTACCTGGTCGATATCCTGCGCTAAATAATTGATTGTAAGTGAAATTCGAAACGGGCGTGAAAAATTTATAAAAATCAAGGGAAACAACAAATGCGGTCTTGTCTCCCGACGGACAATTGTAGACATATATTGATGTTATATTCTGCATCGACCATTCTTGATGATACGATAAATTATACATAACTTGTACGTAAATTAACTTGGCCAAACAAAATCGACCATGAATATTTCTGTTTTGTTCGTTTCGAAAAGACAAAGAAATATTTACTATTGATTCATGGCAACTGATTTTGGCGTGTGGAAAAATTGTTATTTGTATAATTGAATTGAGAAATCATTCAAAGTGATTTATACTCGACCTATCATCGGGCCACGCAAGAAATAATTCGTGAAGCGCAGTTTCATTTGCTTCTTTTCATTTTTAAACAAAATATTTTCTTGACTTTCGATAAATCATTATTTCTGAATGTTTTTGCCAGAGTCATGCAGACAAGAATTGGTTTTTTAAACAAAATCCGGTTAACCATTTAACCACTTAACCATTCTCAGTTGTGAATATAAAAAATAAACAAACACAAAATATGTCCTAATTGACTTTTCAAATAAATATGTCTACCCTATTCTGTTATCCATGTGACTTCATCCATGTCACCTTCACCCTGGAACTTTCTGGTATTGGAAGAAATTTTCCTTATTGATATCCAATTACTGTCTATGACCTTTAACCCCAATAAATTGCTGTTTCACTTTACCCGATTAACTGTAGTGTGATCTCATTTCGCCATCAAATAATTGTTACGAATGTTCGATATTGACGTACGTCGTCGTTCTTGATTAGAATTTGGATAGACAATCACATTTTCTTCGTGACATCCCATCTATCAATCAGTCAAGAATTGGAAATTATATGGGCCATTGCTGAAAGGCTCGATTTATCTACGTTTTTTACAAGGCTGATTGTTAAATGAAATTTATTTCCTACACAACTTATAGGCACAAAGTACTTCTTTGTGATGTTTTCATTAAAAGATTTCATTTCTATCGAATGTGTAGTTCGATTTTTAAATTTTCTTGCGTAAATAGAAGTTATTGTGAATGTCTGGGAAATCTGACTAAAAATCGTAAAAGTGAACTGACATTTGACGTTCACAAAATTGAAATTCTAAATTTTAACAACGAAAAATTGCATCAGATTTATCAATTTTCATTGTTATTTCATCAACAATTTTTGTCAAACAAGTAAACTTCAAAATATTAATGTTTTCAGAAAAACTTCTGTCTCAAAATTTTGATTTTTATAACATTTGTATAGATTTCGAAACAATGAATAGAAATATTTCATTTTCAAATCAATTTTGTCTGTCGGAGATTAAAATAGGATAAATTTAAATTAAATAAATCATGTAATATGTTTACAACAAAGCCATTGTCTCAGCTCGAAATCAAAACGTTTAAATGTAAAACAAGAGACACAAATAGCGACATAGAATCCAATAGATATGTAGCTTGAATAAAACAAATTTTCTTGAAGCTGTCATGGCGGCGGGGTTCAGAAATTTATGAGTTTTAAACTTTTTATCTTGTCAACGGATATATACATATATATACTTCCGTCTGCAGTAGATGGTTACATCTTTGCCCGAAGCCAGGTTTATCCACCTTGGAGTTAATTAACATGATTTTGTTTATTGAGAATTATATTAAAACATTCCTATTTTTATGATTAGTACGCCGTGACATATGATAACGAAGTAGCTTTTCACTTTAGCTTTGGTATTTCGCTATATTCGAATTCACAGAGTTGACAATTTTATACCGCAACGTTCATAATAAAATGAAATAAATATCCCACATTTGGTAATAATATTTTGTTCACGTGAATTAGTGGTTAGTTTAATATGCCAAACGGTCAAAGTCAATATTATATACCCAAGCAAACATTTGGGCTCATGTTTGGATTCGTATGGTCCTTGAGTGTAAACTAGCAAATGCATTTTTTGATTGAATGTTATTCATATTCGTCTTCCAGGCCTTTGAATACTGAAGGACCACCCACGTCATATTCTCTGACAGCTCACGTGACTAAGACAGAGCCACTCATGCATGAATTTTCACCGCCTTCTCCCACAGATGACGTAGTTACGGAACAAAAACAAAAAAGATGTGGCGAAGGGTTAAAGGTCACAGACGACAGTCCAATTCAAGTTTCAGGATGAGGGGAATTGTGTCAAAATTAATTCGAGGTAGGTATTTGTTTACAAAGTTCTAAATAATTTTGGATTAATTGATGGTTATAACGTATCGTGTGACAGCCGAAGAGCGCTTGCTCAGAGACTTCTTCGAAGCTAATATCAAATTTAAAAAAGAAGTGAAACGGTGAAATGTCGTTTATATTCACCAAAATAATCAAATTAGATTGTCAGTCAAATGTCCGCTAGGACGTTTTATCAACGCCAATATCATATTTCTACCTCGAACGATTTTACTTAACCTAATCGGAAAATTCCAGTTCCAAGCGGAAAATTCCGGATCAAACCGGTTTTTGACAAGTGATGAACGTTTCCAAACAAGTCAGTCGATTTAACTCATCACTCAAATGTCGGATAATATCATGGAATGTAATAAGTCATGAATATGTCGGGGATTTAACGGTCGATTTAGATTTTCTTTATTTCGCGACTTACTATACAGTCTTAGTGGCGGTCCATCGAAAATGTATTTAGTTATTGACCAAATAGGGCGAATTCATTTTGCCGTACTTTCGTTTATGAGTCGCAATCGGACGTTATCAGCGACAACATATATATGACCTTACAAAAACTAAACTTCCATACTTCCATTTAAATTTTTTTTGGAAAATATATAAAAATAATTCCAAATGTCATTAACACATTTATGTCATTTATTTTATAAAATCAATCAATAATCTTCGTTTTAACTTCGTCTGGACGAATTGGTCATATTTTATATTATACTTAATCTCAGAACAAAATTTGGTATTTTGATCTAAAGTGTTTGTAAAAATGTCAATTTAAAGTATTTAAACCAAAAATTTCAATTTATCATCGTTTTTCCGCTCTGAATATTTGCCACGAGTAATAAATATCCTGTGAATATACCATTATTGGTTGTATAATTGACTCTGCTCAAATACCGCTTAAATTCCTAAAATTTCATCACATAAACTGTTGTTTTCTATATTTATTTTTTTGGGGGGAGGGGGGTGGATTCTCTCGCAACTAAGCTATAACCAAGAAATCATTTGCATGTGTGTTAGTTTGGTGATTGTAATAATTTCAGTGTCAGTTGGCTGAATAACTGTGCAGGGTTCAAACCCGGCATTTCATCTGTGAATTGAGGGAAAAAAGGACACAATTTTTTAGGTTCAATTGGGTCAAGATTTTTAGTCATGAAATGATTTTTAATTAATTTGGGGAAGATTTGTTTTTGTTCTATTTCAAAAAAATTTGCATACATTTGACACGCTTTTTGAAAGATTTGTCTTTGTTCTTGGAACGATCAAAAATGTCATAAATCAAATTATTTTACATATTAATTATGACAGAAATTCATGACGACAAATGTGTTTTTGCGGAAACACGTTTTGATGGTAAAACTGCAGTTCAGGAAGATGGTATTTCCGATACATGTTTGTAGAACCTATTTTTATCAAATGAAAAGAATAAAACGATCTTTTTATTCGTTTACTTGGATTGTCAAAAAAATTCTGAATCATAAAAGTTCGTAGTTGAATATACTCGAAAATGTTTTTTTCTAATTATGTGTAATATTGTGAAGTTTAGAATCAAAATCCATTTACTTTGTGACCTATACACTCAACTTCCCAAACTACACTCACTCTTCTTGAGTAGAATATAGAGATATTTACAACATTCGTCAATGATAAAAAAAAGTCTATTTAGAATATTATTTTCGTGTTTTTGATGGTACTGTATGGAATAATGGCGAGGATAGCACATTTTCCTCAATTTTTTCTCGCAATTAATACTCATCATAATTAGGCTTGCACGTAATTGACAAAAATCAATTCCGTAATTACGGCAAAATCAATTACGTAATGACCCCGTAATTGCGATATTTTTCCACGCATTTAAATCTATCATAACAACCAATTGAATCCACTTCTTTTCCGAATGGGACATTGAAGTTGGGTTTTCCTATTCTTGGCAGTACTACACGCCGGCGGCAGATGTTAAAGACAACTATCAAGGAGTGAATTCAAATAAATTTAGTCTGATTTTTATCTTTTGTGTTAGCTTTGGTTTTTCTTTATCACCTTCGCAAATTAACCGTCCCATTTTTATGCGATCAATTTTATTTTATCATTACCGACACTGGTATACGGATATTTATGGAAACGATAGTTTTTTAAAACCACCTTAGTACTGAATAAAAATTACGGGTTTCTAATTTATTAACAAACGACGAGCGTATTCTCTCATTTGATTATACTTGCGATTTCCTCGCGACGAAGACTTGTTTTTGCAGCGTTTTCTGCATTATCCGACATTACTGCCTTGTTAGCATTTTTATAATAATAATTATTGATGTCGACTTATTGACGATATTCCGATTACCATGCTTCATTATACATTCAATCATTTCGCGGACTGAATGTTTATAACATTATTTGCGATAAATTTAGATCAAATATTATTTATTTGCGTATAATTTAAATACCGAACTTATATGACATGCCTTCTCCGAAAATACAAAGTTATATCGCAAAACAATGCATTTTGTGACATTTATTTTACACTCACAACATTTATTTGCTAACTCAAGTCGGCGATCCTATCGGCCAAGATTGACACAAGTTTGGTCGAGTGCCGGTGGTATTCAAGTCGACGATAAATCAAAATAAGTTGCCGCATTTGGTAAGACAGTTAATCATATATGGCCGAAATATTGAGAGGAATTGTGAAAAACATCATGAGCAAAGCCAAGTCCGGACTGATATATAACGATAAACCGTTAACAGAACATCAAGATTTTGTAATAGAGAATGGATCTCGCACAGAATAAACACACAGCCTCATATTTGATTATATATGATAGCAGTTAAATTTTTAACGGTCCGCGAGGAATCCGTCGTTTTGGTTCATTACGCAATCTCTCTTTTGGTGTCATATTGCTATTTGATAAGCGCGACATTAATTATCACGGCGAGGTATTGGCGCGAGTGATCAATCGCTCTTTTCGCTTATTTGGTTCCAATTCGTTGCGAAAGCTCTTCGTTAAATTTCACAAGATCGTCGTGTTGAAAGGTTATGGATATTTTCCTGTTTATACCCCAAGTCTGAAATAAAACAGCAAAAAACAGTATGATATCCCATGTTCATATATCAAGTGTTGATATTAACAATAAAGAATGGTTAAGCATTGCTAATCCACACTTGGTGGGGAATTCCCACTATTCAAACGCGTGACTATAAAATATAATAAAATAGAAACGGAACATATATACCATAAGTAACGGAAAACTGGAACAAGTAAATAATAAATAAAAGTAAAATGGATACAAATGTTTGATAGACCATGTTCGATAGATTGATCTCCTGCGTTCATTAGTCATTTCACCCGAAGAAGTTGAAACCGGGCGTGTTAGCGTCCATCGGTCTTAGCATAATTCTTCCCCCTATCTACGGTTATTATGTACATTGGCCATGGCCATGATAGATAAGATGCGAGAGAAGTTAAAACCAGGTGTGTTGGCGTCAATCGGCCTCAACGCAATTCTATCCTTTATCTACGGTTAAGTTGCGGGAGAAGTTAAAACCAGGTGTGTTGGCGTCAAGCGGCCCCACTCAGTTCTTCCCCTTAAAACTACGTTAATAATTTACATTGGCCACGCCAGATAAGTTGATAATAGGTTAGTAAATGGGAACGCGTCATGCCTTCCTTCACCTACGCAACAAGAGAGTGAAAAACGGCTGCGAATACCGGAACTCTAACTTCTTCTACTTGTTGAGCTTTCATTTTTCGCAATCGACGAAATTGACTGCTTTGAAGAAAGCTCGTTTCAATGCAATAATTACGACTTTACGTAATTCGTAACATCCCTTCCGTAACTCCAAATAATTACGTAATTCCGTAAATCCGTAAATTACGTGCAAGCCTAATCATAATTAGTTAAAATTGAATACATACAAGACCAAATTATCGCAGTTTATAATTTTCTAAACATCTCGAGAGGAGATAAGGTATCAAACGACCCGATACCGATGTAATAACTACTACGGCCCGTAATCAATCGAAATAACAGCAGTAATAAATGTAATTGATTATTCGTTCAAATTTTGCTCGATATATATATTATTTGACGTTACTTTGACTCTGTCCACCATTCCAGGAAAATTTGAGAACTTTTGAACCAAAATCAACATCCAATTAACGCTTTAATTACGTATTTGTAAATGATTAAAAATGAATCATTTCTTTTTTAATGTTTATAATTTATTTTCGTTTCCTCTCAATTAATTATAAAATAATGGTTATACGATACGCCCAAGAATTCCCTATTTTAACCTCAGTTGACTTCAACATTTAGCGAACAAATTTGCACTGCTTTTTTTAGCATCCGATTTTTTGTCGTCAGCACGTCACAGTTTCGTTACGCACGCCACGTTTTTAAATCTGGTGTCACGGTTGATGTATGACGTGTCTCATAGTTTGGAATACTATGAGTTTCTTCTAAGATTAAGCGCTGGTTCTGTCATATACACTTTTCAGAAAATGAACTGTAATATACGAGTAATTTATAGTTATCTTCATAAATTTTAGTGTTCTAGATACGACGTCTTTTTTAAATTTTGATGCTTTGAAACACTATTTTATAAATGATTGTGAATTGTTTGTAAATTCGTCGCTTTATACAATATTTGAAAAGATTAACGAAAGTCCGATGCTTTTTTTTGTTCATTTTTATTATATTTATCCGTTGTCGGACTGTCATGAAACAGTAAAGGGCATTTTGTTTTGAGCGCAGACATATTAATATTGCTGAATACAAAGCGCACTGAATAGACACCTATTTTTAGAATGAACTCTCACGACCAATGTCAAATTCATTTTTCAATGCATTATTATATGTAACTTACAATTTTATAAAATTGGGTATTGTGACGTCATATTTGCGAGGTAGTGGCACAATTTGTCCTATTTACAGTATGATTTCATTCATTCGCTTGTTAGTTACGCCAGGCAAGCTGGAAAATCGAGGATGCAAAAGGAATTGCGTAATTTAGCGTATTGTACAGACCCTCTATCTCGTTCGCCACGAGTCAAAATTCAACCATTAAGCCATTTTAAGACTGATTAAAAGAACTTTGCAATTCTTCATTCGTCTGTCCATTTCTATCGAACCGACATGCGAGTTCTTGACAGCATACTTACTTAAATTACGGTATTTAGGACCCCGTCGCTGACACCATTGATTTTGCGGCTTAATTATTTCAGCAAACCGACGTTTTTGATTGGCTTTGAGTGGCATGACGTACTCGACGAAAGACATCTTAGTTTGACAGCCGTCATCCTGTCAGATTTTTAGAAGCCAAAACGGTTCAAACTCGTGATATTGATCTGTTTTCTTATGGTTTTCCTCAAGCCTTTATCCAATCAACTGACTTGACAATACAGATACTCAAGCCTAAACATTTGTGATTAAAGTACATTCATAAGATATTATGGTGGAGAGTTCACTCACATAATGCGCATTTAAGCACGCTAAAATGTTTTGAAATCGATTCGCATAACCAATGAGGAGATCATTCAATATCTGATCCGATAATGTTGCATTTGCGATTTTATATTGTGTGTTTCGTGTGTTTCGTATCATCGCCGCAGACAAAAGCCTGAATAATACCCACTTATAAATAGAGGAGAACGGCTTTTTAGTTAGGTGTCGGCGCTTTCATACCTTTCGATGTACCTCGTCACTCCTCGCGTCGCCCGATTTGAGTTATCTACTAATAAATATTATGTTTAGTTTTTCATAATACGTTTACATTATGTTGGCACATAAATAATTGATTGATTGGTTAGGTATAATCCGCCCAATTGATTGGCTGGGTGATGTTGAGGGACAAAATCCTATAAACTATCTTTCAATTTCAACTTGTTTCAAAACGAACCTCTCAAAAGTGAGCACTTTTTCACCAAGTTATGATACAGTACAGTCAATCTTACGGCATATTCCCACAGTATGTGACAAGTTACCACGCGGTGGTAAGCTTGTTATTAAGAAAAAAGCATTTTAATTAACTATAATTTATGTCTTAAATTAACCCCACGCTGTGTATGATTAATCAGAAGTCGGAAGTCACGACTTAATTTCATAAAATAATGAATCTCTCAAATATTCACTTAAACTGAATGCTGTAATTTACGTTTCATTCTCGAACTTAATTCACCTAACACGGATCGTGTGTCTATAGCTCATTATAAGCCCGAAGAATTCGTCGTACTCTGGAATCCAACCAGGTGAAAACCTATTTGTCTGACGAAGTAATGGTAATTGCTCTCATGTGCGACATCTTGCGTATTCATTTTTTGTGTATGCCGTTAACTATGATTGACTGACAGATGCAAGCCCTCGCGTGATTTAGAGTTAATGTATTTTGTTAATAAAAGAATATCTATATTCAATGCAAAACTCCAAATATAATGTATCAATACCTTGTTATTTTTATTTCAGGAAATATATTAGGATTGCTACGAATTATGTTGACCCCCAAACTTGGACGACGTGCTGATACATTGGATGGAATGGTTTCTAGAACACCACCTTCTGTTTATATTCTATAAGTAATCAGATAAACTTCTGCCAGCGTCACTTCTACCACCCGAAATCAATATGTTCTTTTCACTCGATAGACAAGGTTGTATGCACTTTAATGCACAACTCGGAGCGACACAGAAGGGAGACTGACTTTAGTTAATATGTAGAATATAAGCTTCAAATAAGTCTTCCCGGACATACATAAGAAAAGCAGCAAGTTGTTCATTTAAGAACGTATGAATGCAATTTTTGACATTTGAAGCAAAGCTTTTTCTATCGAGGTAAAAATATTGTCGATTATACTGTATTTATATAGTCATTTTCTTTCACTGTTTATGTTTTCCAGTAGTTTGTGATTATTATTTTTTAATTTGAACGCTGCATTTTATACGCGCCCATTTTGCCGCCTTATCCCTGTTCATTGCGGCTTTCACAATGTTATGACGTAATAATTCTTTATATTTACACTTTCTGTTATTTATCCTTCAATATTCCGACCATGACTTTATTTTATTTGCAATAAAGGAAAAGTAGATGAGAATATTGTTTGTTTTGTTGACCTGACTTGACAATGTCCTCTCAACTTGATTTGTCAGGGATCTAAGCAATTTCGTAGTTGAAATGTACTTAAAAACCAAGCTCATAATAGTGAAGTCACTAACTTTATGCTCACAGTCATCCGCACGATGACTCTCTCCAAAAAAAAAATCTTAAATCAAACTAATAAGAATATGTTCCGTGATGCTGAAGTTCCATATGAGCAGGGCCGGATTTGGACGATGAGACAGACTCCTTGGACAACAGAAATTGTGAAATCCCTTTTAACACATTGGCATGTGTATCCATTAGGATGTCATAATAGGCCTTCCCTGCAGATGTATTATGACTCCATGAAGAATTTTGATGGTTGCACTAACTGCGAAATTATAGTAACAGGCAAGATACGTACGATAATCACCACAATAGGTTGGATCATAAGTTGAATTGAGAAACACTACTGTAATAAAACGTCACTGCACCAGAAAACTCGACGTCATAATATCTGGGTTTAGTCGCGATGGGAAGCGGGCATGTGGCAATTATTGATAAATTTGACATAACTGATAAATAAAGTTGTCATATCATAAGAACGATATGATATAAATGAACTGGTGAAATTAACGGGTATACGATAAAAAAAATCCAAGCAGGGAAAAATATGTTTACTAGATTCTTTGTTGCTTGGATGAAATCAGTATAATACTAACTATATTATATCAATATTTTCATTTAATTTTTCAAGTGAAGGCATTATTAAGGTAAAAACTGTTCAACTATTTCAAATTTAAATTGACATATTTTGTTCTTAGAGATAAAGGCGTAGACTTTGGACCAATTCATTTTTCGACGTATTAATTTTTTTAATATTTTGAACAGAAACATTAAAAAAAGATCAAAAACCTGATTCCAACATTTTTAAAGCTTTCACAACTCAAAAACGGCATGGTAATAGATATTACTTCAAAATTGAATGCCGAGGTTCAGGGCCTAATTGCCTAATATTAAAACCAGCTCTTCCTATGAGTGACCACAATCTCGCTAGGAACCCTTGTGAATACTATGTGTATTATATATATTATGTGTGACGTGTCGGAGTTTGGTACGTTTTCACTGCAGTCAGGGTCATATTTTCGAATCTGTGGGAGTCAGAATTGGAGACATTTAATGTTGATAAAAATTCCAAACTTTTTGTACAGAAACTCAGAAAACATTAAGTTTTTTAGTCGTTTTTAACTGTCCATTAATGAAGACTTGAATACGCCAAAATTTTTGTTATCAAAATTTGATATCATCGTAGTTCGGATCTGAAGTAGAAATATCTAGAACCGAAGTTAAAATTTTTCTTGACCCTGAGTCGGAACCAAAATTGTTGTTGAACTGGAGTCGGGAACCGGAGTTGATTGTTAATGTTCTTCGACTCCACGACTCCAGCACTTACAATATTTTTATACAACAGAACAGTTAGTTTAAGGTGCTTCAGCATGCTTTAATAAACAATTCATTATGTTATATTCATCTGAAGGGATATGGAATCTTAGTTTTTCCATCAACAAAAATTTGACATGACAAGAATAGTATTATTTCAAATGTTTTAAATTTACGTAATGAATTTCGTCACTAACGTCTTCAAATTTTTCGAAACATCGATACCTGAGTGTTAATGTACTTCCTAATTCACCCATTGTTATTATGGCAACTAGAGTCAATCAAACGATTATGAATTAAAATCACAAATTTATTGAATCGTTTCTGTTTATTCTACGAATTCATGAACATGGCCTATATTTACAGGATCATATCGCCCATAATCGCTTTTTTAATAAATCTGACTGGAAATATGTTTTGCTCCACATGAATACTCATACCTTCTGTCAACTTTTAATATCTATCTTAATCAAGAAAAATAGCATGAATTACACTATTTACTTTTACCATTTGACCCACAATGGTGTAGCGGAGTAGGACAAATATGCTAAAAAAGGGACATGCAGAGTACGGCATTTTTGAGACACCGATATAAATAAACCTCTCACTTTCATTTTCTTTTATTTATTTGTAGTAATTGATAACAATAAAGTAACGAATACAGTTACTTCCTCGGACTTGACATCTCTTTTTTGATGATTTCAACTGTTTCGAATATTATCATCATCATAAAGTGATCTTGGTGGTACGGAAATGAATAAAACATCATATGCAATAGAAGACAAACAATTACCTGATCCCAAAGTGCGGTATACAAATGATGGTGTAAACGTTCTGAAATATGGTGTAACATAATTTCGAGACGTTTCAGATAAAGATGTGGAAATCTTGGAAATGAACACTAACAAGCAAATCGAATGCAAATCGCATTTCGCTCAAGATGAAGCTTCATTGAATGAAAGATTATTCATGACAGTTGTTTTTATCTTGAAAACAGCTGCTCCGCAGGCATCATCATATCTGCGGTAATGTTCATCTTTCCCGATACATGGCTCGCTATCGGGACTCATTTTTCTTCTATATTTTCAGCATTTGAAAATTTCAAAAATTTGACTTGGTTCAGACCAGGATTTCCCAAACTTTCTGTTCTAGGTACCCTTAACAATTTAGGATTCACTCGTGTATCCCTGAAAAATACTGCGTGCTGTGATTGAACAAAATAAGTCATGTAATCTGCGAAAGTAGTCTTGTTAGTTACTGTAGGTATAGCCACAGCCGCTTACGTTGATGAAAATGTGTCTTCCTGAAGAGTTGTTAAACTGAGTTTTTCAAATTATTAACATCAGGTAATAAAGTATAAGGCAAATCTGAAGTTATGAAAATAATATTCATTACCATACCTAATGTACCCCTTGAAAGGCGAAATGTACCCCCTGGGGTACATGTACCCCAGAACATGGAGCACTGGTTTAGACAGAGAATAAATGTTTGATTATGCTTTAATTTGCTACGTATTTAACCTATGAATTCTAATCCCGAATATGACCCCTGAGTTCGCTGCAGCAAATATTTATATGTCAGAGATGCAGCTTTTATGGCCGAATTTATAGCATCGGGTATGAATCTTTCATAAGCGTGATGCGTATAACATTCCGTGAGTTTCAGTACTGTTCACTTAAACACTTATTTGTTTAAACAATTCATTGAACTACAACTTGAGCAAGAAACTTCAGATAAAATGACAGCCATCGATGCCGAGTATTGTATTAAGTTGTAAATTTTTCAGCATTGATTTCATTATCGTGATTTTTTTATGTGTTTCCACTAATATTTTGGTGACTTGTCGAAATGGCTGTGCATACTGCTGAAAAAAATTATTCTTGGAGAGGTAGGATGGTATCTGAATATATTTCATGAAAACGCGTGGCCGGAATTAAAATTTTCTGTAACGTAGAGAATCAAAAAATATTGCATGAAGTCAATATAAACAGGAAACAAGATGTAACTATATAATCCATAAATTAGATAGATTTAATAATAAAACAAACAGTTTCTATGTACAATACAAAAAAGGCACAAAAGTAAGACGTCTTACTCCTGGAAAACACAAGCGGGGTGTATACTCAGGAACCGATTTTATCGGTTTGGTAAAAAAATAATTTATACTTAAAAGCTTATGAAGAAGGACATTTGATTAAAAAAAAATCTTTCAACAATTATTACAGAAGTGAACCGTGAGGAATCATTTTGCGTTTCATCCTATTTTTTTCATTCGTGTGTATATTCTATTCTCTAAGTGAGTCTATTCTATAACTCAGATTTAAGCTTGAGGGATTTAGGACTTAGTTGTAAATGTTTGGTTTACCGTATCCATTACAAGACACATCAACACCTGGTCAGATAATTCAGCAGTGATTGATCAAACTTCTCTCATATCGGTCTCATGACAATTAAAAAAAATTAATAAATAATTACTAATTAAACCGTAACTTCACAGTTGTACAAATCATAACTCGAGTGATATCAAAGAATAAAATAAATTTGGTCGAGTTTGATTCTAAGATAAATGACATATTCTTCCTACTAGACGCTGTCGATTTGATTTGCTGATAACAAAATCTAGGTGACTTCTCGCGTCAGACCGTTCATCGTCAAACAAACAATTAAATCTCGCGACGAAACATTACCTTGCAACTGACAGCAGACGCTTCTGCTACTTCTCGACTAGCTCTGCGCAGCTGCCGAGCTCTAGCATATGTTCGGACGCCCTTCTGAAAACTGACATCAGTGTTAGGATGGGCTTCTGTAGGCCTGCAGTTTTTATTATCCTAATAAGCTATAGTTAGCCTAGTAAATGTATTTTCACGATGAGTTTCTGCGAATGCCTGCAATTTTTGTTATGCTAATAAGCTATATAGTTAGCTTAGTAAATGTATTTTCGCCGAAGAATTTCTACGGTCAGTATTTTGTGTATTCGTGTATTATTCCCAATCGCGGCAACGTGAATATCAAGTTCAGTGGAAAATTTTGACGTGAATAGAATGCATTCCTATTTGAGCTTTATTCACATTCTTGTACTTCATATTTTGTTTGAAATGTCTCAGATAAATTAGAATATATGTCATTAAAATCCCATAATGGACGGATTATCAACAACGGTAAAAAGTGAAATAGACACAAACTCGTTGAGTGTATCATGGGGCGCGAATATATTCGACGTTGATTGTTCAATACTATGCCCAAACAACACGGAAATATCACAGGACACACGCAAAAATGATTTACTTGAGCAACTCGGTCAATTTTTTTACCCAAACGAGTCGCTCGAAACGCAAGATTTGCACCCGTATATTGCACAAGAAGACGGCGAAAGTGAATTTTCCGGGTTAAATGGACTACCTGCTGATTTTGATGACCTGTTTGCTCCACTGACAGACGGCGAGCAAGATTATTTGGCGAACAATTCCCCTACATGCTCATCGGGGTACGGCTCATCACAATCTTCTCTCAGCAGTATAGATTCTGGAGAAATCCCATTTCCTTTATCACAAGCAACGGCTGATGTTAGCAATAACCCCATGGATTCAAGGTTACCTCCGCTGTCAACTGTGTTCTGTAACAAAATGGTGGACCAGGGAATATCTATAGATATCGATTCAATGATATTTCCAAATTTATCATGTAATTCAAAACCCGCTGAGTCCGTTTTAGAGATGAATGTACCGTATTTTATTGGTTCTCAGCAAATACCTAATTCCCAAGTTTGTCGAGCCAACGATAACCGGATTTTGATTTGTCCTTCGGGCGCAGTAAATGGAATGCCGGTATCGAATTTCTCAGCAGTGAATCAATGTCGAGGTTCTGAATCAGTAGAATCGAAAAAACCATCTCGTCCGAGGAAAAGAACAGCTAACGACAGAGAGAAAAATCGAACACACAACGTTAATTCTGCTTTCCAGGTAAGAAATCATCCCCAAATCATTTTTAGTTAAAGTTGAGCTAACGATCTCAATTCTCGGTTAGTCTACTTTCAAAATAATCCGGTACCTAGGTAGTATGTGGAGCAGGACGGTGGACACCTGAACGTAGTATGTTTACCAGGTTAGGGTTAGGCCATAATTTCAGGTACAAATACTACGGGAATCACTTGGCTAGTCCCTGAACTCGTAATAGAACTAAAATAAAGAAAATCGGAATAAAATTACGGCCTAACCCTAACCTGGTACACATACTACGTTCCGGTCTCCGCCATCTTGGTTCACATACTACCGGAGTACCCTAAGAGCATTTTATTATAGAGTTTCTTAACAGGTGTTTACATTTTTTGTGTGAATCTTTGTATTTTTACAGAATCTACGAATGTTGATTCCAACGGATCCAATCGACAGAAAATTATCGAAAGTCGAAACATTGAGGCTGGCAATAAGCTATATAAATCATTTGGGTATGTATATAAACAATTGTACTAGTCTTCAGTAATAGCAATGCGTTTTCTTGTTTATTCCCGTCAATGTCATACTAGTAAAACCCCACTTATTCAATTATAAAGCATTTGAAGATTCTCCGATTTTTTTACAAATTTTCACTGTCGATGGAAATAAAATCCAAAATTCGGAAAAACAGAAATAATTATTCGCCAAACAAATGATAATCGATTCTGTTAGTGGCATAGTCTTAGAATGTACACATTTAGTCATAGTAACAATACCACTATGACTATATTTATTTTCGTAATGCATAGGTATGACGCTTCATTCTGACGAATGGATTGAACAGCCTTGTTTATCGAGACGAAGAACAACCAATGGTGAGGAATATTTGTCAGTGACAGAAGGTCCAGTCTGTACGTTTTGTATGAGCAAGACAAAGATAAATACAAAGGTAGGTTTGGGCATTTAGCAAGGTGAAAGCTCCGATAATAAACATCAAACTTGTCGCCAGGTTGTTCGTTTCATTCGCTCATTTACGATAATAATATGAATTGATCAGACAGTTCTGTATAATGTATGTATTAACTAAGTCACATGTATGTTCAAAGATGAAATTAATATCGAAAGTTTCTCAGAGTGTCACGTGAGCGAGTGAGTTCTTTGTGCGGCACATGTAACAGATGCATTACTTATTTTTAACGGCGCGCGCGAAATGATCACGTGCGATACGGATGAGTGATCGCATCTGCTTCATTAACAGCTGGATAACTTTATATTTGTAACGTAGTAACAACTGGACCGAGTTATAATTTACTAATAGGATAACGGTGATAACAAGGTTTCAGTTTCTGATTGTCGAAAACGTGTATTGGGGATTATCGTATGGGATAATGAATTGATGGGTTATGGCAAGCCCCGTGACACAAAAAGACATGTTGTCACTTGAAACTAAACCTGACACAGATAGACACGTTATTAACCTTTTATAATCTTTCTGATGCGCTATCAAACAGTGGATTTCATCTAAAAGTAATTTTTTTTTAGATGAAATCTAAACTGATGCCTGATCAGTAACACGATTACAAATACCATCGAAAAATTAATGTTATTGAACAATGATTAATTATATTTGAACGACGTCCTACATTTCGCAACATATCTGAAGATTTTTTTTTCTATCGATAAACATTGTCTGAATTTTAAAATTAATTTGAATGCGTTTTGAACCTCTCATTTTATATTACACGTTTTTAGAAACACACCATCGATTGAACAAGAATCAAAGTATAGTTAAAAAACTGTGATGTACAGAAATCTACGAAAGAGAGAAGTCACTTCTGTTGTTGTTAGAACAAGGTCTATCAATGTTCGGGAATTTTTATGATTATCGTCATTTTATAAAAGCTAATTTATTCGTATATGAAACAAAGTCATAATTTCTTTTGCTGTAAATTTTCGCATACATGTATTACAATTTTTGAACGTGTAATTTATTGACATAATTTTCGATATCTTGTATTTGGATTACTTAGTTACACTATTTTGAATATATCTATTCGAATCTTGTTTAGTGTTAAAACGTATCAAATCTGTATAAGAGAAGTTCCCTATTATTTCATACCAACGTATTATTCTTTTTAATGCTGTTTTTGATACTTCTTTTGTCATTGGTTTGCGTATGAGCAAGTTTATTTTAATGGTGAAGTGAAGAGCTTTTGCTTATTTATTGTTGGTTTTACAACACTATATTTTTCAACTGCTAAATTTTTGATTTGAGCATTCAAAGGAATGTAAATGTTTTCATTTTGTATTAGCAAACTATCGAATTTATTGAAAGTGATGTCTAGTAATTAAATATCCCAACACCGCTGCACGCGAAGCGTCGCGGTGTAATTTTATTCTGTCACACAATATTACCGTGAAAAGCCGATGAATTACATTAAGACATCTAATTGCAAAAGTGAATAAGTAATAATACCAGATGGTTTTATAAACAATATTATTATATTATGAATATTAATAAATGATAACAAATTTTACTGACATGGTGCCTAATTATATACAACACAAGAAATTTTGAATTTTACCATTTTCCTCACATATTTTGATATATTGTATCGGTTCCTATATATATATATATATATTGCATTATTTATTGGGTTTCTAGCATGTGTTTTCTACGCTGTCACAAATATTTTTGCATATGATTTAAATTTGTAATAAAAAAAACAGAAATAGATTCTGTCATTGTAGTTGCATAGGAGCTATTTATTAGGCGCCAATTCAGAAGCGGTTTTTAAGAAACATCAAAAATTTAGGGAATTTAAATGGATATAGCAAGAATATGTTACGAGTCTATTGCATTCATAAGTTAGTTGGTGGTGAGGCTCTCAAAGACATTCACAGCTTGAGTTATATAAAACTAATGCCAGGAAAAGAAAAGTGAATCTTCTTATGATATTTTCATTCCTGCTACAGCATCCTTGCATTATACGCATACAAATCCACTAACGCAAAGGCACTGAGGGATGATTGGGGATTAGTCACGCGGAACCTCTACTGAGTTTATGGTTGCTATTTTCGCAATTAATTTGTTGTTAAATTCTGAATAGTTGAGAAGCGATGAAAGGCCGGTAAGACAATTCGTTATTATCAATACGAGTTCCGGCATCGTTGTTGCGATCCATCTAAAGCAGTCTTTTCCAACCTATGGGTAATTATTCCCCAGCGGTGCTGGGGGGAATTTGCGTCACTTTAAAAAAATACGCACGCACAGTAAGCGAATCAAGTAAGCGAATGAATATTGCACAATTAAAATCATAAAATATAGGTATATGAAACAAAGTGAAGGATGATTACAAGTTCTCGAGATTTGATAAACTTCTTGTAAACATGTTGTTTTCCAGTGATATCTAATTACACCAGTAATTGTGATTAAAACCTTCATCAATAATACGTTGAGTCTCTATTTCATGATATGTGGTTAATGGTAATGGAGCGCATGATGAGGATTACACTTGTATTGTTTAGAAAATATGCATGAATATATTGCGAGAATACTACATTATTTATTTAAAATATGAACGTTGCTCTCGTATTTTATGAACCAGTTGTACAAAGCAAAATGTTAAACTTTTTTGCTCCTCTCATTAGTGTATCTGCATTCTTGATTGAATTACCTCTTATTATTTTCATGAGCGCTAAACATTTGTTTGGGAAGGTATTTTGTGGGCAGGGCCTGTGGGCATTCGAACGGGAATGAAAACAGCTTTTTTATGCAAGACTAGTACTTAGAAACATTCAGTAGTGCACCCAGAATTCGTTGTAGCTTTTAAATATTTTGGGCTCTGCCCGCTGTGCCAATTCTAATCGTGATTCAAGAAGTTCGCCAGAAACGCTTTCCGCAGAAACAACAGAACTTTTATCCCCAAATATATTACGCTAGGAAGATTAAAGACCCAATGACATTTCCTCAAAGTACTCTGTCCTAGACATTTTCATACCAGTATAGTTAATCGATGTGCTCCAGAAAGTATTATGACAAGCAGATACCAAAAACTTGGTAAACACCGGACAAACGTTGTGCATACGTTTTAACGCAGGCGTTGTGCTTTTATTCGTGACACTGCCAATTTTCTATAAATACATTTGACAGCAACTCATTGTGTATTACTGTGTTTATCCCATACCATTCGGTGAACCCATGTACACCATACCGATGAGGTACACCCTCGGAAGCTTGTTACACCCTGGAGTGTACTATACATCCGGTTGGCGAGCACTGATCTATTCTAGGACATCCGCCATGCTACGCCCTATGATCATCTTCACAATGCAAACATGTTCGCTCAGCTTTATTACATTCATTGTTCGTCAGGGGCATGCCAAATTTGTATAAAATGTTTGTATTATTATTATTAATAAATTTTATATTATCAAACGGCGCTCACGTAATATGTGCACCACGATGGTGGACACCGGAACGTAGTATTTGTACCAGGATAGGGTTAGGCCATAATTTTATCCCGACTTTTCTTAGTTTAGTTCTATTACGAGTTTGGGGACTAGCTGAATGACTTCCGTAGTATTTGTACTTGGAATTATGGCCTAACCCTAGCCTGGTACACACGCTACGTTCCGGTGTCGGCCGTCTTGGTGCACATACTACGGGGGTACCTATCAAACTAAGCAACAAACTAACCCCTATAACGTTCTACCTGGGGCGGCTGCCCCTATACCTCTTCAGACACGCCTCTTCATGCCTTCCTCCGTCGCATCTCGCGCACCCTGTTGATAATTTGTTGAAAGATTGATTGGCAATTGAAACATCTTAGCGGTGGCGGATATACCAATCGGCAATCATCTAATTGCACCTTTCGACTGGCCATTTGTCTGTTTATATCTCGCTTATCTCGCGAATTTTTGCGTCACCCAATTGTTTACAATTTGGCAGTTTTGTCATTTGAGATTTACCACAATAATCCCCCACTAGCCAAAACTTTCACAGTGCTATACTTGGCGGTTTGTTCACGTAAACTTCTATTTTAACTGTATTGAGAATTAGGATTATTTTTCCTTGTTGGATGGTTACCACCTGACACCGCTACGCGGGCTTGGCGAATTCCCTCCTGTCATTTTTGATAATGCAACATTTCTCAATTTGACTGCATGCCCAATTTCGGTATTGTTTCAACGTTTATTTGTTTGTTCTTCAGTATCGTACCATACATAAATTACTCTACCGGCGATTAATTTTAAATTACAACATTAAGTTAATTAAAATTATATAAAACAACTCACAATTTTCCTTGTAGAAAATTGGTAGGACACCGCTCCGCATGACTCCGCATGACGTCCTCATGCGCAGGGAACAAAAGTGAGCATCTTTCTATCTATACTCTATTCTCAGGTTGAGCAAGAAAAGTAATTATAGCCAATTCACCCGCGATTATGTAATATTTTAAAGTTGACGTTGATATTGACAAAATGAAATTGAACTGGAGAACATCATTATCGTAATAGTGGTTCTCAAACCTCGCATTGACAGGGGAAGTTATTGTCTGTAATTCGATATGAAATAAATAGTCATTGATAGTGTTTGTTACTCATCATCTCGTTATTTCCATTTCCATGTTTGTCGTATTTTGTTGGCTGGATTGCACCTTTCAAGCCATACTTTATTTGTCGAAGCTGTTAAGCATTCCGCTGTTCCGAAATTCATGATCGTACCGTCCTTTGAGTAGTAAATGAAAATAATAAATAGGATGGTCGTTCGCAGATTATATATTTACAAAATGAAAATTTTATATAGAGCCGATTTGGCGTAAAGACAAAATGTTTATGTACTATTTTTTCGGATTTGTATAAGTTTCGCAATAAATCAGAAATAGTTTTTGAACTAATTTAGAAGAACGGAGAATTTGGTCTTACATGTACGAAGATTGTCAATGAACCTGTATCTACAATTTTCATAATGGTGAAATAGGAAATATTATTTTACCTCTGCTATTTCCCATCTCTGGGTATCGGGCGCCATTTCCTTGTTTGCAGCCGGATAACCGCACCTTTGAACTTCGACCTTGTTGCCTTTAGCGCCCAGACATATATCACGTGATCCAGACTGTCGTAATTCGTCCTAAACGAGAAATTGATATAACACTAGTAGTAGCCGATGCATATACATTGTACCTCATCTCAAATTATGTTTAAAGTAACGGATATAAACTAGATTCAGATACACAAAGTTACCAGTGGCTATAAATAGGAAACTTTCGACCAAAGCTGTGTAATTTGTACCATACAATTCGAAGACGGGTCCCGTGCAAAAATACCGAAGCATAAAACTGGCCTCGTGCAAATTAGATTATTTATTATTTTTCAACACTTCGATTTTTATCGATGTCGAGTTTACATCTAAAAAAATAATATATACTGGTTTTATAATGACAAGATACAATACTATTCGGTGAAAGAAAGTAGGAATAATTGATTTACATTCGATTCAAATAATCACGGTATTTTTTTTTGCAACAAGGTTGGCAACCTTCTAAACTTTTTTATTGAATTTTAGCAACCGTTTTATATACCTGCTTCGTATATTCGAAATACTGTGTTACCAATCCTTTCTGGAATGCATCCACGCATATGGGTCGACCTGGTATTGCGTTGGTGTTATGGGTATCAAGGCAAACGTCAGTTTGATATCCAAAACGGCAGCAAACCTGCAAAAGTCACCATACTATTCTTTGTATATATAGATAAGATAATTTATTTTGAAATGTATATGAAGAACAAAACAACGTGTAGTAGATATGCTCCGCTCATTTCGGCACAACAATATCATGAATCTATCCTAATTATTACGTCACTACATGATGTAATAAATGATGATGATTACACATTGTATTGTTGAATTGAGGGGGAAAATTTGGGGCATAACAGATATGATGAACAACTAATCCTGTAAACCTCAGCCTTATAATATAATATATTATCGATGGAAAGTGCCATTGACATCCACACACTCGATAAAACAACTTACTGATCCGCTATGTAAAGGGTTGAGTTCAGGGATGTAGAGTTCCGAATATATGTTTTCAAGATACCATTCAAAAGATTTGCATTCGAGTTCTTCTCGAAGTTTTTGCCGAGTTGTAACGTTCCCAGCATCAGCCTGTTGGTAGATGAAATTATTATTCCGAGTTTTCTATTGCTAATACTAAAATATGTTATTTGATTGACGTGTACGTTTTGAGTACGTGTACGTTTACTTAGGATAGTACAAATAGAAAACCTCATCATCTTAGAAATAGAAAAAACTCACTGCCTGTGCATATGGCAACCGTTTTAAAAATATATCTTTGTAATCATCCATCCAAACATCAGCAACTCGTCTTTTATTTGACAAAACGGTTTGTAACGTTACGGTGTCAGGTGCATGGTTTTTGAAAACATGTCCCACGTGACTACAAGGTATAATTTCAAGTCGACCTCCGCACATCCAAGTCTGTGAAAATACAAGAGATTTTGAATACAGATGTCTAAAATCTATTTACCTGGGCTTGCTACAATACTAAATAAATACACACATATATTGCAGTCATTATCAGTGTCTTAGGTATACAAAAATATGAAGCATTTTTACTCGAAATGACATTTCTAGATTGTCTGCTCCCCAAACTTCCATTCCCTCGTCGTATGCTCCCATATCTAGAAAATATTTTCTGTCAACACAGAATGCTCCTCCTGATATTGTTGGTGTGGGAATAGGAAGGGACATATCTGAATCCGGGTTTTCAAATCGTTCTCTGTGTGGTGCTATCCATCGAAATGACAACGTCCAATCAAATCCTCCTCTCTGAGCCTTTAGTGTGATATAGAATTATGTGGAAAATTGACATATAATAAAAATATTGCGAACAATGCAATGTTCAGTTGGTGTATCTAGAAACAACCGGCTTATAATGTCCTAATTGTTTATCATTATCAAGAAAATTGCAAAGAGCCAACATCAATCCTGGCTAAATTCAATATTCAATGGTACTTTTAGTAATAAGATGGGAGAACATTCCAGTAAGAAGCCATGTGTAACAAAATATAATCTTATATTCGGTAATGAAATGTATATATACGTTCATTCGTAGGTAGGACTAGTTTTACAAAGAGTTTCAATGACATCCATGTTGTATAATTCGAATTAGGTATTTTATATTATTTGAAGTTGGATATTACCATATCTAAAACACGATTGTTACCGAAATATTTTAAAAATACAAATTGCTCTTGCTTACCATTTGCATGGGACTCACACCGAAGGCAAATGTTTCAGGTTCGATAATTTCTATTATTGGAACTACAATAACTTTTTCGTTTTCCTGTATTCTTTGTAGCAAAGGTTCTATCCAACCTTCATAGCATTCACCTGAAGAGTAAAGATCGCCGTTATTTTTCTTAAAGTCCTAGTTCAAGTCCAATTTTACCTAGTTGTCGAAACGTATCCGCCTCAACAAGTATAATTAAATTGTTCTAGGGGACAATTTTTACTCGTAGCCGTTGGCACCTATGTACACCTTCTAGGCTTGTATCTTCACCCCATGAATTCGAAATAGCGATGCCCACCAGCGCCCCTCTTGGATAACTTTATAAGTGAGTCAATCGTGTAAAAAATCTTATGAATACAGATGTAGAAGAGTAAAGGTGACATATTCTACGAACAATGTGAGTCCAAAAAAGCAACAGCTTGTCCATTCGCATGTTTCAATCCGAGCATTCTGGCTTTGGCGACACCAAGTGTTGTAGGCGATCTTATTAGTTTCACCAATGATGCTATTTCCCGTACTTCTTGCTCGAGTGGTTCTCGCAAATACTCTGAAAATTAAAAACACATATCAAACGTGAATAATGAAACATTTCATTTAAAACACAATCAGTTTGTATATATGATGAAGCAGACAAAGAGGAATCTCGAAACTTTTTGTTGCTGGTATTCATCCGAATGGATTAGAGTTAAGATTAAGTAGTTATGGTTATCACCATCACCAATCAACTTCATAATTAATCACAAAGCAAAAAGTACTTCTTTTAACACCCAATCTTTTATTCTTTGCGACTAAACAAAGAATGAAATCATTATATCCTTGTTTCCTACCAAGGTTACTGTTGTCGTCAACCAATATAACTTCCTTGAGAAGTATAGCAGGTATAGTTTCCAATACACTGTACATTGTCCTCTTCAGTATGGAAAAAGCTTCATTGCGAAAACTTATAACAACAGATACGCTGGGCAGTGGTTTCCTGAATATTTTTGCCTGGAATAAATACTCTTGAAGTAAGTTTTTAGCAAATGCTCTCTTACCTACAATGGTTATAGTAATGTATCCTATTTTAAGAGGATATACGCTTTATGGTTTCCATACCAACGAACCTAAGCTTGGATATAACAGTCTATTAGCAAAGGCGAGCGAGGTTTTGTGACCAAGGGTCAAACATTTTGCCCACTTAAACTGGCGGGCCATGTACGTGTGACGTAAAAAGTTTACAATATTTACACTTACAGTGTTACAAAAGCATAAGTGAAAAACAATAAGCTTCGCGCAAAAGCTAAATTTAATCGCTATCTCAACAAATTCCTTAAGATATTTTTGGGTGAAACATCAAAATTTGGGTAGTGGAAGCACCAAGCGTGCCAGATTGAATTGTCCAGCGTGTCGTAGTTTGCCCATGTCAGGTCATAAGTTGAAGAGCGCAAAATGCACCCGGGAAATTCGATCTAAGTTATTTATCTTGGCTGATACCTTGCACTGTTCTTCTCGCTTGTCTCCAAGGTTTCTGTGAACGGATATTATATCACTGACAATGGTGTTGAAACCATGCTGCTGATATCCTTGCATTATCATCGGTGCAAGAGCAGCTCCGACCTTTCTAGGAACATGAAACGCACGACCGAATTCTCCTGGAGAATTTCTATCTGATGGTGGTTTCTTCAAAGCTGGCAACAGTTCCAATGGACTGTAAATTGAACTGTCAATGTCATCAACAGCTATGCCACCGATGTGAAGTAAGTTGCCAAGTACTTCTGTGTCATTTGCCTAAATATTTGAAATAAAGTTTTATAAATAGTCTATTTAAAATAATGTGTGAGTGAGCATATTTGATATTGTGATTAAGGAATAAATAAGAGAGGGGTGAAGAAAATTGAGCAGCGATTCTCATTCGATCATAGTTTGTCATAATATTCTATTATCTGACGACATTGCCTAATTGTTTATTTTGAAAAAAGAAATTTTTGGAAACACAATGAGTTTTTTAACGGTTCTTATGCTAATCAAACATTAAAACCAATTACCGATCCACAATGCTGTACATGGAGCAATATTACTCACTTGGGCTAAGAGTTCGTCACTCCGATCGATAACAACATCGCCTACCAGTACATCATTATCGCGCAACATATCTTCATCCTCGACGTCTTGTTCACTTGGCTTTTCAGGTGCTTCTAATGTTTCAATTACGTCATCAGCATCGTATGAATCGTCAGCTCTCACAGCTTTTATTTCTCCGCCATTTTCATTTGCTGCAACCACCACAACAACCACCTCTCCTTGGATAGGTTTATCCGGGGGATTAATTTGATTAATGGAGTCTGATTTCACACCTTCAGCAGGCGGAACTTCAATATTATTCTCAAGATTAGCTGTATCATCCCAATTGTCTCGGATTCTTTTTTTCGCCTGCTCTTTTCGAGCAGCACGAACGTCGTTGGAAAATGATTTATCTACATAACGCGATGTCTCAGCATCTCCTTCGTCCATGGCATAATACATCAGTATCAGGAAGCCAGTAGCAAGAAACATGTTGCCACAATTTCTTATTAATCTTGAAACGCGCATTTTTCAAGTTTGATGTGGTAATCTGTTACTCAAGAGTTGTCAAATAACGTAACCATTTCTTTTTTGATTAATACCTGATTTGGGTTAGGTATAAAAAAATATATATACTTTATCGCTTCAGAGTCTTGTACAATGCATATTAAATTGCACTTGTGTTTGAGTCAGAATTTAATGTTTTAGAAGAAAAAAAGTATAAAAAGTGAAACGCCAAAGATAAAATATATTTTTTTTCAGCAATCTGCGTAAGGAACGTTATGTCATTCTTGCGATCATATTTTCTTTAACATCGATATATATCGAGTATTTTCAAGTCATCTTTCTTTGTCTATCCAACCGACTTATACAACATATAAATTGTTGGAATCAGTCTTTCGACCAGCATCAACAAATCACTATTTTATTGGTAATGTTAGGACGATACTATACTAGGAATATTATTTCTTAGATATCCTGAAGCTTTACAGTATCCTTATCGCAGGCATTCTTAATCAATATCAAGGCTAACTGTTTTATATTCAGAGCTTAAAATTTCATAATCAATTCAAACAATATCGTCGTATATAAACGACACCCACAAAATTTCTCTACGTGTATATATCGATGATGATGTCAAGTGTCACTTATGATGTGTTAGACTGGAAATAATCGATATTTAGGTTTTAGATGAAATGACCATTGTTTTGTTACTCTTTTCTTTTATTCGATGCATGACTGGGTAAATTGAGCCCCTAGTGTTGGACACTCTGCTTTAACATGACTGAGTCCAAAAAGCAAAAATATTGAGTGGGATTGGTAACGTGACATACATATACAGTCAAAAATATACATATAGCGCCAACTAAATATGCATATACAGCGATGTCATACAATGTCATATGCGTATACTACAAATTTAATATACATATGAAGCGATCCATGTAATGTACCTCTCACGCCGTACGTGGATTGAGTTTAACTCAGCGCATAGACAAACCCTACGTGCATCTTACGTTTTATTCTTGTCCTTTGGGACAAGTAAGACACATCGGTGACACAAGTGATACGAATGGGACATGGGTGACAAGTGGACCTATAAGTCTATAGTTCGTTCCCCGTTTTAGTGTACACACGTTATGGGATTGTAGCTCCAATCTGGGCTCCTTCAGACGTTAATAAGCACACAATGTGTTGATTGCCAAATGTTTGTATTTTGTAAAGATGCACAATCCAATTGATCCAAAAACAGGTAACAATTTACACGTAAAACCTTAATACAGTTATATCAGAAGTCAAAATCAGAAGAACATTCAAAACACTATCTATATATTCCAGCCTTGGCATAATACGGAAAACATACGTCATCAAATTGATCGATACAAGAAAGGCTTTTATACATAGAACGAAGTCTTCTTGCTGTAGCAATAATAAAAATGACATATTCCACAGAATGCGACACTATTAATATGGAGGGGTTAACAGTATATATAATCAGTGGTGGGATTCAAATTTTTTGTCAGCCGGTTCCATCACAAAAGTCATATTTTTTCAGCCGGTCCTGTTACAAAAAGTCATTGACGATAACCGGTAATGCTAACCGGTTCGCTGATCTCAAGAAATTCAGTGAGAGGGTTCTATATAACCGGTGCGAACCGCCTGAATCCCAACACTGAGTATAATCAATAGTTACAATGCACATGCGCAACACGTATAACTCTAACCCAATGGTTCTCAAACGGTAGGGCGCACCCCCACAAGGGAGGCGTAGACAATTTTTGAGAGGGCGTGAAGCTAATTAAAAATAAAAATATTTGTTATTTGTCTTTGATCTTGCCCGCTTTATTTGTTTTTATAACTTTTCATTTATTTTATTATTTACGTTCCATCCACGTATTTTTAACGTGTTTTTTAAATAAAACACACCTTCGCCTTACTATCTGTTATTTGTAGCTTATTCTTAGCTAGGTATTATGAGGTGGGCTCGAGACATGAGAAATTCTAAAAAGGGGGAGCGGCTTAAAAAGTTTGAGAACCACTTGTCTAACCCAAAGTAGCCTATTGCCCATCAGACGAAAGTTCCTGAACCTAAAAAGCCCTAAATTTTTTCATTAGTGTCTTGGTTCACTTATTGAGGTTACTTGAGAGTAATTTCATATCTACCGCAGGGTAACGTGTATGGTGCGACTCAGTGACGGTAGAGAGCCACCGAGCGATAGGTATTTTAAATGTCTCGAGTGATATTGCCAACAAGTTCCATTACATTTGAACCATGTACATTTGAACCCACGAAAATTGCACTTCATGCTATTGCACCATTTTTTGTTTTACGGATATTTGAACCCATACTAACCCTAATCCATGGGTTTTAGCACCCGCATATAGATTGAACCAATGGAGATACACATGGGTTCAAATGGACGGTCACCTTGCCAACAATGCGTAGCTGTCTGTTAAAACAGGTTTCACATACAGCCGTTGCACTTAGTCTGTGCTCAACAGAACACCATGCAAGCCTAACTGTTTTATCATAAATGCGTCATATTGAAAGCAGATAACCATTAGAATGTTAAATACTTTCCAATGGGGTGACTGGGGACGAAAATTTCTCACGAGAAGTACTGTATGATATATATATATATATATATATATATATATATACTGTGTGGAATTCAATATGCTGTACGACGTAATTTGTCGTTTTTGAGCAGCGTCGACACCTGATACCTACGACAAGCAAATGCTTTACTCGACAATCTGAGAACGCGTAATTAGAAAGAACCAGTGCTTACCATGTAAACAAAGCTGATAAAAGTGTAACATTTCGTCTGTTGTCTCTTGAATGTGTAGTGAAAATGTTGCCAGTGTTCAAAGCAATTATGGCAATTGGTTTGCTAACTCTGGGGGTGTCGCCACTTCACGTTTATACCATCGTGGCGTTGTGGCAACATACCCTCCTGCGGCGTAAAGTTCTTCGGCAGGCTGCTGTGATACAATTTGAGTTGATGTATTCTGAGGTGTTGTAGGGCATATTGGACATCATGCCAGCAAGCGCAGTTGGTAATACGGGACTAACAAGTCGATTTTTCAAAGGTAAAAAACGAGATGCAATGGACGAGATAGAAGGTTGGATATCAGACGCAAAATCGGAATTTGGCAGAGGTAATTATATTCGAAAGTTTGTTCGGGACTACTTTATATGTTTGATCGATTTTGGTTTTATTGACAATGCATATTTTTCTATTTCTTCAGGAAATTCCAGCAGAGTATCTGCTCAACCGCCAAAAAATATCACTGAACAGAAAATGCTGGACGCTAAATTGTTTGAGATGTCGAAGCAAAGATACAATTTCATTTTACATAGTAAGTGGCAACAAAAAGTTTTCATGGAAAAGCAGAAGCAGAAAACGTCCGTCATGAAAGACTTGTTGAAAAATGTGGATTTAGGAAGAGTCCAAAGAAGCGGAAACCAAAGAAATCGTTTAGCAAAAAGAACTTCATTTTTTAATGAACAATTTGGATATGCCTCGACCTTTACCCAATCAGAAGCGTCAAAAACGGTTGACAACGCTACAATAGCGCCTTCTGAAACAGAGGTATCTGAATCCGACAACCACCAGAAAAAAACAGTCACTTTTGTCACTGAGCGTACAAATAGAAACGAGATATTACCTCACATTTTGGACAATTCAAAAGTAGTTATTGACGCTGTCCAATCTGCCAATATTCAAGACTATGCTAATTTATCCAACGCAAAACATCGGAATGTAACGGAATTACCTGAAATTACTAACAGACGACGATATATAATTCTCCACAAAGATGAGAGATGGCCTGTAAAAGATCTAAGATTTGTTAAGCTGAGCGCCGCACTCAGCAGCAATATTTCCATAAAACGACGGAGGGGGTTGACAAAGGCGTAACGCATCGGAAACACTGCCGAATGCATTTTTGTACGAATGAACTAAAAGATCTGATTTATGATAGGACTGGGCATTTTGAATCAAATAATAAATTATTCGAATCGGTTCAGAACAAAATTTCGAATCGCCGCCATCTTTTTTTTTCCTTTTTGCCAATGGTCGAGGTAAATATTTCAACTTTTTTATTGTGTTTGACGTGTTTATATGTGCGTGAACGCTCAGCAATCTGTCTGGGTGATGTATTCTATGTCAGTAATTTATGTTTCTGGAGGACCCAATACAATGAGAAAGTTACATACAATTATATATTTCCCAAGTATTCGGGATTCGATTCGAAAAAATATTCGATCTGATTCTGAAATCATCAGGTATTCGAAAATGCTCAGCCCTAATTTGTGAGTTGCAAAATTCAAACAGCATACCCACTAAAAGTTTGGAGCATGCATTATCCCTTTTCGAAATCAACTAAATCAGATTACCAGTTCTTATTCAAGTTCGTTTCCTGGTGTACATGGAAAAGAAAGCCGAATGTTGCAAACAATACTGAGATGAAATCAATGTGACATTAGCGCGAGATACGTTACATGTAAACAAAACTTTGATTCGTCGTCAATTGAACAGCTTTATCCAACTCCTCCTCAAAGACCTGAACATCTTACCAACTATTTTTTGTAATTATTGCTTTAACATTTATATTCATTATTAATCTATAAATATCTATTTTCATGTAATATTAGAAAAATATTCATCGTGCTGATTGATTTGACAGATGTCGTGGTCTCTTATAGGTTCGTTTCATGACAACAGAATCGTCATTTTTGAGAAAATCTCCAACTCTGCTTAATTTTCCTTTGGCAGAAGAAAGGGATGTCTGAAGGCGTTGTGCTATCTGCAAAAGACGAAGAAATAGGATGTAACTCGGAGATTTGATTAATTTTTGATTTTTAAAAACTTATTGCTAGGACTTCACATATTCATAAGTGGCAAAGTTAAATACCTCTCGCACGTCACTTATATATTCCTCCTCATCTCTTGAAGTTTGCTCTGTCATTTGCATTCTCAGTCTATTGTTCTCAGCGGCCAGTTTTCTGTTTTGTTTGTTGAGAGTCTAAGAATAAGAGAGTACCCACTTAAATATTATATATAATGTGCAATAAAACATAACATAAACCACTTTCTGGCTAGTTTCCACAAATTATGATGTCATTCCGTCCCTAAAACATTATAAATGCATAGTTTAGATTTACGTGATTCAATGTTTTACCTGGATAGTATCCTGGAGCATGAGGATATCTTTTTTAAATTGTTCCTTTGTTTCGTATTCTGTTCGTAGCTGGACATCGGTTGCTTTTTTATCTTGTTCAAGAACCTTCATGCTTTCAATGACTGATTCCATTTCATCAAGTTTGCGACGAAAATTTTTGCTGGCAGTGATTGCATCTTTCCTGTATGATACATGTGAAAAGATATTTTGGGAAATTGTAACAGGATGAAAAAATAATAATATAATGTATATCCGCCATCATTTCCTGTGGTATAGCTCCCGTGAGAGAGAGAGAGATAGAGAGAGAGATTGTTTCGTCAACCAGCAAACAAGTAATGGTACAATAATATATATATATATATATATACAAAATATACAAGTTAATTCGGTATAGACTGAAGGGTGCGATACGATCATAAGGTCATCACATGCATTCTTATCCACTTAAACCAAACCCAGTATTGCTGATGACTGGAACTTTCAGTTTTTTTTTCGCTAAAAAAACTTAAATGTAATACAAATAACGACTAAATCAATGGCATACCTTCGTTCTTGAACTTCACGTTCCAATTCTTTGTTTTGTTCAGTAGATTTCGTCAACAAATCTTGCATTCTCTTAATTTCGCTTTGAGTTTTTTCACATTGCCGCTCAGGTTGTTCAGCATCTTTGATCGCTTTCCCGTCTTCAACTGCGCATATCCATTTCTCGCGTATGGTTTTCATTTCTTGATCCCTGGATACAAATAGATTACCTTTTTAACGACACTATCTCATATATAAGGCTTTCTTTTCACTACCAAAAAAGTGAAGATTCATTGAGCTATACATCCGAGGTGTGAGTGTGCTATCCATAGTCACCTAAACTAGATACTAGATAGCCCTGAAACGCATGTGGAATCGCAGTTCGGTACTTAGAATTTAGGTGAATATAAATATCTTTTGCTATCGATTGGGATTCTACTTCTCCGTCTTCTATTCTTTTGCGCCGGTGGATACGTATGCATATAATGCAAAGATGCTGTAGCAAGAGTGAAGATAACTATCCTAAGTGATTCAATAGTCTCGCTGCACACTAGCACAAATATATTTTTGTGTAAGTGTGCAGCAAGACTATTGAATCACTTTAAATATCTTATTATCGGCATTTTTCCACCTGTACTTCCCGTACCTAGCTTTAAGCAAACTTATAAAAAAAAGGTTGTTCATTATCGTTACTATTGATTGGCAAGTGTAACAAAATTAGTAATTTTCACCAGAATTATTCTCAGATATATATTTAACAAGATACCGGAGATTAAATTTGCACTAGAAACGAAAATCTCACCAAAAATCAATCTTCTTGCATACAGCATCATTTTCATTTCTTCCGAGATATACATAAGATGAATAAGCGGCGGAAATACACAGAATCACGAATGAAAATGTAGCAGAAAATTGTTCGACGGGGAAGCTATTTACCCAGGCGGTGAATCCCACCATAGATATAAGCAGCAATTTTGACAATGAAACGGTCCATGCAGCCAGTATCAAAGGAAGTCGCTGGCCGACAGAAGTCAAAATTCTGATCGAAGAACCCAGCATAAATTGCACGAAAATGCTTACACGACTTAGTCCTTGGACTGAAAGCGTAGAATAAAACCTATCTACGAGCATTTTGCCATTCAAACCCTAACATAAAAGAACGGAGGTTTACCCACCGCCCATAGTAAATCGCATTTAGTGTATAATCGTTATTTGCCCTAAATTAAAAATTTAACTATACCTTTATGACGTAACAATGTCAAATACCATTAACTCTCGAATGATAACTCACATGCCAATTTTTAGCATGGACTCTACCTTTTCCTAATCGTTTAGCCAAATTTTTCGAAAGATATGTTACGAGATCGGAAAATCAGACATAAACTAAACAAATTATGTAGAACGTATACGTCATAGAGCTTTTATACGCCATATATATATGTATTTGAAAAATGTGTCCTCATTCTTTATCAAAAATGATGTGCCTCCTGCGTTTGTTTTCTACGAATAAATTACAACTCATCAGAGTATGAACCATACACATGAAAGTATCTGTATATGATTTTAAGAACGGAGTTAAACTAGCATAGAGTGATATGCGTATCGACACGCACGTAGGTGATAACTTGGCAACTCAATGCCCAGACATTTTAGGCAGGTGCACAGCTTTGTCAATAGTAGGTAAACCTCAACTATTGTTCTCCATCGTGAAGTTTTACCTCATTTTAAAGCAGGGGTCACCAAACTACGGCCCGCGGGCCGGATCCGGCCCGCGGCGTCATTTTATCCGGCCCGCGATAACACGCAAAAAGGGCGAAATATTTTTCCAAAGGAAATTTTCCCGAGCATCGTCTTCCTTGTTTATTTCGTAAAATTGGCCTATCAGCAAGATGCAAAAGAGTGACGTGATAATAAGCCTTTTCGCATTCGCTCAGACACTTTTGTCACCATGACAGATTTTCAGTCGTGGTTGTAAACAATACTTCGTTAGTTTTAAGTTGTGTTTGGGAAATTTAAGTATGAATGAAACAAATTAAGTCAGTCATCATTTGCCTCCTTAAGAGTTATAGTTTTAATAGTAGTAATGAAAAATTAGTCTGGAAATAGCAGTGACAAAATAGGTTTAAATTTTCTACCAGTATGCAACGTTTTCTGCGAAAGATACACTCGTACACTCGTGACGCGTGCTTTCGACGAAACTGTTTACGTTTCTTGTGCTAAAATGAACGTCGAATGTGCATTTTGCGCTAACAGTACTGTAATCCCTCGCGTACTGCTCCAATTCAAAAGTCACACTAACTTTTGTACTGCTTAAATGCGGATATTCATGTACGTATGTTACAAAAAAATTAAAAGTTCATCCGATTTAAATGAAAACTGCACAATTAGATAGATCTGAGTGAAATTAGAAAAAAATACCAAGTTTGTAAAAAACGGTCAAGAAATATTGGAATTTTAGTACCGCCCGACAGGCCAATTTTTTTCATAAGGATTGTATTACTTTTTTGATAAGAACTGTAATAAATATGAAAAAAAAAACATATCAATCACTAATCTTTCGATCTGCGTCACATCTATGGAATATTGAGACTATTTCAGGATTTTATTCTGGCAATGGTGTTTTACACCGCCGAAAGATTGTGGCAAATAAACGCTGGAGTTGTGCATGTTAGTTTGTCAGTGGTTCATTGGTAAATTGGTAAGTATCAAGATAGGAAAGAAATACACACGTCTACATAAATTTTATTGGTGTCTATGGACAATACCATTAATTTGCACTAAGTATAACTTGAGCGGAATTTTTGAAAGTTCTGAATGATGGAAAATTTATGCGCTAATGAAAAAAATCAAATATCAGATAATAGTTGTTTATTTTATCTAAATTATGTCAAAATTTTATGAAATTCTATGCTACAGCAAGCAGTCCGTAGTCGTTATTATGAGCGATATTCCGACACGGCGTAACGGTACTTAGCAAACGTGATGCGGACATTTTTTGGCGCAAAAAGGCGAATTTTGTAACATTCCTAATTCATGACTGCAACGTTTTGATAACAGCTAAACTCAGGATAGTTGTCAAGATATGAAAATCTTGTATATTTGTTTTCCTAGGATGTTTGCGATCTATATCCTGCGATATAGATAGAATTTAATATTCAGGTCTTCAGAAATGTTGAATATATATCGTTAACAAATTGAATGGATTTACCAACTTTTGTGAATTTATTGTAGGCCTATTGCATTGACAAAAATATTTGTCCGGCCCGTTTCAACACAGTTTGAGTCATACCCGGCCCGCGGTCAAAAAAGTTTGGTGACCCCTGTTTTAAAGGAAAGCACGGTGTTGGGGGGCACGCCTGGTCAGGAGTTCCGAACTTTTACTCAGGGGTGGGGATCTATTTGAAAACATTGTCTTCGCTAATCGCTTCGTCACTGCATTTTTTTCTGGGTTCCGGTTCCATGCTTTGATGAAAGGGTTGGAAGTTAAATAATATAAATATACAAATTTAACAGCAATAGGAAAGATGGAAAAGAAATTATTATTTGTATGGATTATTAGAAGATTTCAAATGTGTAAAAAATAGTTTGATGGTTATGAACTAGAGCCGGGTGGTCCAAACCAAGGCCCGCGGGCAACATGTGGCCTGCCGCTCCATTATCTGTGGCCCGCGTCGCATTCGGAGAGAAGTCAAAAAATTGCATTTCGCGTTGTTTCGTCATAAAATTAACCAAAAAATCTTTTCACATATTGTTGCATCACTAATGTCACTGGATTGACTAGTGTTATGGCTTGCTGAGGTAACGAGCGAAGTTCTTGGCACTATTGTGGCCTGCGAACAATGCAAAAGTAATTTTGTGGCCCGCGGAGCTGCCAATTTTGGACCACCCTGATCTAGAGCAACTAAACTTTCTGGCAGCTCGGCTCCAGCAAAACGACACGGCTCCTTGATTCCAACCCTGCTTTTATTTTCGACACCAGAATTCGATCAAGATTTGATGCATCTTACTATTTTTCATGAAGCACAATTGTGAATTTTTAAAATTGGGATTAAAGAAGCGAGTCGCCGTTTCTTCTGTTGTGGTACTGTACCCAATCTTAAAATCCAGTGAATCCCATACACGGTAAATCGATGCTACGCAAAGTAAGAATACTCCACAAGCTCATAGCAACTTTTTCATTCTTTAAAACTGTGAAATGATAGTTTTAAGATCCTTCACAATGTTGTCAATGGATGATATACAATAATCGGCAAGGACTCATAATGAGAGATGATTACATAAACCATAAAAATTACAAGAAAAAACTTTTAATCTCATAAGCTTTCAACAGAAGCCCCTTACACAATACCCGTAAAAGCTTCCAAGGTTGAGGGTTTTATAAATGGTGTAGGTAGAATCAGCTTCACAATGTACATCACAGTTCTGATAAACGGCCATTTCGAGAAAAACTAAAAAAGTGAGATGCATAATGGATATATATATATATGTTTTGAAATGATCTATTTCAGCAATAATTTTGGATGTATATATAAATTCTCAATAGATCTGAAATAGATGGTGATATAATATCATTGCACATTAATATGATTATACATAAGCGAACAATCAGCAAAAAAAATTAAAAAAACAACAAAACAAAGAACAACATGTAACACATGGTCACAACTTATTCAGGGCAAAATCACGTTTTAAGAAATATATCAAAATTGAACTTTTGCTAAGTACATTCATTTCCAATTGGCTGTAATATCGGAACCCTTTTCTGCTTCAAAATATGCCCGGAGAATTTCTTCAGTATCAAGAAGTGAAAATGGTGAAGAAAAGTTGAGTTGCCAAGTTAAGAAGATATTTTCTGGTACCTGAAAAACATGATTACAATACATATCAAACAATGCTTGCATAGGGTTTCCTAACCAGGGGTGTAAACACTCCTAAGGGGTGCAAAAGCTGTACGTAAGGGGTGTGAGAAAACGCACAGCCATTAAAGACACAACGCACTATATTCTACAGCAACTTCTTATTTACAATTATTTTCTAATTAACAATAATTCAATTATGTATTGCAGTATTTTAGTGTTAACTGCATAAAATAAATGAAAACAACGCAATAGTTTCTCTATTTACACAAAGAAACAATATTTTTCATCAATTATCGAATTCGAGATGCAAGAATCGTTTCATGATTTCACAGGAAAAAAAGGTTTAGAAACGCCGCCCAGAAACTACAGATGACTGAAGGCTGAGCATAAATAACGCTGATAACTTTTGAGATTGTAATTCATGTAGACAGAAGTAGACAATTCTCAACATAAAACGCTTCTTACCGCTGACTCTGCAAAATTTAATTCTAGACAGAGAGGATGATCCTTGTACCGAACAATACTTTTAATTTCAGAACATTTTGTTGAAATCTTTTTAACATAAACTTGTCTGCTGAGTGAATTTAGGTCTGAATGATTAATTTGCTGCAACGGTGACATAACAGATTGATTTCTTAATGATACATCGGAAGAAAATGAATTTGATCTTGACACATGCTTGGCTTTGCTTCTTTTTGCTTGAACAAGAGCAGAAGCAAACTCAAACATAATGAGAGATGATTCTTCTATAACTAATGATAAAGATCCGCCACATGATATAACAACACCAACGGGAACCTCCTTTCCTATGTTTACTGAAACAAAATAAAAAGAAGAATGTGGAAAAAGGTCTTGGCTTGCGGAGATGGGACATCGGTTTACGAAGATGGATGATAAGTGAAGATTTTATAAACTTATATCATTATTAATAAAAGCGTAAAAAAGATTAGATATTATTCACTTTCAAAAATAACAAAATAAAAATTCAATATATAAATATAGAGCTATAGAGTAGAAAAAGCTTCAATAAGTAGGATCAATTTTTTCAAATTTACCCCGATGGAGGGAAAAGACGAGAAAGCCTAATTTTATGGTGTATCTCTGGATCTCATCTGATTACAAATCAATGTCAGATATGTGATTAGTTAACCAGCTATTAATTTCAGATGCATAGACTTAGAAATAAGCTATGGTCAATTGCTATTCAATGTAAAACTATAATTTTCGTTGCTGTGTACCAACACGAACACGATTTTGTCCGCTTACTTTACATCAACTTGTGTAAAGGGACTGAAACTTATGGGTAGATATTCACTTGGCTGACACAGACAGTGCCCGAACTCGTAATATAACTAAAATAAGGAAAATCAGAATAAAATTTTGGCCTAACTCTAACCTGGTATACATACTACGGGAGTACCTAATTTTCTTCATTAATAAAAATGTGATTGCAGAATATACATGCCTCTGCAAAATTAACTCTTGGAAAGCTTTGAGAATATTAGATTTGCTCACCATCAAATAACCAACACGGTTTGTAGACAAACAGTTTATCAGTGAGTAATTTGTTAGAGAAATCATTCGACTCAACTTCTGTTTTCTTCACTTTAGGTTCCAGAATACTCAGATCTAAACTCATTAAAACATGCTCAGAAAAATTCTTCTCTAATGCATCTGAGAATGCACTCATGCAGTCTCCATTGACAGGTGGAATAAGAACAGAGTTTGGTTGATTATTGGAAGCACTGCTATGATTTGAATGAAGTGACGCAGATAAGGAATTTATATTTTGTCTAGCATCGTACAACATCATCCAGCATTGATAAAATCGTTCACATTTTTCTGTATCTCTGAAATGCACAGCATATATTTGCTCTATGTTTTCAAATCCAAATTTTTTTCCTGATGTGTTTCTCGGAGAAAATTCACTTTTGATATCCGAATCGTCTGAATCATTTCCAGTGACAGCAAAATACAAAGCACAGTTTGACAATCCAAGATCTATGCCCAATATTTGATTGAGATGGTAGGATGACAAGCACTCCAATGTCTCTGGACCAATTTCTACCCTGAGAATAGAAGCATAATAAATGAAAGTATTCTAGAAATGAACTTCTTCACAATTATTAATTATACATTTTCTTTTTTCAAACTTGAAAAAAAAAAAATTAGTTATGAGTATAGCTTGGAATTTGCTTCTAATATCCCACATCTAAATTCATACATATATTGGCACATGGTTCACTAAACAATGCAAGCATCCAAAGATTACATCGATACGACCTCACAATCACATCAAATAACTTGCTAAAGTATAGCTACGAGCGCATGAAATGGAATCTTTGCCAACGATACCAAACTCACTATCGCCAGCAATCTCGCTCATATCGGGATCATTACGATGAAAAAAATAGCTTGCTCAACTTCGGGTGAACGTCTGCGCGTCTTAGATGACAGTTAATATAGTTTGGGGGTCTTATTACGTTAGATTGACATCATAGTGACGTAATTTTCAAATGACGTAGTCAGGTGGGGGTTAGGAATAACATACGCATAGTACTTATGTCGTGTTGCGAACATGGCCCCATATGTTTACTGTAGAAACATGCACACAAAAGAAAGGGGATAGCAAAATGTAACACCCTCACTCACTTTGTGTCAGTAATCTGTAAAATCTGAATATTTTTTGTTGTCAAGAGTAAAAGAACATCAATTTCATTCGGTGGCGATATTTCTTGAGAAAGAGTAGAAACACCCTGTGTCGGTGATGTCATTTTTTTCTTTTTTGCTGATCCAAACAATCCTCTCTTTTTCCCGCTGCCTGTAACACGGGGTGGAGTGTTGGACACTGTTGTATTCAAAACTTTTCCGCGTTCTCTTATCAATCTAGTTTGCACTATTGAACAAATTTCTTCCTCTGCCTCTAATAATTCTTCTTCAATGAAACGTTTTAACTTTGTGCTTATTTTGAAGACACAAGATTCGAAAGATTTTGATTCGTTAGCTTCATCGAACTCATAATATTCCACAGGCAATCCTGCTAAATCTTCCATCGTTAAACTATCGATTTTATGTTTCGATTCTGAACCTTCAAAATTAAGTCCTCTGCGTCGTTTCGCATCTCGTACAATTATGGAAGCTCCATCATCGCGAATCACAGGATTATGTCCGACTGACAAAGGAACATTGTCAGTTGTCAGTCTATTTGGTTTTCTTCGTGGTGTTGATGTCACAATCATTTTCTTGTGGCTTGGTATAGATGACATTGCACCTAAGAAATAATTTTTAATTCGACTTTCTTAAAAAATATTTGAATTCTGCTTTCTTAAATAGTTATTATGTTTCAACTAAAGTGAATTAAATGTGATGAAAAAAATCAAGTGTGAAGGCGATAAGCTATTCAATTCCTGGTTTTCATATGGTTATAAGAAACAAAATACCTTGAAATGATGTGCACAAATTGACAATTTTGCAGCATATACATATTCAAAATTGAGACCCACAAGAAAATTTCATTGTTAAATTTTACTCGCTAAAAATAAGTATAGGCACTTTTTGAACCAAATTAATTTATATATGTAAAGTAGAACCTCAAGTAATATCTCCCAATATGATTACCGGTATATATTATGAATAACATACTTGTGTGATTATCCCTTGGTTGAGGTGTAAATCTGACATTTTCTGAGACATCATGTGTCTGTTGATCATACTGAGTAAAATTTTTGCTATTCATTGTCACGATAGATGGTGTAACATTAATGAGTTTATATAAATCATGTGTTGTTAACAAATGAGAAAACGTTTTAAAAGGGGTCTGTGCTTGGTGAGACATGTCGACTGTGGGTACAGACACAGCATTTTCAAGATTGTCCTTCGTTTGCATGAGAACGGACGAGAGATCTGTCGGCAAAGAACCCGATAAATGTCTTTCATTTTCCGTCACATGCATATGTTGTCGTTCATGAAAACCAGAACTGGCATCGGGGACAGATTGAAGTGTATGAATCCACGACAAACTTGCATCTACACCACCTAGTGTTCTTCCGACATCAATGCTTGCAGATCGATGTAAATCTTTGCGAGGTATATTTTGACTTCTCGTAACTTCAGCAACATATTCTGTGGCTTCTTGACATTCATCCTCATTTACAGTGATTAGATTATTGGTATTTGCATAAATTTCTTTTTCAACAACCTTCATAAGACAATAAACATTACTTTTACTGGAGCAATGACTGGTGTGCCAAAGGAATATAATTTACATGAAATTTACAATTATTGTGCTTCAAATAACATTGTTCGGAGTTAAATTTGTTATTAATTGAGTGTTTTATGGCAGGAAAAGTAGCAACAAAGATAGATAAATATGGAATGAAATTCAGCAGTCTAGCGACCTGGCAACATATAGTAAGATTTTTGTGCAAATATATTCGTTAGGGCAGGGTTAAATCAGGGTAATATTTTAAATTACATTTATTTGATTTTATTCAACATTTAGTTAATTACAACTCGTAGGGCTGTCCAAAATCGAATAACTTTTTGATTCGAATCGAATATTTTCGCCGAATCGAAACGAATAATCGAATATTATTGCGCAATCCCTAATCTGTCTCTATTATAATATAAGCGCCTGCCCTTCGATGTTGTGGTAACGTATGTGCAGTTACATCTTACTTACTGCTGGTATTTTGCAATACAATGTTTTCAGATTTATGAAAGGAGATCACACGCTTGTATGAACTGGTCAAAAAAAATTGGAGGACTCCAAAATTTGGGACTCGAAAACTGTTGAGTGTTAAGAGTAAAAATTGCACAATTCAAAAATTGCAATCTCAATTCTAATGGATTCAGTCTTAATAGGACATGTATAACCTGTAGATGCTATTTTATTTGGTTCGCTTGGACAGCCCTAAATTTAAAAGTGTTTCCTATCAGTTTCATATCAATTATCATAAAATAATGATAATATCTCTTTCCTTTGTCACTAACCTAGCACGAGACCCTATTCAATCATTTTCTGTATAGTATTAGGGGATGAAATAATTTGTAATTGTTCTGGTATTCATATGCCAAAAATATTATCGGACAGAAAATATTCTTACTTTGTCACTACCACAAGAACACAATATTCCACTAGATTTTGATTGGTCGCTTTGTGATTTCTTCATTGCTCCAAGAATGTTGGAAGATTTTGTATCATCAGACACATCTTTCCCAGGAGGTAAATTTTGTCCAGGACCCAGTGTGAAATGTTTAGAACATTTCAGACATATGTAACTACGATTTTTTACTTCTCTGTTCCGAAATGCAACTGATTCAAGCTCTCTGAACAAAAAAGCACAATGGAAAATATCGACGCTCAGCAAATATTGATACCTTACTCATTTCTTTATATAAAATCATGACACTACTTGACGGAATTTGGCAAAAATTAAAATTTCAGTATAAATACTCTAAAAGAATTTGAATTCAAAATTTCCTAAGAAAACAAATATGTTAATATTTCCCACTAACCGATACAGAAGTTCGATTGCTTCATTTGCACCGATGTCTAAAACAACATAACGTCTTGTCCTTCTGTTTTTTCGTAAATATGTAAATTTCAAATCAATAACTGGCATCTGAAGATGGAAATAAAATGAATTGATAAACCCTAAAATTTACCCACAATGCAAAAGGCTGTGATGCTGGAGCCTACGAGTTTGCATGTTTTATTGGTATTGGGGTCATAATTTTCAAAGTGTTATAATTCCAGATTCTTTCACCCTTAATGTTGACCTATGTTTTCGTGGTCAAAATTCGATTTTCTCGAGCTTGAGAGCTAAAAATTTTCTTCAAGCTGAAGTCAAGAGGGGACAGAGTCAAAATTTTTACCAGTCTGACAAGGTAGATGAAATTGAAAAAAATTTTACTTTCTGATTTAGATTCAATGAGACATCAGATATTGTAGATAGCTCCAATTCTTCCCATAATTTTCCAGTTTCAATATCTTTTTCAATGAGATGATTATGTGTTGCAGCGAGATAAACTTCACTTGGACCAGACAAAATTGTTTCAGTATCCAATTCATTCGTAACGCTCCTGATATAATATTATTTAATCAAACATTAAAAAATTAATAAAATATACCAATAATTTGAAAGTTCTGTCGCACACTAACACAAATGTATATCTGAGCAGCAGGACTTTTGAATTAAATAGTATAGTCATGTTTATTCCTGCTTCCTGCACCCTTGCATTATACGCATACAGATCAACTAGTGCTTAGGAAGGATGGGAAGTTAGACGTGCCCCAACTGATAGTTACATTGAAGATGAGATATATAACATATGACAATAAGATATTTTGTTAAGAAGGTTCCTAAAAAATTATTTCAAAACTTAAAAATGAATGCCAAACCTTTTCACATGTAGTGGAAGAGTAACCAATTCAATTTCCCCATTGTCAATTGTTGTCAGTGTCGATGTTCCACTTGTTTTGGAATCATTTGTTGCACTCGTAAATAAGTTGTTACTGTCATCTCCATTCTTGTAAGATGAAGATTCATCATAGACATTATATTCATCTACTGGTGAAGCATATTCATCGCTGTTCCCTGTCAATTTACTACTTTCTAAAACAAGGAAATTTAATATGAATAAACCAACCTTTCAAGAAAAATAATGGGTTCTCCCGTACGTAGTGTGTGTACCAGGTTAGGGTTGGGCCATAATTTTATTCAGATTTTCCTTATCTTAGTTTTATTATGAGTTCGGGGACTGTCAGTGTTAGCCAAGTAAATATACCCCTGCTCATAGGCTTCAGTCCCAATTTTATGTAAAGTAGGTGAAAAAAATTAGTTACCTTTGGAGCGCGAAATAATGTATTCCTTTTCATGCCGGCATTGTAAACTAGCATGACCCTGAATGAACTGAAGGAGTTGCTTAAGAGCAATTAAATAATCATGGTTCAAAAAGATTGTATGAACAAGATTGCAACCAAATCGATTGTTTTGTTTATGTTTATGCCATTATATATTTTAATTCCGACCAGTTATAGCACCTGAGATAATCTGACAGAGTTCTGCCACTTCTGATACAGTGACTATTACATTGATGTAATTAATAATGGCCATTTTGTAGGATAATTTCTATTTGAGCTGCAATCATTGATTCATTGTACATAGCCCTGGGAGAGCGTTTGAATATCCCTAATTAGTCATTACCCATAGAATTTTTAGAAATTTTGAGTTCTTGATTGATGTTTGATAATGGAAAGGTAATTTATCTCAATACATGACTAACTGATACCAACCTTTTTCATCTTGACAAGAGGCAGGGCTTCTTGAAAGTGATACATGAGATATTTGTAAATCGCTAACAGAATTTTGAGAAATTGCAGATCCCATTGATAAAGCATCTGAGTCTTGGTCAAAGTCTCGCGGAGTTCCGTTGGATGATGTCCCATCTGAATTGTCACTAACTGATGTTTTCTTTTCCACAGTAAATGAATTTGGAGGATCAAAATCCATTGAAGGCATTTCTTCATCAGTGAGTTCATCTTGCGAAAATGAAAGTTCATATTTATTAAGAGATATATTTTCAAACTTTTTTAAATAAATTAATATTGTATGCATAACTTTTTGTACCAGTAGGCAAATGTATTAGCATTCAGCGTATGTGTGTACCGTATGCGTATATGAAGGTAACTAATTTTGTGCGCCCACTTTACATCAAGTTGTGTAAGCCAGTGGGCAGGGGGATATTCACTAAACACAGACAGTCCCCAAACTCGTAATAGAACTAAAATAAGGAAAATCAGAATAAAATTATGGCCTAACCCTAACCTGGTACGCATACTACGGGAGTTACTAGTATTCACCATTTGAAATAATCTACAAGTTTGCATATGAAAAGAACATAATATGGCACACTTTGTTACTCCCTATAGAATGGATGGTCTGACGTCTTGATTATCATAACTTGAAAATAAGTAAGGAAATGCTATTTTTATCAAGACGAATAAAAGGATAAATAGCTTATTAACATTAATATGTTTTATCTGATGAAGTGGCAAGAAAAATTCCAATGTTGAAATAACAATGAATTGGGCTTTTGTTGATCACTCAACCCAGGATGTTATCCAAAGGTAGCCAATGACAACAAACATTTGCTTCTGGCTTTATTAATCTGAATGGTTGTTGATAACAAAAGTTTTGCTCAACATTACTTATCTAAAGAAGTCTAGTGGGATGTAACATATAAGTTGGCTAATGGTTTAAATCAGGGTGGTGCAACCTTCATTTAACATAAGCTTTCTAATAGTTGCAGGCACAAAAATTTTGTATATTGATCTCATGACATGCGTTGTTCGCTTTGCACAAGCTAGCTGTTCGGAGATTGTAACGTCATAGAGATAGATAATGAATGGGTCCCAGGTACAGGTTCTGCAACGCAAAGGGATTGGAGTTACTCGCACGTACCAGATTAAACTAAATTAAAAAGTTGTTTCGCTGGCCGCGCACCATTCAAAATTGGCACTTCTTTCGTGGGCCGCAGGTTGCACACCCTTGATTTGAATGAAGAATTATGTCTGATAAAAGCATTTCAACCCCGGATAGTACTTATAACTTATTGATAGCTAAATTTCATCTTTAACTCTTTGAATGACATCAGAAATTCTAAACCTTGTTTAGTTGATATTTTCATAAAATAATAAGATGACAGCATATAAATAAATCGAATTGTAAGATTTATTTGAGCAAATTCTCCAGAATATGAAAAGTGATAATGTATGAAAATACATTAAAGTATCCATACAGTTCAATATCAAAATCATGATTTTTATATTAACGATGAGACACTTCAACAGTCTTATATGAAATATTACGAAAAATATAAGACGACCCAATTTAGTCAAGCACAAAGGTAATTGATAGGGCTGGGAATGGTTAACCGGTTAACCAATTTTAGATGGTTAACGGTTACGATTTATTTTAACTGTTAACTGACATCTCGGGTACAAATCATTTTTATACTGTACAATTTCTCCAAAAATGATTATGTCATCGCAAAGTTATCTCCTGTTGCATTTAATTCAAAAGAATATCACTAACTGTGTGGGTACTGTATCAAAAAATGTGAAAAATAATTGAAGTACCAAGATTGCTTATTATGAAAATTTACAATGATAAATTCAGAATCAGTTTTCGGTCGAAATATATTTTCCACAATTTTATTGCAAAATCGCATATTCAATGTTATCCAACAAGTGCGCAGTTGATGACGTTTTTCTTTATGATATCTCGAAGTAGAATTTGTACATCGAACACTAAAACATTGTCACATGAATAATGTTTGATAACAGAATCGGGATTTTTAAAATACTTCCACATGTCCGAACAACGCTGCATATCTCTTGCAGCAGAGCAATCATGTCCTATCTCGAATGGTGAATAATTTTGACCGATATCGGGATAAGATCACGCGAAATTGCTTTCTAACCATTGTGACGTAACACGCTGAAATTATAAATTATTGCGTCAAATGTCACGCTGCGGTTAACCGGTTAATTTTACCCGGTTAACGGTTGAAGTGTTTTCACTGAAATTCCCCAGCCCTAGTAATTGACTCTTTCACAAATGGTTTATTCTTACAGTTGTAGGTGGACAAAGAGCATTGTATTAAAATGCCATCATAATTTCTAATGTAATTATTGCAATCAAAAATTTAATAGCCCAAAGTTAATAATTAAAAAAGTTGGTTAAAGGTAATTGATAATTTTACAACTCTATATAATTGATATAGTTTTAGAATGAATATAAATTCACCTGAGGCATCAGGTTCAAAAATATCATCATTTGTATTGAGTTTAGACGTTGAACCTGGCATTCTTTTGTTCTGGAATTAGAAAGAGAACAATTTTTTCATAGGGTCACTAGACAAGAAGCCTAATGGAATAATGCATCTTCTCAACAGAATAATTAGGTAACAATTCATTTATCATGATATATTTCACAATTCAGAATATATTTTTTATATATAATATATACGTTATAATATAACTTTATGACCAAAACTTTCAAGAAAATTTCAGTGTTTTTTCACTATTTTAAGTAAGGCAAATAAAAGTAAGTAAACTTTAAAGAATGATTGTATTTTCTAACTTGCCAGCTCGAACTGATTACAAAATAAATTAAAGCTGTAAATATTGACTATATGCAGCTTACATAGTGCCAAGATTCGCACCATGCCCAAACAAAAACCCAGAATTATTAATACCCTCAATATTGTATTTTAAATTAAATGTTCCATCAATCTTAGAACTGATGAGAACAACATAAATTTAGATTGTCTCAATCTAGACACAACGCAAATAGTATCAAACTTGTATAAATATTGGTTTTGTTTGCATTCCAGAACAGCCATATAATAAAATATTTTGAGACCGAGAGATATTACTTGGGATTAGGCAGGTCTTCAGGGACATGGAAATAATGTGAACATAATACCTTGTTTGATGACAAGTGCAGCTTAAGAATGTTATCTGAAATATTGAGACCGTGAAATTACCTGAAAAATAAACCAACCTTCAAACTTGAAAATTTGTGAATTAAATCTCCCTCTGTTCTTCGACGAGTGAATACAGCAGCAGATGACATACTGACATCATAAAGTTCTGGCTCGGCAGTATTTATACTCATAAATTCATGATTGCTTGGGTAAGGTTGCACTGATACTGCCATAGGAGTATACATAACATCCTAGAAAGTAATCAGCAATAAATAATACAGGGATGACCTCCAAGCCAGGGTTGTCCAAACCCAGGCCCGCGGGCCACATGTGGCAGGCCGCTTCATTATCTGTGGCCCGCGTTACTTTCGGAGCGTAATCAAAAAATCGCATTTCGTGTTGTTTCATAATAAAATTATTCAGAAAAATCTTTTGACATATTGTTACATCAATAATGTCACTGAATCGGCTAGTGTTATGGTTAGCTGAGCCAACTAGCGAAGTTGAATGAATGCAGTCTAAATTATTATCCGGCTTTCTATCTTTTTGGTCGGGAAAATATGCTAACAATATAGGCATCATAGAAAACTAAAAATCGAATGCGGATTCTATTAGCTTGGGATGACTATGTCTGATAACTATGTGTTTGCACAATAAAAGTGTTTGTTTTGTATTGCACTGTTTACCTATTCTTGGCACTATTGTGGCCCGCGAACAATGCAAAAATAATTTTGTGGCCCGCGAAGCCGACAATCTTGGACCACCCTGCCCTAAGCAATATCAAATATATTTGAGGGCCACACTAGAACTGTATATAAACAAACATCAACCTTAATAATGCTATTTATAAAAACTGGTAACTGAAAGAGGTGTCAACATTGGCCACATTATTCAGAGTCTTATTTTTCATTCTTCCTCTCTCCGGAATGAATACCAAATAAGCTAATCACTTATGATAAACTTTGATTCCAAGCTTGGGACATATGCCGTGAAAGGGTCGAACTGTTTCTACCATCCCAAAAATGTTCGTTATAATCAATATATTATTATGAAAAATAATACCAGAAGAGCTATTAAAATTTCTCATTTATTATTCAAAAGCTCAAACAAATTTTAAGCAATTTATCAAACCTTTAAATCTTTCTTTGAAAGGAGCATTCCATCCAATAGAAACTCTGGTTTTACAGATTCTGGAGATATCGACTGTAGGCTCAAAAATCGATGGTTTTTGTTAAAAGAAAGTGGATTTCCTCGCAAGTCAAGCTGTAATTTGAGAAAAATGAGAGTGAGTAATTCAAAACAAGACAAGGTGATTTAAAATTTGTTCATTGGTCACTGCAGCTGGGAAATATGAGGAGGTTTTAAAATAAAAATATAATAACTTTCGTTATCTCAATTTTAGAATCAACTTTTTGTAAATCTAACATTCTATTGATCCTGGGGTTCTTATAACAAAGGGACATTTCATGACACAAAATATGATAGTCCCATTGTGCGTGTACCAGGTAAGGGTTGGACCATAATTTCATTCCGATTTTCCTTATTTTAGTTCTATTACGAGTTTGGGGACTGTCTGTGTTAGCCCAAGAGAATATAAACCCTGCCCATAGTAATCAGTCCCCCTACACAGGTTGATGTAAATTAGGCGAACAAAATTAGTTAGCTCCATATTGGTACACACACTTCTGGAGCGTTCAAAATACGGCTATTTCCATGCACGACACTATGATGGGTATTATTTACTTTCACTTTAAAATAGAAAGTAATTATACTTACTTTTTGCAATTTACTTAGTCGTCTCAGTGGAACCAACGTATCATGTTGAATAAGTAGATTATTTGAGATATTGAGTTCGATTAAACTTTCCAACGTTTCCAAACCTTCACATGTTGATATTTCATTGTATGATAAGTAAAGATATTGTAATCTCCATCGAATTCTACCAAGCAGCTGAAAAAAACCCAAGAAGAATTAGATAAAAACATATTGGACTGAATTACAGGAATATTCTTGAACATTCTATACCTGACATGGGCAAACTACGAGCCGCGGGCCAAATTCAGCCCGCTGGGTAATCCAATCTGGCCCACCTGATGCTTCCACAACCAAACTAAATCCAAATTTCGATGTTTTAGCTAAAAATAGCTCAAGGAATTTGTTGAGATTGCAATTAAATTTAGTTTTGGCAATGGGCATATTGATTCCCACTTTTGCTTTTGTAACACTGTAAATATTGTTCATAAAATGTAACTTTTTATGTCACACTTACATGGCCCGTCAGTGAAGGTGGGCAAAATTTTCAGCCCCTGGTCCCAAAACCCTGCCCACCCCTGTTCCATACCTTGTCATTTGACATCGAATATCATTAAATTTTCAATAGTTATTCATTTACTTATAATTTCTATATTTGAGACAAAACTGAGTAAGTAAACCTAGTTTTGTCAGAATTTTGTTTACGTCCCACATAATCAATACAATTGATCTTGAATGAGATAAATTCAGTTTTTATCAATATTATACAATATGTAAGAGACCACCTGAATGCAGGAGGACAAAGGAAATTCGCAATCCATTAATAAAGATAGGGGATGCAATCTAGAAATATCATGACAGACTGAGGAAAAAAACAGGAAATTTTATATCCGGCTAACTTGTATGGATGATAAATTGAATGAATGAAGGCCATATATGGCAGGGCAGAATGATGTTTACATCTTCCATGGTTATTAAAACTACTGACCTCTTTAGCACACAAAATGATGTCATTTATTGCAATTCATAAATAGAACAACATAGCATGATATCAATGGCTCATACTTGACACCTATTAAATTCTACTTATATCTTGTACAAAACACTATTAAAATCAAGTGGACAGTAAGCGGAACAATTATCACGTTCTACGGCTGGTGATTCAACTCTATGGCTGCTATATCAAATTCATTACATTTTAGAAATACACACACACACGCTCACACAACAAAATTATTGAAAAGGACGTGCGACATGTTGCTTAGTCATTCGCGGGAGAGCAGTGGTGCGTGTCGTCGCTACACCACCAGTGCTTTCTTTGCTTAGGATTAGATATATCGAACCATGCGAACGACATACCGAGGTCTAAGGCTGCGTAATTCTATGCGACCAAGTCAGCAGGCTAATCAATACGTCAGTGCGTTCGTTCACTTTCAGTCGTCGAGTTCTGTATTTTAGTGAATAGTGTTTATTTTAATAACGACAAGCTGTGAATAGGCGTTGTATATTATCAGTTATGAGGTAGAATATGGAACGACATCGATCACGCTGGCGGCTTTGTTTTTCGCTCAAGGTCAGCCGAGTACAGAAGCACCCAATTCAGTGCAGTTAAAAAGCAATTACTTGAACCAGAAACAGTTCGCGCGATACAGTAGGTTTTTATTTCGATAACTGCAGAACGGAACAGGGTTGTGCTCACGAGCGGAAGAAGGTTTCACAAGAAAACATTTCCCGGATATTTGTATTATAAAAATAGGGATTTATGACTGCTTTGTGTTATCTAACGCATTATATTAACCGTAAAAAACAAAATTAAATCGGTGAAAAGCACTTTCGTATGTTACGAAGCCAAAAATTTGCGGCATCCATAATTTACGAATCAAAATGTAGTTCCTAAAGTATGCTAGATATTAATCTTAAGTATCGATTCTAAAGCAACAGTATCGATAATTGATCAATAACATGGCCGCCATTATGGAATGATGTTGTATACTTTTATGGTTTATGCCGTCATGAAGGACCGAATCGAAATTTACAAGTTGTGAAGTCGACCCATTATAAATAGTTCTATATTTGATTTGGCGGATTGCGTCAGTCACTATTTACATAATCGCGTTTATTTTAGAAGCATGAACCTTCACAGAAGTAATAATAGTATGCTATATGTCCGCGAATGGTGAAATTTCTTTGTGTAACTTTCGGACCAACTACGGATTTCCATAGAATAAATGGGCCTTTATAGTCAGTATGTCTCTAAATAAATAAATAATAATAACTGAAGTCCCTAAACTCCAACATGACCGGGTCGCCACAAAAACATTGCTCGGTGTCATTTTAATATTATCGAGTGTCACGTGATCATTTGGGTATGTCCTGTTTTTTAAAGGCCCAGGAATCTTTATATATGAAGTAAGAGCATAGTCTTATGAAAACAAAAGAAAGTCGCGATTCACAACAAAAGACGCAGTATTGAATTGATCACACCCACACAAAACCGTTTGAAATTTGCAACGAGAGCAAATGTCTTCAATTATAATTCAGCCTGTGGCGATCGAGCTAATAACAAATACCGTAGGTCGTAATGTGGTAAAAATACACTGTCGTGAACATGACCGTACATCATAGGCATATAAAATAATAAAAAAACGCGTGCCTGAATTGAACCGATATATTAAAACGCCGTAGGCTATCGAATACTTACGCATGAAACGAGATTCGGAGCTGTGTGTAAAAATTAGATGTCTTTGGTTTTTACAAATATTTAGAGGACTTGTGCGATTGAAATTAGAAAGACGAATCAATTTAAGTCTCGTATTTCAGCAATCTTAACTTAGTATCGAGTTGCAGTCAGAGTATAACGATTCAACAATTAGGTCTACGGTTTTACTTGAGAGAGATAAAATTACTTTGTCAATATATTATCAGTTAGTTAATACTTGTTTCAGTCATACATTGCAGAAAAAACGACTATCGACTCACGACTATTTCCGAAATGGTAAAATAAATCACTTCTATATCAATATCGAGATGTGAGATACGACTTGAGTGACATTAGGTTTAATAAAAGTTTTAGTACCAGGAGACTGATATGTGAAATTAAGTTTGTTTGGTCTAAGCACAATGTTAATGCAACGATGACGATTGTGTTCGCCAGTGAGTCGGGATGTCCGTATTAAAGTACTTTTCTTTGGAATTTTTCACTTGTGAAGTAACATCAAAATAAATTCCAGACGGTATAAAGGAGTATCAAAATACTGTTATTTACCTGCAAAGATTGCAGCACGTTCGATAACGGAATATTTTCAACAATATCTCCGACGTATTGAAATGACTAAGACACGATGACACATCATTGTGATATCTCGATTGTTCAAAATGAGTTTACCAATTGAAGCTTAACGGGCCGTTACCGCATTGTGACTTATATTTCAAAATCGAGTCATGTATTTGGATACGAAATATATGTAATAATTTATGACAAAAGCACATTCCAAAAGAATGTTTTGCCGAATGCGGTATGAGAGAAGTCGTATATTAATTGTATTTGGGTTATTTAATTTTTTGTTTGATTATAACGGACAACATTTACAGTAAAAAAATAGCTATGGAAGATGTCGTAGTCGTTTAAACAGTTGGACAGCAGTGCTTAATCGTTTATACAGGCGGCAAAACCAGCAAACACAAATCTCTGCGGGCCAGATAATTAGCAGCCTGAATTAACCCTATAACGTGTTACTATCACCAGTCGGAAGACGCCTTTCTGAATGTCTAATAAGCGCGTGCAGTATATACGCTGCTATTGGAATATTAAATTCAACCATGAATCATTTCTTTCTGAACGGAAGTTCGTTCGATCGGTCACATCCCGTATATCAGAGAAACAACTTTCAGCATTTGTTATTACCGTGACATGTCCATTATAAGCTATCTTCGCTGAGTATTGAAAATTTTCCACGCCACAAAGTAAAATGCACTGATTTTCATTACAAATTTTGAAATGTTTTATGCGGTCTGCACATTTGTTTCAATACAAAAGTATTTTCACTTTGTGCAAACAGTTTCCATTCATTTGCCATTGCCCATCAAAATAAGATCTGTAGACTTTAACAATTCATTGGAGTATTCGATAATCGCGCGAAAGTCACGCGATTATTTTATAGTGTTTCCAAAACTTTTTTTTTGACTTTTTCTAATTATTTTACTTGGATACTTGCATTAGCTCAGCAATTAGCAATGGATCAATAGGCCAATTACTCGAATTCAAAATCAATCGCATGCTGTTAGCTATCGATATCTAGTTCGTATAATTGAAGCTGTTGAGTACGCTAGTCGTGTCTATACAATTGAGTAAATTGACATATAAGGAAAGTGTATAGTATATATATAGGATGGTCGCTAGATAAACAGAAAATTTGTCAAACAGCTATTCATTTTCACAAAGAATAACTTTTACAAAGCTATTTCCTGCCTGCTTCCGTGGTGTGGGTGTCACAATAGAAATCAAATACAACCTGAAAGATATCAACTGAAAAAATAAGAACGTATCGAAAAAAAATGAGTAAGCACGCATTTTATTCGTGATCTCATTTGACATTCAAATTTTCTGATTTTCTAGCGACCACCCTGTATTAGCGACAAACTGTTAAAAACGCGCGAACCCTACCAAAATTACCCGTGATTGTATCGTTGTTGATATACCTTGTATATGTTAAACGCGCTTAGAATATTATACAATTTAACGATTCAGTTTTAACGAGATGTGAAATGGCAATTTGTTCTCCACGAATATTTGTGTCATGGAGCATGGAGTCCCTCAAGGACCTTTACTTGGTCCGTTATTCTATCAAGCTTAAATAAATGACATGCATTATGAACCTAGTTACATTTATAGGTTTTAACATCTCATCTATGAACATAAGGGAATTATAAATAATAATATAAACACTAGGATGACAACCGCTGGCAAAGCTGACATTCAACACTAAGAAAATATATGTTTAAAGTAAATATCACAATAATATAACTTCCGTGCACTTACTGTTTGCACAAATAATACGCCAGCCATGCAATAAAGACGTGTCCCGAGGTCATATGTAAAATAGTCGTAAGACGGAACTTGGGAAGGTTTGTGTAAATATGTCGCAAGACTTTGTTTGTACGATTTTTCAAAATTGCTGCCTTTAAATTTTTCCCAGTCATGATTTGAATATGTTCAATGTAAGGTACGCTTTTGCGGTTACGGCTGCGACATAAAGGATGAAACGTTTAATCACTATCATATTTTAAATTTCATCCCTGATATACGGTTTCTATAGCGCCAAATAGGAAGTCAGTTAATCCGTTTGCCATACTGTACTATCGAAAAACAAACGACAAAATAAGCGATTAGTTGGAAACCTAATCAAATTACCTTATGTTCGTTCTCAACGGGAAGCGATTTGCTTTATAACACAATGGGAACAGAAATGTGCATATGGCCTGGTTTATATAATGAATAAAATCGCTCTAGATATCACAAGGATAGGAAGGTTCACATCTACTGTGAATCAATTTTGTCGATGTTATTTTGTCGTTGAGGATAGAATTAAGGGCATGCACAATCTTAGGAAATGTATATTTTATAAACACCGCCATGATGTTAAATAGTTATATTATTTATTTTATTGATGACCAAATAATGAGGATAGTTCACCATCAGAAGACATTCCATAAGATAACCTTTCCAAACTTGAAGTAGAAAATAAAGTAACTGAAAAGGAGAGGTTGTCACAAAGGAAGCAGTTAAATAATAAAATGGTTAGTTGTCCTATGTACAGCATACTAATTGGATATCATGCAGTGTATAATGTGTATTTTTAGTATTCTTATTTATCCCCAGGTAGCATATGCACAAAAAAAATAGTGCAGATGTCACAATCAGATCATCACAGTCACAAATCATCTAATATCGAATAAGGTATAGGATAGGATATGATTTACATATTTATCCCGGGGGAGAGGAAAGCCGATAAGACGGCTTATCCATATGGCGAACCACGGCCTCTCGTCCGGTTACCATTCCAAGTCGGGTATGGGATATTGTTTGTTTTCGGAGGCATGGACTTGGTGGTGGAGGAAGCCGTAACCGACCAGCGGTTACGTGAACCACCCAACGACGGCGAGGAGTCCAGCAATCCTCTCGCACATAACCATCCCTGCATGGGATTCGAACCTGCGAACCCACGCAGAGTAATTAGAGGTGCGGTGGCGAGCGTATTCCTAACGCTTAGCCCGTTGAGCCACACCGCCGCGCCGTATAGTTTCTTATTATTAACTGTATAATTAATTCATCAACACTTTCAAAATGATATTTCCTTGAAAGGGAAATTCTGATATGGCAGTAGCCCTTTGCATATGACAAACTGCTTTTCAGGAAATGTTAATAATACCAAACACTTATGTTTTAGAGGTCATAATGCAGATAAATAAATAATATTTGACCGCAACCAGGTTATATTTACATACTAGATAAAAACAGGGATTTTTAGACAATGAGGCTGAAGGGAAATGACTCGTTAGAGAATATATTCTCAACTTCAGATACACATGAAAACAGCAGAGACAGTCCAATAAAGCGTGAAATGCGCCAAAGTGATCCATTACCAACTTGCGGAATATGCATATTCAACACTACAAAAAGCCAAGAGGATATATCAACTGGAAGATGCAGATCAAAATGTAAAAGGTGGCAACACCAAAATTTGTTTGCGAAGCTTGCAACCCTAGGTACTCATCAAGTAATGGGATACTTCAAATACTACACAACAGTTATCTTATGCATATGGTTGACTTTTACCAGTTGTAATGCACACCCCAAAGAGAACATTGTACATGAAGATTTTATTCGTCAATTTCGTTCAAATCAACCAAGATGGATTGGAAAAGAATATATAAGCTCATACAATCCACTAGACAGCTTCAAATTTTTGTTCCATAGTAAAAAAATGAGACATTATATGAACAGCCTGGATGAAAGTTCACAAGAAAGGCTAGAGGATGGGATTACAGGAATGTGGGCTGTAAAATTGAAATTTGAACATGACAAAGATAGTCGAGAAGAACTTGATTTATCTGCTGATATAATAGCACAAGAACATGGTTTAGAAAACCACGGGCAAATAGGAGAATTGAAAGGTAAGAATAGCTTTACAAATCAATATGTTCCATTAGGCATAAAACAAAAAGTTCGTAACATTCATATATTTTCAGGGTATTATCTCTTCATGAAAAAAGACAGTCCAGAAACATGGACCACCATGGCATCTGCAATTGCATCATCATCATCAATACAAGAAGAAAGGGACGAGCAACAAACGCCAAAGACAGAGGAAAAGTCTATAACATCCCATACTACACCTTATGTTGCAGGTCAGATCTTATATTCGATTTTTTGAAATGCAAAGGTAAAAATAAAACAAAATAAATAAAATTACCAGTAAAGGAAACAACATACAGTATATAGTTAAAGTTCAGATGATATTACTCAAGGTATAATTAAATTACTGATTACATCAGTTTACCACTTTCAAATTTATACAACGGGCAAAAAATTCAGAATGCTATCTTAACCATAAACTTTTTGTATTGCACAAATTCAAATACATTTTTTATCAGGTCTTGCCACAACGACAGATTCACCAGTGACGACTGACGTATACACAGATGGTGAGGTAGAACCAACACATTTATTCAGTACTCAAGAACCTACTCAAAGGATGCTTGAGAAGGGGCTTATACAGCACAATCAAGTGGAATGGCAGGGTCATCAGGTACCAGGAAATACTAAAATAACACAGAATTTGAAATTTTGCCGAATTACTTTCACAACTCTTCATATACTTGAAATAATATAAAATGTGTTTCCTTTTTATCTCTATAAAAGTTAATGCCCTAAACATATAATAATCAATATAAAATAATCACTCATATGACTAAATTAGCTCTATTTTCTTGCAGGTTCTGCTGACACGCAGCAAAAGAGGTTATCTTCCAATATTGAAGATGGATAAAACAGACTTACAAGCAGAAAAACGATTAAAACTCAAAAATCAAAAGATCACACAAAATGTTACTACAACTACATTAGATTTTGCATCAGTACCAAATACAACAATGCTCATTAGTACTAAATCACAACTAATACCATCTTCTCCCAATCCAAGTGAAAAAAGTGAAGAAGAATCAAGACATAATTTTTATATAAAGATCGTCAATAAACATTCTCATCCTACTACAGTAACACCACAACAATTGGAAATAACTTATAACCAAAAATATAAAGATTTAATTGGATCGAGTGGCGGAGGTATAGGTGGTCGAAGAATGGGACTTGATACAGAGGAAGAAGAATCAGCAGGAGATTGGTGGCCACCTTATAATGCAGATTCTCTGGAAAACAATCATGGAACTAGTGGTAAATTCAGTGATCCTTTATTCTTGAGACAATGGCATCTGCAGAATTCAGAAAGCAAAGCAGGTGTCGGTGATTGCAATGTAACAGGTGTATGGAAATACGGAATTACTGGAAGAGGGGTTGTGGTTGCAGTTGTCGACGATGGAGTCCAATGGGACCATCCTGATCTTATAGACAACTACTGCCCCGAGGGAAGTTTCGACCTTAATGCAAATGATGATGACCCCATGCCTGTGCGAGATAACAAAGAAGAGAATAAACATGGCACAAGGTGTGCTGGAGAAATAGCAGCAGTGCCTAATGACCATTGTGGTGTTGGAGTTGCATATGGCGCCAAATTTAGTGGAATAAGAATTCTAGATGGACCTTTGACAGACTCTATGGAAGCAGCAGCATTTAACAAACATCTCGACATCAATGATATATACAGGTATATATATTGAGATAAAGCATTAACTTTCACATCCATGACTATAACGATATAGAATTTTTGGTGGAACTTGACCATTTTTTCACGGGACCTATCTCAAATTAAATGCTAAATGCGCCTCTGTCTCATCTACTTTCAACCTGTAATATTCTAATTTTCTTCACAAATAACACTAACACTAACTTTTTAGTTGTTCTTGGGGTCCAGAAGATGACGGAAAAACAATTGATGGGCCACATCCACTTGCACAGGCAGCACTAAAGCATGGAGTAGTTGCAGGAAGACATGGATTAGGGAGCATTTACATTGTTGCCAGTGGAAACGGTGGTCATAAAGTAAGAATAGTTCCGGCATATATAATAACTGCATTACAGTACAAATCAATTTTTCTTAGATTAAATGTATAGAGTGCCTGCCTGTCTGTCTAATATGATGCTGATATTTCACGAACTGACACAGGTATTTACTTCAGACTTGAGTTAATAGTAATCATGTTTGATATCTCATCTTTTACATTCAGGGTGATAATTGCAACTATGATGGCTATGCGAACTCAATCTATACTATCACTATTGGTGCTGTAGATGAATTTGGTCGTGTTCCTAGTTATGCTGAAAAATGTGCCTCTATGCTTGCGTGCACCTTTAGCAGTGGGGCAGGTAATGAAGGTGAGTTTCCTTTCAACCAGTATTGCTTTGCGAACTTTTATGCATACCATATAGCTGGCTTCACTACGATACAATGTACAATAAAATATAACAATTGATTTTTCAGATGGAAGTGCAAGGAAAATAGTTACTACAGACTGGACATTGGGAAAGAACAAGAAGAGGACAAGCGGCTGCACAGAGTCCCACACTGGCACAAGTGCCGCCACTCCACTTGCAGCAGGTAAAACCATTTTTCTATGTGGATGAAGTTGTGAAAATTGTATATTGGTATGATGGTATTGGCTCATGGTAATGGAATTCCAAAGATCACTCTGTGTACTTAGTGAAACTGGTATCAAGTTTGCATAAAAAAGTTTGTGTACTGAAGTTCAGATTTTGTTAACTCTTCTATCGAAGAGCTTAAAATATTCAGTAATAGTATTAGAAAATTATCTAGTTCTGATTACAAATCTTCCATTGTCAGGTATGGTAGCACTGATGTTGGAAGCAAGACCTTGCCTTACTTGGAGAGATATTCAGCACATCATGGTTATGACAGCAATAAAAATTAAACCTGATGGCGAAGAATGGACTACAAACAGTGCAGGATTTCATCATAGTGATGAAAGAGGGTAAGAGGAAAATGTAAACCCTAATAAAACGCTGTCCTCTGTAAAATGAACATTTTGACCAGACTTGTTATATCTTAAATTATCACATTGCTGTGATTGTTTTTAGCACTCTCACACTTACATATTTGTTTATAAACGCTTTTCACAACACAGATGCTAATATACTTTTTATTACTTTCCTATTCAACCACTAATGGCTTTTAAATTGACCAAGGTTTAGATTTTGCAGTGATAGCTGATTGGATTATTATATTTTTATAACATTCCATTCATTGCTAATAAACATTGCAATAATGCAACTTCATTGCAGTATTAATTAGGTAGTAACATTACAGTTTTGGACTGTTGAACGCTTGGAGAATGGTAAATGCTGCTAGAGTGTGGCGTCCAGTACCTTGGCTTACATCTCTTGATTTGGAGTGCCCTGATCGGCATCAAATCATTCCGAATACAAAGAAGCGAGCTCTCATTGTAAAAATGTTGGTGACTGAAAAACAATGCCGCAACAACATGGTGTATACATTGGAGCAAGTTTTGGTAAGAATATTTCATTTTTGCCTATGTTTCAATTGGTTTTAAATTATTACCACAGCCTTTTTAGGTAAACTCAAAATAGATATTTGTTATATGCTATGAATCAGCAGAAATAGTAGTTTTAAATTAATAATCAATTTTTATCAAAATACAAAATCTAACGAAGGAGGAGAGTGAATATGATAAATTACATTGCAAGCGTTATTTCTACAGACTATAAACATTCATCAATTTCAGATAACTGTCGACATTGAGCATCCACGCAGAGGAGATTTATTTATTTCACTTGTGTGCCCCAGTGGAACAACATCAGTTATAGGCGGACCACGAAAAAACGATGACTCTTCAAGTGGCTTGTGGAACTGGACCTTCGCCACCGTTAAGTGTTGGGGCGAACAACCATTTGGTACCTACAGGTATGTGATAAGAATGGTGGTTCAGCCACACCACAAATATTGATTTATTGCCTCAAGCAATAAATTGCTATGAAAATTACTATATTACAATTAATGATTTATGATGATACCACTTCACTTTATTATAATTATTTAAAGTTCTTTAGTAGTCCAGTCAAAAAAGCCTATAACAAGTGCCTAAACTTATCATGTTTTTTTCAAGGTTGATCATACATGATACAGTTGATCGACCAAGAACAATGATGGGAGAACTAAGAAATTGGAAAATAACTTTATATGGATCAATGCTAACACAGATTGATATTGAAGTAAGTCAAATTTCGATTTCAAGCGAATATAAAACAACTTTATGGATGATTCAATGTCTCACTGGTATTTACTCATCTAAATAAAGTGAATCTATTTACAACATACATTCAGAATTTCAGTACATATCGCTATCAATCAATTACAAACACAAATCGAGCATATTGATCAGCATTTTTGTCTAAACCTATGTGATGCAACAGGAACGAATCCATTTTTTTTCTCACAAATGTTTATTTTATGACTCGGCCACCCGTATTGCATTCAATCACATGATCAGACAGCCAACTCATGAATAGGTAATAATGGAGTCGATGTGTTTCTATCAATCAATGTTTTTTCCTAAAAAAATGCTGGCATAAATACCTTCAAATGGAATGTTTTGTAAAATCTATTAATCATTTCATAAAATAAACTTAAATTCATAAAATTCATCATTTGATGAAGATCTGATTAATTATAATTTATATTTATTGGCAAAGGTAGGAGTATTTTGGAATATCATGTGGATGAACCATTTCAATACTTGAATAAATATTTTTAAAATCATTTGAATGCAAAACAAGACCAATTGTTAAACTATTCATGTTTTACAGGCTCAAAGAGAAAGAGTAGAGGAGGCAATGAGCGGGGAATATCTCAAACCCTTCAATATTGATGACTTTGCAACAAATAAAAACAAGAGCAATAACATAACATCATCAGACAATATGCAAGTCGGATATTGCCCTCCATTAGAGCTAAATCAATATGAATCAGCGCTAACAGAAAAACCACCAACAGAACGAGTTCTCAAACTTATTGCTCTATCAGGCTGTTTTCTTCTACTTTGGGGATTATATTGTTCTTTAGATGTTGTTACAGTACAGAAATCAGAACCTGAAATAGCAGTTATAACTATTCATGAAGAAAACAGAAATGAAACGAAATCAAACTTTGTTCACCACGTTTCTAAAACAAACAGCTGGTGGACAGAAACAACTCATTGGTTACTCCGTGAACCTAAAAGTGAATATTGCAAACCTTTAACTAAAAATATAGACTCTTAGCACTGAGAACATTTAGCTCATAATACAAAACTAGACGAATTATAGACAATTCTCAATTACAGAATTGACGATCAATATTTAATAGTTTTATTTGTGTTGTTACATATTTTAATATGTTCCTCCTCAGAACATCGTTAATGTTCAAACTCAAATGTTGCTTTCCGGAAACTAATTTGCATATGCACAGCCAATTTTGAAATAGCAAGGATAAGGCTGATGACACAGACCTTGTTTGCTTTGGACATCTCTGCCTGCCTGATGAACATTACGTAATCACTGTGAACCTATGCATGGTATACATACTGCCAAGTTACAAGTTTGGTTACCGTGGAAATAAGACCCCAGATTCTCATTCAAGTTTTGCCTGAGCAGTGCTGCATTAAGCTTTATTTTAAAGCAGTAAACCGAATTTACAATATCCAACTTAATTATCATGCTCAATGAGCATAAATGTTAATTTCAAATGCCAAAATCACCATTGCAATCCATGTTGGTGCCCAGTGCAACCACATTATACTAGAAATATTTTCTTTTTAAGCGAATTTATGGTATGTACACTCAACAAAAAGATTAGATTGAAAAGCTAAATAAAAGGACTTGAAATATCTGTTTTTCGCATTGCATTGAATGAAAAACATATAGGATTTCAAATCAATACGATAAAGTTATAGACATAGGAATTGGCAATGACAATGCAGTATATGGTTATGCAGCTATAAAAGTGGTAAATAACTCTGCTGTAAAGTCATATTTGCAAAGTCAATTTGATGTGTAAGCAGCACTGTGAAAAATATGCTGATTAAAAAGCATTGAAAGTTTACAGTGAATCACATTGATTTCTCAGCTACATTTTGGTGTTGCGTTGGTATTTGTATTAATTTCATAAATGTGCCCATTCCTGTTTTTGTTTGTCATTGTTCGCTTTCATTTTATACTGTGAAATGTGTATACAACATGTCATGTTTCGCATTACCTCTTTTTATCGTTTGATATTGAAGCATTTCTGTCCCTTAAAAATAAAAATTCTTCCACAATGAAATGGTATTGGTTTTATGGAAATGGTTACATGTAAGAAAAGCAAAACCGTTGATTTTTTAAGGTTCATTAGGTATTTCACACGAACTTCTGTACTGGCCTATGTCCAATGGTAATCTTCAATTGCTTTAATGTCCTTGGTAAGCATCATGGTCATAATAAATTTGGCGCTACAGAAGTATGTGTACCAATATGGAGGTAACTAATTTTGTTGTACAGTTGTGTAAAGGAGTAAAAGGACGGAAACCCATAGGCAGGGGGGATAAACATTGCCAATACAAACAGTCCACGAACTCGTAATAGAACTAAAATGAAGAAAATCGGAATAAAATTATGGCCCAACCCTAACCTGGTACACATACTATGGGAGTACCATAAATTTAACATTCGACATCAGCATCTTAGCAACATTATAAGAGAATCATTACAAACAATGACATGACAGACCAGAGACAATCTTTCGGTCACAGACCCACCAACTTATCTAAGCAAAATTATCTAATTATAGACATATTTAAGTTCAAAATTCCCACTATCCACTCAATTATGAGACAGCTCACTTCTGGAAAGCGAAGAAAACTTCAACTGAGTTATAAATTCATTGAATGATGCTCGACCCAAATCACTGGCACCAAGCGCAGCACACATACACATGTGAGAATCAATGAAGCATCACTCGCCATGGGGACTTTCCCAAAGAAGCTTCAGAGTTTGCAGGTCATCAAGCCACTGAGTATGGGAAGTGCATTCAATAAAACTGAGCTTAATGGATTCTTCATCGAAAATATCGTAATTGTTGCTCTTTCAGGCACAAGATGCTGAGGTTCAATCATCTGACTGACATAACTGTCTTTATTCTCATTATTTTTTTTTTCAATTTTCTTATTTTGTAAATTTTGGCTCCAAGTACTATATTAAGCTCAAAACAGAAGCGAAGCATTCGCTGGCATATTCTTTGACAACAATGCTATGCTACTAAGAATGAATCTTGAGTGAAAATTTATTATGTTATGTTGCATTATAGACATTGTGCTATTGGTGAAACTTGTTTGCTTCCTAAATTTTGGACGGTGCCGCGTGTCGGAGAAGCCATTGATGGTAGTGATGATTATCTGAATTATAATGCTTCACTACAAGCACTTAAGATATTTGCGGTGTATTGTGATGAAGGTTTCAACCGAGATTTTTTATAAGCAAATCATATTATAACCGATATTGCCACGTTTGTCACATTTTTGTGGTCCCCACTGTACAAATTTCACAGACCACGTGGAGCCTAAATTGGTGCCTTGCTACAGAAAATATATATTTCGAAGAACAAATAAATCATACCTGTGGAATTTCTGGCAAACGATTGTAACTAAGATTCAAATGTGTAAGGCGATCCAGGTAACAAAGTTCATTCCCAATCGATGATATTCGATTGAAGCTAAGGTCCAGCTCTTGTAAGTTTGGTAGAAGTTTCTGAATAATGAAAAATGTTGAAATTAGATAATTTGAAGAAAAAGGTATGACGAGACTGATTGCATAACGATAATCCCATTGATTATGGGTTAAATCAGACTTCCAAAGACAATGGTTACGTACAGAAAGATTACTGGAGTCCCCACAATTGCAAATTAGTTCAAAAAGTTACTGCTCAATTTCCTTCATCATTCATCAAAGGCCATGCATCGATGCATGCATGGCGCTCAATTGGCTGAACCTGGCTTTTTATGGAATCGTGTCTTTGCGATTGACCAGGTGCCCTATATTAGGATGCCTTAATAGCTTTCCTCTTCCGTGATCAATATCAAAAATCATTTTCTATAGTAAACACTGAACATTTCTGAAACACCATAGTTTTCTCAAACAAATTCCATCAACATTTGAAATTATTCAGGACAATGCCAAGTTACAAAATTAAAAACACTAAGAAAATATTGTGACTTCATATTCATTCACTGTAGACACAAAAACATAATCACTTTAATTCAATATGGAACTTTCAAAGGAAAAGTCAACTTCTAGAAGCAGATGTATTGTAGTTTTAGCTAGCTCTTAGTTTTAAACTCACTTGAAAAATAATTCAAATGTATTGGTTGAATAATTTTGGCAATATAACATTTGATTCATGATTCTGTAATAATATATTTCATACCAGTGAAGAGTCCAGGCTCGTCAAAAAACATTCTGAAACTTCGAGGCAAAGTAGTTTAGGCCATGACATTGGTCCGCTTTCATCCATGCAGCATGAGGATAATAACTCATGCAAAGTGATTGTCCCTCTGAGAAAACAAAATATATAAAGCAGGTGAATGACCATAGTCCAGTAGTTTCCAAGGGGGCGATTACCTAAGTGCGCCCCAAAAATTACCGTAACAGTCGTCAAAGCCCTTGTAAAATCTCCATAATACGAGACAGAGCCATGTCTTTTTGTTGGCATTAAACTCTCAAATTTATGTTATTCAAAAGTGTTATTCTGAAATTATAATAACAGCAATCTCGTATATATATATATGTATATAACTAAACATTGAACACAAACTTTCCATTCCTTTATAACAGTTATAACCTAATTTCAACACAGAAACTAATTCTTTACTTCAAGTCCAATGAGCATTTTGGGAAAATAATAATGTTTCTAAAAAGTCAATGTAGGGTCATTTACAGAACAATGCAGTTAGCAACTTTATTATTGTATCTCAAACAGTTTTTTGCTTATACCTCATGACTAATCCAAGCTTATTTCAAAACAAATTACTCAGAAAAGAAAACTACATATACAACAGATACATCCTATTAAATTCCAATAATATTTGACATATTTATAATCAATAATCGTATTATATACTTTTCTGCAATCAGCGTATGCAAATTTGTGCTGACAGCCCGTAAGCCTTTGACGGAGTTGAGACATGGTCCCACTATGTGAACTCGTTCCAAAGATCGAAAGTGCTGCAATTCGGCAATGAATTCTCCAGAACAGGATACCTGAAACAATACACACTAGATAAATACCTCGTTTCAATGATAAACAGTAGACTCAGCTTTTATGGAGCAGTATAAAGCAAAAAACCTAATTCCAAGTAAAGCTGCAACAAAGCAATGAAGCGCTGTAGCTATAAAAAATAAAATATATGAACCAGTGAACAAGTCTTTAAGGTAAGCGATAATCTGTGGAAGTGTTTACAAAGATGGATAAAATTTTCACGTTTGTCGTGAGGGGGGAAGTAAGCCAATAAGATGACTTAATCATAAATTGAGTATACGACAAATCATCACATGGCAAAGCGCAGCTCCTCGTATAACCTTTCCAGTAAACACAAATGCATATATTGCGCAATAACATATAATCATGTACACATCTTTTATTGAATGACAAACAATCATCACCTATTATCTCAACTACGCCAAGTATGAACCTTGTTGAGTGACAATCTGATTCAGGTATCATTCATACTTGATAAAAGAGTTATATTCAACATTAAAATGAGTAATTTGAAAAAGTCAGCAAAAAATGAATGCTGATGATCTACAAATTTCTAACAATTTTCTGCATAACATGCATGGTGGTATGGTTGAGGTAAATTGGTCAATTGTTCATATATCTTAAAAAATTTGTTTTGAAACTAACCAAGAATATTTAGTTATATAATTCTTTCCATTGAATTTTTTACTAAAAAAAAAACAGATTCAAAGTAATAAAAAAAATACAATGACATGATGTTACATGTTAAGTCATAGATTATCAATTTAAAATGCTTAAAATGAAAACATACTAAAGCAAATGTACTTTTGAACTAAAAATTATGGATATATATAAGTATTCTGATCAGGTCATTACTGTACTACTTCAATAAACAATGAGGTCTCCTGTAGTTTTGTACCTAACATACTTCTAGTGGGCATACCATAACAATGTGTCAATCCTAACCCTCACCTGACAATGCCATCCCAAAATTACATCACTATGATGTCACAATCACGGCATAGAGCTTGCCAAAATATTTGTATGATCGTCCGAATTGGCATATGCGCTTATGAGAAAGAACTAATGCGATCATTGTGACGAGAAAACGAGAAAAATAGCTTGCTTGATTGCCGGTGATCGTCTGCGCGTCTTGGATGACAATTCGTATAGTTTGAAGGGCTCTATTATATCAGTGTGAATTTTTGGATGATGCAATCAGGTGGGGGTTAAGATTAACAAATGAAAAAATTGTTATGCTACGCCCACTAGAAGTACTTTAGGTACGAAACTAAACTAGACCCAAATAATGAATATCAAAATTGACTGTGAAGCATTTTATGCGGGGGTTCTAACACAAAAGAGAGTCAGCCATATCATTTTTTATATAAAAGTTATAATTGGTAACATTTTGTCAAGAAGCTTCTTGTGTGTGGGTGGAACCTTATTTATATTCTTCATTTTGAAATTGATATTCTAAGCAAACTCTCAAAACTTTTAGCCACTTACCTTCAAGTCTTTGAGAAGTTGAACATTATTGAAAAATTCTTCAAACTGGTCTGGTGCGACTTGACGGGAATTAGAAGAAAATTCTGGGCCATTTTGGTAAAAGTTCAGCAAACTAAATAAAAAAGAAAGATGACTCAATAGTGAGATATGACTCTGTAAATATCGAAATATCACTTCGGCAGATTGCATCAATCAAAATCTCATAACACAGAGTCTTGAGTTATTTAAACCAGTGCTCTTCAAACTGGGGGTCCTGACCTGCCAGTGGGTCACGAAATGGGGATCGTGGTAAAATCTTTTTCGACACTAACTTATTTTAAAACAAAATATCGATCAAATTTGAAAGATTTGGAACCAGTACTGAGACCCCCAAAATAGAGCCAAGATTCAATCTTTTGTGCGTGAATATGCAAGCACATTGGTCTCATCTTTAATTGGATAGGTATTGTCAATTTTATTCTTTTCCAAACTACTTCCTGTATCATCAAATTTTACTTTATTTTAGTTCATGAGGGCGAATGTGGCCGTGCCAGGTGGGTCGAGATGAAAAATGTTTGGATAACTCTGATTTAAACTATATTGTGATATTATAATACAGAGCAGATGTATATTACAAAATTAAATGTTATTGAAATTATTACGGTATTATCAGGATATTTCAAAACTGATGGCTAAGGTAAGGTTGTATAGATGATTCAAACTTAAATCTTCAGGATAATTCAATTACATGTATAAACATGAAGTTTTAAAATAGAGTTATTCCATTCAGTTCAGCAGGTCAGAATATCACTAGACAGCTATTTCTGTGTTCAGGTGTTTATCACCTGCTTGCCATTTTACAGTTTTATCTGAAATACAATCTGACAATATTTACCAAATTTGCCATGGCAACATGATGTTACCTACTGGTGATAGTAATTCTGTGATTACAGTGCTTAATATTAAAAAGTGTTTAAACTTACTTGGGGAAGTTCCTCAATTGCTGTGATGTGAAATGTAACATCTTTCTCGGAGTGCAACCCCCATCTGGTTGATTATAGACTTGAAAATATTTATTTAGCCTCACTAAGGCAAGTTCATACATTTGCAGAGACTCTCTATCACTGGCTGAGGTCATTATTGTGACTTTATAAAATAAAATATGAGAAGCTGAGAATCAGGCGGATACGGTCAGACAGTCTTGCCATTGCCAGTCCTGCAGTCTGCAGTTACGTTCTGACGTTAGGCTACTTCCAGTACAACAATAATCATTTATTACTGTATTACGGTACCGGTAATGTTAGTAAAACAAAAAGGGCTGGCTTAACACACTTCCAAATTTCATACGGTACGGTACCGGTATATATATATATATATATATATATTTTCTGTATAACTTTATCTGTTTTCGATTCAATCCTTCCCGCATTCCTGCATTCTTCACACAACACTCTTCATTTTCAAACACGGGATTACCTATCATTGTTTTTTTGCGCGAATCTAGTTTCGCGGCGACTGAGCTTTGTATGAATTCGGTTCAAGGAGAACATGACGCGATTCACGAAAGTATACTTTGACATGAACGTACTTTTCTTTCGCGTATAGAAAAAATAAATATGAAAATCGCCTCTCCAACAGATATATGTTATCGTAGGAGTGCTTCCACGCAAAATTACTTCTCGCAAAAGTCAGTCCGTTTTACGCGAACACACTTGAGAGAATCATTTTGTCAGAGCGAAAAAAAAACGTCTGAGCGGTTGCTAAACTTCAATTCCTTGGTCTGATGATTGGTACACAAGAAAGTCGATGTTCGTAAAAACTTCCGCAGAGTAGGTTTGCAGGTTTGAATAATTTGATTGGGACTTGCCTTGAAGAATAAGCATTTGCGTGGAGTAATTGATCGTTCTAATCTAGTAGCACACGACTGGATTTTTTCATTTAGGATGAATAATATTTTGAACTGGTAACTTTCATTCTCACCAAGCTGTGACAGCAAAAAAGTCCCTCACCACCAATCTACAATCGCGCTCGAAATCATGGCTACGGAACGAGAAAACAGTGATTTAAATCCGGACCTTAAAGTATCCAATTTGGAACGCAACTGTTGTATATTTTATATTACAGTATATATATTGGTAGTACTTGCCCCATCAAGTTTGGATGGGCGATTTCTTAATGTGTCATTTCTCGGAAATATATCGTTTTATAGTTTTAAAATATTTCCACTGTCTCACGTAGCGAATGATCACATGCCAGGAAACTACGACACGCTTCGTTTTAACATAATTCGCCCTCCTATTAACTTGTTAGCCTCAAATTCAGATGCACAATTACTCCGTTTATCGTTTTTGTCTAGTACGCGAACTCTATACGTAACTTGAATTTGTATAATATATATAGCTGACTTCAGTACATACCGATAAGTGAACGTTTAAAAACGCATCAGTATCTTCGCTACATAGCAGTAGGCCTAGTAGCAGTGCTGCAACGCAGATCTAATTTAAATGAGTCATGTTTGGGATACTCGCAGACCATATCGAAGATACACTCGAACTAGCAGTGAGAGATTTCATCGCCCCAGACAAAGTGAACACTGTGATACATTTAAGCTGAAACAAAAATTAATTTAACAGTTGTTGTTCAATTCTTGTTTTGCTCTGACAAGTATACAAGACTGATAAAGGACATGCCGGTTCCATATGTGCGTGCTATACATATGTAGCCTATTCATTGATATAGCATTAACGATAAAAAAAATATAAAACGAAAAAGAGCAATGCTCAAATATAAGAACACGAAAGTCGAGTATCGGTAGTGGTACTGTACGATGATGCATTGAAAGCACTTAATTTACTGAAAAGCTCGACGATCAAGACTACCAATAAAAAAGTTGTTCCCCAGCAAATTTTTATGGTGGAATATCAGGTCCCATGAGACTAAAGGAAAATAAATAACTAATAATGGATTTTTTGTCCCATATACAGTGAATGATAAGAAGGCAACCGATTTAATGTAAATAAGATAAGATGTAAAGTACCATAGCGTATAAATAACGAATCATAGTCAAGTTTATTCTCTCTGGACAGTAAAATAATAATTGTTATAAATACAAAAATGTCGAGAACATAATTTTACTGGGGATGGGAAGCAGTGGGAACCGAAGCCGGTTATCTAGCAGCGGCGCCCAATATTATATTATCTTATTAGGATTTATAAGATCCGAAATTAATATGTGTACGCTGTACGCGCATTCTTAATGAAATCGCCACAAAAATTTGTATTTTTCACGCTCCATTTAATTTGTTAATTAGATTATGTAATTGTATTCGGAGTAGCCTAAATGTTTCATCATTTATTTAAGATTTATTCAAATCATACAATTCAGATCTAAGGCTTGCCAAACTTGATATCGGTAAAACCCCTTATAAAACCTTGCCAAGTATCCAACTAAACAGCGGAAAATAAATATTTTCAAGCCATAAATGTTACATGACCGATCAAACACCAGTAGCCTATCTAATTTACAATATTTTCCAAGTCCGATTCTTCGCTCGTGTGGAATTATAAAAAAAGCGGGCATTCTGATGCCACTGCTACCGTTGCAAATAAAATTTATCACACTACTCTTGGAGTGAGACAATAACTTCCGCATACTGCAGATGTTATTGTAGGATCGTTTGTCAGTCAAGATCGGCACGTTCATTCCTAAATCTTGGTCGAACCTTGCATTTGTTACATAAAAATATGCTCTATCCTATCGGACTTGCCAAGACCCAAATATTGTATGTGGATATCGTATTTTGCGCATGTATCTTTATTTCTTCTGTTTTGAAACACACAGCAGGCACTGGATGGAACTGGTTGAAGGCAATTTTTTGAGGTATGTTATTCAATTCATTCAACATCAGACGTGATTGACTACTCGAGACGTGGCGATCGACGTGTTGACCACCCTTGATCTAGACCTACTTGAAATTATGATCTTTTGTAGTGGACTGAACATTGCGAGACCGGGAAAAAAGAAAAAAAATCAGGTATAGCGAATAGAATTAATACATTAGATGTTTGACATTCCGCACTCAAATATGAAATTACGGAACTAAGTCCATAAAGGATCTTTACAATTTAAAAAAATTATTACAAAGTTAAATAATGAGATATCGCAATGAGGGTTGTTTTATGATAATCAGTATTTTAGGAATATTTTTGGTTAGAAGTCAATCAGTTGTGATGCCACATACACGGTCAGGAGGTTGAGATAAACAGTCGCAGTAATTGATGCCTCGTTGAGGAAAAATGACCCATTTATTCGATTGCACATGATTCCACACCAAACATTCACTTTTGGACTATCTCGCTGAAGTTCTCTACTCGCATGGGGGTTTTCCGATGCCCAAATTCTTACATTGTGTTTGTTTAACTTTCCTGATACGTGAGAAAATGCCTCATCACTAAAACCGACTCGCTTGAAGATTGCCTCATCCTCATGTAGTTTGGCTAAAGTGCATGTAACATTTGCACTTTGTAAGCATACAAATCTTAAATGCTTGTGTAGGACTTTGTGCACTGTTGTACGTGATAGTTCCAATAGTCTGGCAGCGGTACGGATAGAATTCATAGGAGAACGTTCAAAGGCTTGCCATACACGCTCGATGTTTTCTCAGATGTTCTCAGTCGCCCACTCCTTGTATCGAACACTGTCCCTGTTTTCATAAATTGCTTGTTATTAGCGTGACGATATGTAAATTCAAATTTATATATTTTATTACTTATTCAAAAATATATGTATATGTGTATTCAAATTTTAATGGAACATTTTATTTAAAGAAGAAGCAAAGCTATACAAAATATAGCATATGTCCATAATGTCCCACTCAGTTACTGTCAAAGATGATTTACATAGTCTACAATAAATTTATTTTTTTCGATTTCACTGTCGCTGGTTAACACGTCATCAAAATCTGTTTTTTTTTCAATGTTTCTCTTTCAACACTTAGAAGTGCAAGATCACTGAGACGATCCTGTCCCATTGATGCACGCGGATACGACAAAATAAGTTTCAATTTGCTAAAAGACCGTTCACAGCTTGCAATTGAAACTGGTATTGTTGACAAAATTTGTAGAGAAATTCGCAGATTGGGTAAAACGCGTCGTCTCCAAAAAACACAATAAAACCAAGAAGAGCCAAAGGAGTTTCAGGATGACCTTCAGTTCTGTTACTGAGCAGCATTTTGCAATCTCCAAGTTCGGTGAAAAGTTCGTGGCCATTGATGTGTCGTAGAAATTTGCAAAATCTGTGCAATCCCGACGAATTGTCGAAAACGGCATTGGGGTCTTTTAGCACAGTATAATATATTTTATGTAACTCTGCCGCAAAGTACGGTACTTTGACAACCACGAAATACAAAACCACGTATTACTCAAAACATGTATTACTAGCACTTCGCCGTTGCCTTTTGTCTCCAGCACAGAACTAATAATATCAAGTTACATCGGAGTGCGCAGGCAAGAACTCAACGATACAGAACCACGTAATTAACCCGATGCATTTTGTTACCTAACGTTACCAAATCAATTTTTGCTTTGTTTCCCGGCCAGATTTTTTGGCCATGTTATTACGATGAAAATCTGACCGTGCGCGAGCTATGTGCCTGATGACGTCGGCGGTGACGTAAGTGGTCTGATCAAGTGTGCAGTCTGCCATGTACTAAGACTAGATGTCTGCCGCCGGTGCGATCTTGCTTGTGACCGTTTTTATACCCTTGTTGTGAAATTTTTGCAAGCCCCATTTTGGCGCCCCTGTACCTTGGCGCCCGGGGGCATATGTACCCCATTGCCCCCCCCCCCCTGAGCTACGCCTCTGGGTTTAGCAACAGGGGTAAGGGTGGAGAATGCAAAACTGTTTGTACAAAGGAGTTTGTAAGACAAAACAACATCAATAAATAGAGACAATACAACGTGAAATATAATACATGTAAACGTAATAATAAAATTTGGACATAGACTAAATATAGCACCCCTGAGTGATGATACCACATACTATAATTGGGAGAAATAGTCAAGTTTATGAGTATATGTGCATATATGGTATGTACCACTCAAGGTTGAGTGTCTTAAGTAATATATATATATATATGTCTGATCTCGCAAGAATGCGCTCCTTCCAGAGTTGGCGAAATGCGATGTAATAAGTTCTGTCAAGATATTCGCTTTTCAAAGGTACTTTGTATTTTATAGTTCTGAATGCCGCCAAATAAGATAAGGATTAAAAAAAAATATTCAGGTTGCATTTCCATAAAACCTATCATGATCGCATTTCAGCCAGACAATTTGAAGGTATAAAAGTACATTTAAATAGAGAACAATAAATTATAAAGATTATCATTTTGCCATGTCATGGATTTTCCAAATTGAATTAAAATAATAATAGAATAATATGGTATTCTGGGATGAAAAAAGGGTAAATCTGTAAAATTAATTAGGCAACATTTCCTTGATAGAAAAGAGCTCGCATTTCAGGCTTCAATCATACTTGCTATTTTTTTCAAATTCAGTCCATCGGGTTAAACACAGATGTCAGACTCATCTTTACTGGAGAACCAGCTTAAATATGACAGCAATACTCCAAGGAAGGGCGTATGATTTATACAATTGGAGAGCGACTATAAACGACTTAAAAGAACTTCATTGACACATTTGGGATGGCAGACGTGATAATGTTCATTCCAAGTTGAATCCGTGCAAAATTTGAATGATTCGTTTGGAGCTGAGGAAACAATATGGTTTCGGTCCGGAGAGATGCACTATCGATCATCTTCCTCACATAGGAAACCCAAATCAATTTCCCTTGTTACAAAGAGTGCTGTTAATTGGACCTAATATCACGACAGGAATGATGAAATGAGTTGTGTCGTCAGCGTATATAAGTAAATTGCAAATAATATCCACCGGAAGGTCATAGAGCATGTCCAGGGCGATGACCAGCAAAAGCGATTTAATGATAGCAATAATTTCAAAATATCCTCGGCAATTAGGGTTGCCAACCGTCCTTTATTTCAGAGGACAATCCTTTAATTAAGTGTTTCGGTCCTTGTCGTTTTTAGCAGTTAGAGAAGATGCTAATTGTCTTTTATTCTTTCCAACGTCGTTTTGCCCGGTAGTTATAGTACTGTGTTCGATATTGTTCTGTTCTTAAAAAATCGCCTCCATTTATGTATTTGCAAGCTTTTAATTATTCTTTTTAATTTTCGCTTTGGTCCGGCTCAAAAAGCCAAAGAATTAACAATTTGATTAACATTGTTTGGGTCAATGTTAAATAAAAAACACATGAAGATTGTTCTAATATATCTTTTTACCTCGTATATAATTTTTATTTCATTGTTTCATATTGCTCCTTTCTGCAAGTTACAAAATAAATGATGACGGTAATCTATGTCCTTTATTGAAACTTTTCAGTTGGCAACCCTATGGGCAATCGACTCAGCCTCCACATATCTATCTGATGCGCAGAACATCTCTTCAGCTAACAGGTCGGCGGTAAGAAGTATAGTTTCGCAGTTGAGAGACTGTGACACCAGTGCCCAGAAATCATTGTGAAATATTTTGCCTACGGCTGTTAGACAAAAGTGGTCTTCTACAGCTGGAGCAATGGTAGCCATTTCCAGCAGTCTGAACGAAGATACACAGTTGACAACGTAAATAACACATTTTCAAAACTAATGCAAGTATACGGTTGAAACCAGAAATCGCTATAGAAATAAGTTCACATAAAAAACACTCTAAATCACAAGTCGCTTTTCATACACCAGCTGTTTAAGTCCCACATCTTCGATATCAACAAACCTCTCTACTCCATAGATTTCTGTACACCTAAATGATATACCTTGACAAAATGTGCCGCCCTAAACATACTGCAAACAGCTTATTAAAAATGTATATTCAATAACTGATTAAAATCATGGTGAGACATGCGACACAGGAATTCAGCTCCAAAAAAGCATTACAAGACAAATTGAAATGCCTATTAACATTCAGAACTCACACAGAATTCCGCAACACATAACCATGACAAATGTTACAACACAAATACAAGTAGTGCTGCCTAACAGTTTGTCCAATGTGTTAGATTCCAAAACTAAACCATTAGCATGGAAAATAAAGAAAGATGAACTGACAGGCACAATATTCGAAAGACCAATCAACAGAGAAATAAGCAACAATAAAATGAAAAGTAAACAGCGAAATAAAAAGCATTTCTGTTAAGATTACACCCCAAAACTCGTCTAGTATAAGTTGACAAAACGGCACTACATCAAAGCGCTGGAATGCTTATTACCAAACAGAAGTACCATATTCAAGAATACTCTCACTAAATCAGTATTTCCACAGATTTCAACCCTATATAAAAACTCATAGATTCAGAAACACATTCGGCTTTTACAAAAAAATATTTTAATCCAGTACTGGCTATTATAATGAGAAAGAATTAGTTTGGAAAATTTCATGTTTACAATATGCAAGACAAATTTTCTTCAAAGAAAGAAAGCAATAGATAAACACGAGCAAGACACATGTAAAAAAATGTGTCAGAATCTACAATAATAAATATGCAGGGACCGATATCAGCAAGAGAATAAATGTCTTATGGTTTATTATTATTATTGGCTACTGCACTAAGGAAATAAACGACTGAGAATTTTCCAATCTGCTCAAAGCAGAAAAGACTAATAAAGCGACCCTGAAAAGCAGTTAAATCACAAAGCTGGCTCTATATCTGCCAGTGGCATAAAACACAGAAGTGTTGTGCCATCAGTCTGCTTCGATGTTGCGGCTTTCAATTATATAAAAGGGTTATGCTCTCTCTCCACGTATTCTACGGGCCAATTGAATGTCTTTGGGCATAATTGTCACACGCTTGGCATGAATTGCGCAGAGGTTTGTGTCTTCAAAAAGGCCGACTAAGTACGCTTCGCTTGCTTCCTGTAAAGAAATATAACATGGTTAATTTGGGTTTTAAGTTTGTAAATGTAGAACAGAGTACAGTCTTCCCAGTCAAATTAACTAGTCACAAGTTACTGGTTAAAAACAGAATAAAACAGTTCAGTACAAAAGTAACAAACCTGGAGCGCTCCAATGGCTGCACTTTGAAACCTCAAGTCTGTTTTGAAGTCTTGTGCAATTTCACGTACCAAACGTTGGAATGGCAGTTTGCGGATGAGCAACTCCGTTGACTTCTGATACCTTCGAATCTCCCTGAGAGCGACTGTTCCAGGCCTGTATCTATGAGGCTTTTTTACTCCTCCAGTTGATGGGGCACTCTTCCTCGCAGCTTTGGTAGCCAATTGCTTTCTTGGCGCCTTTCCACCAGTTGACTTTCTTGCAGTTTGCTTTGTACGAGCCATTTTTTAGTAGAAGTTTACAATCGGGATAGCTAAGTTTATAGATACACAATAGGATTTCTGTTAAAAATAAATCAATTGGAATATTACAACACTTCACTATCAGACTATGGTTAACGTTAAATCTGTAAATTCATACTGTCATACAAGTAAAGTTCAATTCTTCAAAGCCAGGGTCTGAGGGTTGCTGGTTAGAAGACGTCAAGATAATTCAGTAATAACAGAATCAGGAGGCTAACAGTACAACACATCAGCATAAAGCTGAAGACTGGAAGAGGTTTTTTTATTATGAAAATTCCACAATCCGGCAATCAAGGTTCGGAATAAAACAACTGACAGACCTATCTGCCTATGGGACTCAATAATAAGGGAATTAATAGCGCATATAACTTTTAATTTAACATATCCACTCTTGCAACATACGGACAGGCTTTTTACTGCCAGCGATTATTACATCACATAGGCATAATACAGTAACAACTACACACAATCTGACCCAAAAGCGCCAACTTCACCCACGCGAACCATCCGCGTCAGTAATTCTAATTGTTCCGCTGAAACGGTCTTTAAAACAAACCAACTTATCAAGGAATTTTGTAGACGATCGGTTGGTCAATATTCAACCAATCAAACGTCTTCGCTATACGACGCTTTCATTGGATAATTTTTCCATGACGTCACGATATATATACGTTCGTGAGAAACGAGAGCATGTCACTCGGTTGTTTCGTCTGTCGTAGCTCATTAACCATGTAGCGCCGCTGGTGTAAAAACGCTAGCGCGGTATTTCTATTTCATTATAACAATGCGGAACAAAAACAATTTTTATCTGATTCAAGTATGGCCCAAGGCAGAGTTGTCTTCCCTGCACGACCATGTTGCCGGAAAGTTTTCTGTAGATATAGGAATACTTAACTGATACGAATGATTTTAGAAAATTGACTTCGAGTCGGTTTGTCACTGTATAACATTTCATGAGGTGATTTGAGTAATGCCCAAAAGCCAAGTCTTCATGACCAACTGGAGAGTTTTACTGTATATGCTGGTTGTGGCCATTGATTGCTTTGCATTTATAGTGAATTCTTGTAACATTTTCGTACATGGCATGTTTGAATTGCGCGCACCATCTAATGCCTACTTATTTTTGGCGCAAACGAAATATAGATCGTCGACCTCGAATTATTCTGAAGCTAAAACAATGTAATACGTTTACGGAAATGATGGTCTGTCACGACTTGATACGAAGGCCAGTTTTTTTGTACCTCAAACCCTTTTGTGTCCAGCAAGACATTTCAGGGTGAACGGACCACTGAGCAACAATACCAATTAGGGTCCACTAAAAACATGAAGCCCATTTCAGTTACTCTCAAAATTTATATAAGGTCCCGGCCCACTGGTAGCCCGAGATGAGGCTATTTCTAGTATTGTCGGTACCCAGTAGGTCGAAAGCGTTTAAAACAGACTGAACTTTGCTGGGAATTTAAATGATTCCAATACGTCCTCGTCGGCTAACCAACAAACTAGTGAAACTCGTTCTAATACGCATAATTCGTAGTCCTTTTCTATGGCTTGGACGAGTCACAGTAGCCCGTGTAAAAATCGAAATCCTAGGACGTCCAACTCGGCATTGTCGCGCATATAAACCGTAATCACAGAGTCAGTCGTGTAATGGACAGTCAAGCTATAAAGATTGGCCACCTAAATCTGAAGTAAACCGCCCTGGATAAGATAGCAGGTACGCATATATAGATATATATATACAGTACAATCAAGACAACCTTTTTCTTTATTCTAATTCAATTGGAAACATACAAAACGATTCAGGAAGTACACCATCATTCATACTAAGTTTACAAGATTTAGTGGTGAAACCCGTTCACATGTTTTTAAAACAAATCAGCGTCATCAGGTGCATCAAGATCTCTGTATTCTACGATTGGTCGACCAGCATATGGCTCCCTGTTTCAAAAATAAATCATTTTATAACATAAGAAACATCACGAGACATACACTCAATCGGGTTTAATTAATGTAATTCGACATATGGCAAATTGTTCCGTGCTAAGGATTTGAATTTGCTCTCTCAAATAATGCTTTGAAACTGAAAAACTACGAAGATCAACATCTCTAAAACTTTCTCACCTTGGTCGCATGTCTCTTTGTTTTGGTGGATAAGTTCTCCCATTTCCATAAGCCACAGGTGGTGGTCTATGATGAAATTGTGGCGTGGAAAACTGCCGACCTAAAACCAAATAATGGCGGTTAGGGGGATCAAGGTAAGATGTTAAAACTTAAGCAAGAGACTTTTGATTCGATACAAACACCCATAGCAAATCCAGCCAATTAAATGGGAATCAAACACTCATTGCCAAAATCTGGCTGTTTTTGGTCAATTGGAAGGGCAGCCTCACATTAAAAATTGAAGGCAGAAGAGGAAATCAGTCATGTAATTGAAACGCTATGGAATAAAAAACTTGAAAATATTCCTTCCACTGAAGACTGAATCACAGCGCTTCTATACAAACAGTTATCAAAAATTTCCAGAAATTTTTCAATTTGGACATTAATTAGATTTTCGCACAATACCACCACAATAACTAGTAAAGTTTGATGGTGGCTATTAAAATCTCAATACCTGGGTCAGCATGCATGGGTGGACGAGCACCATATCCTCCATACCCACCAGCCGGTGGTGCCCCTGGGCCATGGCCAAAAGTAGCGGGCAATTTTTGCCCCTCTGGGGGCCCAGGTCTGAATGGGTCCATCAAATAATTGTTGTAATAAGCAACTTCATTTTTCACACTATCCACCTTTTCAGCATGTTTGTTGAAAATATGCTTTCGTACATAATCTGGGCCCTGCAAGAGAAAGCACATATTACAAAATCAAATTAGAATCACATTTAGAACTCGTCATATCATTTTTACATAAAAAAATTACAACCTCAATATGAGAGTGTTTAAATAAACTGACTTGAATAGAATAAAAAAAATTAAAAATTTGTAAAACACTCCTTGCCTTGAATTTCTTCCCACTCAATGGACATAACCATTTATCTTTTCCCAGCTCTTGAGTATTTGCGTTGACAAATTTTTCAACTTCAGAAGCCTCATCTTTGAAACCTAAACGCAAAATAAAGGAATCATGCAGTTAGCATGATTCAACAAGTTCACATTACAGGATATACATTATTTGGTACTCCCGTAGTGTGTGTACCAGGTTAGGATCGGGCCATAGGTTTCAGCCCATTTACACTATTTATGTAAAATAGACAAACAAAATTAGTTACCTCCATATTGGTACACACACTTCTGGAGCGCCCATGATTTAACATAAAATTCAAACACATTTAATTATGATATTCAGATATCAATAACCTGTTTACCATTGATTTAAACACATACCAAGCTTGGCTGCTTCCTCTTGCGTTAATTTATCTTTGAAATCTAGAATGGGAATCAATTTTTCATTGAATCTCTTCTGAAACTCGGCAATATCATCTATTGTTAGCTTGTTGGGTGGAGTTGGACCTCGAGCATGTATAATCCCACACCGATTAGGCATCTCATCTTCATTGGGATATTGACTCGCGTTATAGTAATCCACTGAGTGAACTATTCTCAAGTAGTACAAGAGTTTGTCCAATTGCTGCAGATGACAAAAAATAAAAATAATTTGTGGTACGCCGATACCATAAATAGGGATTGGGTCGTTGGGTATGCGATAAGAATTGAAGAAAAGAAATGCAAATATGTTCTCATACACAATTCGCCAACTGATATTATATATTCTGCTGAGAAAATAGAATTCAATGACTGCTCTAACTAGAATATATAGTAATTCATTGATAGGAACTTTAATTGGGTAAATTGTTTATTCGTAAGAATACTTTGTTGAAACCAGTCCAAAACATTACAAATAAATAATTGAAATCAGGCAATGATTCTTCATTTTTGAATCAAATCTTGAATTCAAGACTAAGCATAATTCTCGGCACTCCAGAAGTATATGTACCAATACGGAGGTAACTAATTTTGTTCATTTACTTCACATCAAGTTGTGTAAAGGGACTGATTACTATGGGCATGGGGTGTATTCACTTGGCTAACACAGACAGTCCCCGAACTCGTAATAGAACTAAAATAAGGGAAATAGGAATAAAATTATGGCCTAATACTAACCTAGTACACCTACTATGAGAGTACCTATTTCTCAACATATTTTATAATTCTGATAGGGAAATCAGCAGAAAATATAAAAATTATACCTTGATTAATTTTTCATCTCTTTGCAAAGTAACAAATCCTGGACCAGAATCATTGGCTTCACCTTCTTCACGTTGCTGTTGCTTCATGTTTCCATCTCCCAATAATTCATCCTCCTCCGCACTACTTTCATCAACGAGAAATTCAGATATATTTATTAACCATGGATTGCCAAGTCCTGAAAAACATACCGGTATGTGGAAATTATCACCTGAGTTCAAGTATCTATTTTGACAAATTTAGGTGTGAATTTTTCAATGTTTTTTCCTCCAAACAATCTTGTGTCCTCAATAGAAAGTCAATTGAAACCGATTGTAAAATAGTAAGTGGTTGCATGCGAACAACATGGAAGTTTAACCTGTGTATCAGAGATGTCAAATGTAACCACTAATCTGAAATTTCAGGTTAAAATTATAAACAAACCTGACGAATCAGTCGCCATAGATCCCTTTTCTTCACCTTCAATTTGTTCTTCCTGATGAAAACAAGTTAACAGTGATATAGTACGACAGAAACAACAGTCGTTCGAACTATTGGGTGTAAAGTTAGACTATTGATATGATAAATGATAAAAGAAGTCCCTAGCACTGACAAGGGCAAACTACGGCCCACGGATCAAATCCGGCCCGTTGGATGAATCAATCTGGCCCGCCTGATGCTGCCATCAAATTTATGCCAATTCTACATGCACTACATAGTTGTTGTCATTGAAATATGCATGGTGCAATCGACTTGTTAGATTAAGATCGTAGTCTGTGTAAGTTGTATTTCAGGTTGTCACAGACTCATGTTATGGGGACGTTAACGAAACCATACATTATCTCGCTCACTCGATTCGACGGCATGCTTCTCACGTCATCCCATAATGCTATCTTAATGTCCCTTTTTGTTCATAGTTTACGCATTCTCGTCATTCTGTTCATAAAATGTAACTTTTTACGTCACACTTACATGGCCCGTCAGTTTAGGTGGATAAAATGTTTGGCCCCTGGTTCAAAAACCTTGCCCACCTATGCTCTGGCATGTCTATACAAATTCTAGGCTAATTATGATTGTACATTAAAAATATACAAAACATCCAAAACCTTATTCTCCCATAATTTCATCTTCTTATCGAGATGCATAATGAGTCTAGCAACAGTTTTCAAGTCAGCTTTAGCACATGATTTATGTTGTGATATTCCTGATATTGGTCGTACACGGCGAGCCAGATCCCGGTTTACTACAGGGTTTAGTTCAAGTTCACGAAGCTGAAATATATGAAAAGGTAATATATTTATTGTTTAAAATATAATATACAGGAAACTAAGGCAAGCTATCATCTAAAATGAGTTAACGAAGTCGTAAATTTGAAGCTTAGACAAAAATTTTGCATTTTTTTTCAGATGGCTTAGGAAATTTTTTTTGCATTTTTACCCCATGTAGTCTACTCTTAAACAGATTCTACGAATTGAAGTTTCATAAAATTCAACAAAATGACAGAATTGCATTGGATGTTTTAAAATCCTGAGAAAAAAATAAACATATGACAGATAGTGACATTAGGTAAATAAGGTAATCCAAACATAAAACGAAAGACGGTATGGTAAATAGAACATACATACTTCCAAAAAGAAAAAATTTCTCACCCTTATGTTATTCAAGTTCCAACAAATATCCTTAATGTTGACATTACGATCGAACGTCACCCAACATCGACGGATGAAACGACTAAAAAATAAACATTTAAATTATATAATAAATTAAACCAGTTCAAAATAAGTTGCCAATTATTTATATTATTCTCGTGGGTAAGGAAATTCAGTGACAATGGATTATTACCAATAGTAGATTATGATTATCAATCCAGGCCCAGGGTAGGTATGGAATTACCCAATGGACGACCTTGAATGGTGGAAAAGTCATAATTAATCAAATTGAGAGGTATTATGTAACAATTCTCGTTAGTAAAACGTCTTTTTAAAACTTACTTATGATCTTCCAATGGTTGTGAAAATGCAACACGAATAAATCCGGTAAACTTTTTGCAAAGATTTATGATATCGTTACGAGTAACACTAGGAGGAAGATTTCTCATGAAGATAGAATATGTTTGATGCAGTGCTCTCGGCTTGATTTCCACCTTAAAATAAAATATCATTAAAACTGGAAGCTCAAATTACATGTTAGCCATGACTATGCAGTTCACAGCTGTTTTAATAGCGCTCCAGAAGTGTGTGTACCAATATGGAGGTAACTAATTATGTTCGCCTACTTTACATTAAGTTGTGTAAAGGGACTGAAACCTATGGGCAGGGGGTATATCCACTTGGCTAACACAGGCAGTCCCTGAACTTGTAATAGAACTTTATTGAGGAAAATCGGAATAAAATTATGCCCTAACCTGGTACAAAAGTACGTGCATACCATTTTAATTCTATGTAAATAGGCCATACCTCTTCAGCAGGCTTTTTTTCCTCCACTGGCGCCGGAGCTTGGTCTGCTTCTTCTGAAAAAAAAAATTGCCATATTCAATAACTGAACAACAGTATGCAATTCAAGAGCCCTGCTGCACGCTAACACAATGTATTTCTGTAACGTTTCTCTGACCAAAATCGGAAAAGCATTTCACAACAATGACCTCTAAGATATATAGAGAAGACTAATATCTGGAGTAAGATCAATTTAAAAATGATGCCATGCATAGTGCTTCATGCTAAAAAGGTTGCTTTAGGTCAGTGTTTCCCAACCTGAGTCTGCGATCTCAAATAAACCCGCATAGCGTTTGAATGAGTCCGCAACGAGCCAGAAATTCAGTGCGGGCCGCAAATGTTTTTGCGCAACTTAATTACCTATCACTCTATCAGCCAAGTTACGATTTACGTTAGAATTTACATAAAACATAAAAAGCCAGTTTATTCGCCCAACATTGATCGAGTCAATGTTTAGGGCTCGGCATATATTCGAATATTCAACTATAGAATAGCAATTTACTATTCGAAAATTTGGTAACATGTCTGCTTCGATAGATACGTAATAGGTGCTTCTCGAGTTCAAACAACGAGAAATAATTTTTTTTTATCTGGTAGGTGGAAATGGTGGCAACCCAAAATCGAAAAGCGCTCCGCAACCGATTAAAAACACCTTTTTACCTCCACATTTTTGCGTACAGTGGTAAAGGGGTGTCGTAAGTGTTATACGAACAGCTCAGATTTGTCAATTCATAAAAATACGAATCAAAACAAAATATAATCGGGCACTTTACCACACATTTTTGTGTCCACGATTGTCATGGTATTTTCTGTGTAGTATTGCCCTTATTTCGTCAACACAACCGCAGATTAAAAGGATCACACATATGAATGGTTTGAATATTTTTTGCAACAGAAAAAATTATTGAAAAGTCAGCTCTTTTAACGAGTGACGTATACGCGACGATTACTTCAGAAGGTGTTCGCGAGAATTTCGAGGCGATGAATATATATTTTTGATTTACTAATATACTTTAAATATATTTTTAATAAATACTAAATTAAGTTGTACATTCTGAAAATTTATAGCAGATAGTAGAAATTTTTTAAACGGCAATAACAAATTCGCAAGATCGCAAAAATTAGTATCAAATCTGACTATAATCGGGCAATATATTCTCTCATTATTATGTTCGCGGATGGCCGTGGCATTTTAAAGAAGTAATGGTTTCATCTTGTAGTAAGTCGACGCAACCGCGAGTTACCATGAACACAATTAAATTAAAAACACATTTTAAATTCTCGTCTATGTCATGGATTGAATATTGTGTGACAAAAAAGTCCATTATACACCAAAAAAGTCGGCTCTTTTAACGAACGCGTAATTGCGACAAATTTCCGATTTCGAAATTCGTTAAATTTCTGTTGTGTTTGGCTTTATTGCTTCTTCACAAAGAGTACGGTTGCAATAAACGCACCTTGAGTCCGCAAAGGTTTTCGCTGGTGAGAAAATAGTCCACGACCAAAAAAGGTTGGGAAACGCTGCTTTAGGTATATTAAATTGTCACCTTTCTTTTCACTTTCCTCGGTTTTCTCCTTTTTCTCTTTGTCATCTTCATTATCACTACTGTCACTACTGCTACTACTTCCACTACTATCACCAGAATCAGATCCTTCTTCATCATATCCTCTGTACCCACGTCCTCTCTTCTTTTTCTTCTTGTCTTTGCTTTTGGTCTGACATAAAATGGATTATGAAGATAAAAATGTTGCGAGGTAGACTTAACAAACAGTGTTTAAAAAAAATAAAAATGTTACTTCTCCTTCTTTTGTTTCAGCGGGGTCTTCATCTTTATTGACCAATTGCTTATAAAGTTCTGCTTGTTTTTTCAACTCTTGTTGTTCCTCTGTTAGAAAATCAACCTGTGAAAAAACGGAATTTTTTAAATTGTCCCTGAGGTAAACACGGACATATACAACAACAAAAAATCCCTCTTTATGAGATATAGCCCACTGATTCAGAACCACTGAACTAAATGGATAGGTAACTAAACATATTGAGTAAGACGATAATATTTTCATATTCCTGAGATATTCCATGAGAAGTCCAAGTGATAGCAGGCCAGTGATATAACGAATTAGGCCTGTAGACAGCAAGCTACGAGCTTCTGACTCTGTTTACCTTTAGTTCTTCAGGTTTACTTTCAGTATCACCCTTCTGTCCATCTTCAACAGGTTTCTCGTCATTTTTATGTTGATCAGCAGATCCACTATTTTCATCACCTTGATTGTCTTCCCCACTTCGTTCTAAAACTTTCAAATCTTCATCAGAACCGTCCTCCATAAATATAACAGCTAGAGTAAAAATTTTAACATTACCATTATGATTTCATTAGAATTGTTATTACATGAAACACTGTACTAATATATCTTTGGCATGTGCTTTTTTTTTATTTATTGACCAACCAAGTCTAATATTGAAATTCGAAGAACGCTACCCTCTGCGGAAGAAAATACTCTTTCGAACGAGCTGTCTTTCGTCTCCATAGTCCATAAACTGAGGAAGCTTTAGGAATTTCAGTGAACATGTTTCAATTATCCGCCATAGGGTAACCTTCGCGCAAAGATAACTACGCGATGCGCAGCGCTCAAAATCAACTGACACTTTTGGTACAATTTCCTCTGCACAATATTGCTGTCTTCTCATTAGCTAACTATTTTGTTACAAAATATAAAAGTTGTAGTCTACAATAAAGAGTTATTCCATATCATATTATCTTTAATTGGTCCAAATTATTTTTTCAAATTGCATTAATTTTCAATTTGCGCAAAAAACTAAATTTTATTAGAATTCAAACTTTTTTATCTAGAATCCTTCATACCAGAATCCAACATTTTGACAATTTTTTCTTCGTTCAACAAATCCAAACAGAGATCTTCCAGAAAACCTTTTGCAACCAAAGTGTTGAAAATTTCAGCTCTCCACTTGACTGCTTTCTGGTGTTCCTCTTCTCTTTTAGTTGATTCCTCGGGATGATATTTTTCTTTGAACCTAGGAAATATTAATTGATTATCATAATTTTCCAGCAATGTAGTACAATGCTAAAATAATATTATAAAAATGACGCAATTGAAAACTGGGGATTTGTGAGCATCAATAATTAAACCCTAACTGCACTTTATTTCTGCTCCGAGCCAGATCAGAAAAATATAAAGATAAAGTTTACCTAATATAATCACTATACTCAAAAAGCAAAAATGCGCAAAAACAGTAAATGAATGAATACCGGAACAAAAACATGGCTACATAAGACTTATTAAATTGAACTGCGTACTAAAACAAATACAAATATGGAAGCTTGCTTTGAGCAAAGTTTAGTAAAAAAATCATGTGATTTTGCCTCATGAATGCCAACTTACCCATCGTCACATAATCATGTAGCTCTGATATCATTCAGCTTCCAAATATAACTGTCTAATTCACTCACTTTTCTAATCTCACTAACATATGTATATTCAAAACTAGAACTTTCTATTTTGTCACATTAGAAACAGGTAAACAAGATCCTAACACAGCCAACAGATTACTGAAACCCTATCTAAAGTATTTCAGATATCTTCGAATGTTTCTTAAGAACCTGTTGACAAAAATCTGTTATATTATTGAAAGTGAAAAAAGAATTTGAAAAACTAGAAAGGGAGAAGCATTGAATAAAATAGATTTGGGGGTATAGTTCAGTCAGATGCAAGATTGTATCAATTTTACAACAAGAATTAGTCGTATAGTGTGTTATACTTCGCTGTATCAATTGGCCATGGTTTTGCAAGCATAGTTTTGCAATGTAAGATGTAAGGGTACTCTTGGAAGTATGCGTACCAAGATGGCAGACACCGAAATGTAGTATGTGTACCAGGTTAGGGTTAGGCCATAATTTCAGGTACAAATACTTCAGGAGTCACTTGCTTAGTCCCCGAACTCATAATAGACCTAAAATAAGAAAAATTGGACTAAAATTATGGCCTGACCCTAACCTGGTACACATACTACGTTCCGGTGTCCACCATCTCGGTACGCATACTCCAGAAGCACCCAATGGAGATATATTATCATAATATTCATACGATAGCCTCAGAACATTAAAAAAAAAAATTCTGGGAGTACAGAGGTGGAAAAAAAACATTTTATTTATGAAAATTATTAAAAATATTTACCATTCCTCTTCCTTGTGTGCAATGAAAAACTGTTGCAGTTGTTGTCTTTTGAAATTAATTTTATATTCTGTATAATTTCTTATTGCTTCCTCATCAGTTATATCATCAGGCTGAAAATCAGATGAAAACCTTATCTTTCTAAAACTCAATTTTTAAAAACTAAAAACAATTTTTGAATAACATTCTTGGAACATATTCCCAAACAAAGCCCAGATTCCTTGCCAAAAAGTAGAAACAGAACAAATAGAAACAAGCAAGCACTGTGTACTGACAATAATACATGTTTTATTCCTGTGAGAGATGTTAATAGAATAAGTTAAACAATTTAAATTAACAATATTAGAGAAAAAGCGAAGGACGAGCAGGTTCCACAAAGCGAAGAATCTTGATTCAATAGATTTTGTAAAAAAGCAAAAACCTCTACATAGGATAGAGTTCTCCGCTTCAGTTTTCTTGTAGTAATGACAAGACCTGAAATGATCTGAATGGAAAATAGAGCATATAATGTACCTGTGAACCGAGCCATTGCTTGAAAGTCAACATTCTTTGACCTAATTTATCTACATCGGAATGCGGACCTTTTCTATCACCTTGACCCCATTCATCAGGAGGTCGAAAGCCAGGTCGTCCCGGTTCCCAACCAGGTGTCGAACTCCAACCTCCACCATATCCTGGTTCAAATCCTCTGTAGAAAAATGTAGTATGAGCTTCATGAAAATAAATATTACTACAGAGTTTGATACAAAGAATCTTGATTAAAACTGTATTTTATTTGTGATTCGGCAATTTAGCATATTAGATAGTCAGAAAATATTTGCTGTAAGCAAAAAGCAGTTGTATCATCAGAAGACATTCCTTAATAAAAATTGGGACATGATTCATAATACATTAATTTGAAATATGCAAAGTAAAATGAAACCCAGGGTGACAAGCAGTTATATGAATGCCTAAAAGAAAAGGATACAAATAATATATTTTGTACAAAACTCAATAATTCATAGTAAATTATTAATAATTTCAATACAAGTGTAGATTGTAATATTACATGCAGGAACGGGGTTTAGTGTAGTTTTGTACCTTATTATGTACTTTTTTACAATTTTTGCATATGTCAAACCTAACCCCCACCTGACTGCATCGTCCAAAAACTATGTCACTATGATATCACAGTGAAGTAATAAGGCCCTTACAACTATACAAACTGTCATCCAAAAGGCACAGAGGATCACCCGAAATCAAGCAAGCTATTCCTCTCCTTTTCTTAACGCAGTGATCCCGATATGATAGAGATCGCTGTCGTTAGAGAGTTCTTCATCATCAACGTAGATGCCATTTCGGGCAATCGTAGGTATACTTTGGCAAGCTCTATGACATGATTGTGACGTCATAGTGAAGTAATTTTTGGATGACTCGGCCAGATGGGAGTTAGGATTGACATGTGCAAGAATCGTTATGCTACGGCTACTAGAAGTACTTAAGATACGAAACTACACGAGACACTAAAAATACATCTTGATTGATTCGACAGACGTTCAAAGTTGAGATTGGACATAAATTATGCTACAGTAAATTTGTTTTAGCAAATTTGCAACAAATCCAATGCAAATTCGCTTTTTCTGTTCAGACCAATTGCTTTAATATCAATAAAAACAATTTTAAACCAATTTTATTTGAGAAAGTTAATAATTCCAAAGGACAGAACCTCATTCTTTTTCTTGCTCTCATTTCTTCTTCTCGGCCAGGGCTAAATCTCCTCTTAATATCATGAGGAGGTTGCCCAGAAAATTCAGGTCTACGTCTCTGCATTGGATCACTTGGCATTGGTGGGTGCATTGTAGATCTTTTCATATCTGGTCCACTGGCATTCCAACCCCTCGGCCTGTAAATAGAAATCAGTAAATTTTATTGATAAAATATTCCCAACTGAATCTAGTGAATGGTAGCAATATTTTTTAGCCTGTAAGATGAATGCACAAATAGGGTGGCTTACCCACTTTGCGCCATCAACTTCATCAATCTAATTAATGCCGAAAAAATTAATGAGCCGCGACGATATTTCTCAAGCGTTATCATCCACTCGTCCCTCATAGCTCTGCGAAATTACACTAAAATGCGGCCACAAACAAAAAAGTTACGACCGAAAACCAGACCGAAAAAAAAACGGACCAATTTTTCATGTCGCCAACTACCCATTGTCCCATTAAAAAAACTTGAAGATCCATACAAATATAAGAGATAAAAAGATGAAACTTGGCAAGGGGGTAGAGGTTTGTTTCTTTTAACCATCTTTAAATTTTCGCATTTCTACATTTAAAGGAGGGGGAATAGGGAGGTGCGCATTTCCAATACGTCGATAATATCTTTGTCGACCAATTTGCGACCACCGTGTTTTTGTCTGTTTGATTGCTGTGATACGGTGCTTTGTATATAATTTGACGAGTTTTGTTAGAAATGACCGTGTTCTTGAAATATATGACGATCAGAAATGCAATTAGAAGCCAAATTTTTTCACGCATGGGTGCCTATGCCTGTATGCTCTAGTCTCGACGCAGCAGAAACAATGTTCAAGGCTTGAAATACGTTTTCCGAGTGTTGTACTTTGGTGATTTGTATAGCTTTGATCCCTGGTCGTAAAAAGTTAATTCGAGGTTTATCGTGTAGAATAAATGCCAATGCACCTACGATGAAAAAATTAACGGGTTAAAAATATTGATTTTTGTTTTATAGCGGTTTTAATGCAACCGTCCGCAGACTGGCTACACCACCCTACCTTTTACTGTTAACTAACAGGGACAATATCAAGCAATATCTGAATGCTGAGCAAGTTCTGAAGTTACTGTAGATAATTAAATAGACAGATTTCATGATGCAGTGATGCCCGAGTTTCTGATTTGCAGGCCTGAATCTCTGATTGCAGGCATGATTTCTCAATCAAAACGATCGGAAGATTAAAATTAAAACATGCAAAAACATTGACCTTTCACGACTCCAGTCTCTTTCACCGCGACGTTCATAAATATCGCTCCTTTCCCTGCGGAACTTTTCTCGACGTTGATGGTCAAATTCATCACCACTATCGCCCATTTTCATTTACAGAGACTACAAACGATCAGCGCCGGAATAAAAATATTAATCTATTAGGCTACTATAAACTTGAAAAACATGAAGATGAATCGACCAGAGAATGAATAGAGAGGGAAGGGAGCGTGCCCGCCGAGTTGTTGTCGGAGTCAACGGAGTTACAATGAGGCCGGCTATTTCTCTTGAATATCATTGGATTGCCGAATAAAGGAATACAACATTTTTATTGATTGTTCAAGTATATTACGGTAAATAGAATTTCATAATTAGCATAATAAAAACCGATAATACGTCAGATGACAAAAACAAATTCCCGTGGGCTGGATAGAGTCCTCCAAATGAATTCATCCGGACCGCGGCAAACCAATTAGTTATAACAGCGGTTGCAAAGGGGGAGGGGGGGGGCATATCTTTTACGTAACAAGAGAGGTAGGCACAACTTGTTTTAATTTTGTAAGCTGTTTCTCTATCTGCTGAATCGAGTTTAGCGAACATGAGTGATTTTTTGAGTATTACAAAGAAAACTCAGACACAAATGAGGAAGAATAGTTAACATGACCTTTATTTATTAGGGCTTAGGCCTACATGTTTACAAACTTTCAAAAACGTAACGCCAGTAAGTAAACACTAACGATCACAAAATGGAGTTTTTTTCAAAAGCAGAATTTTTTTCGTATAAGTGAGACGTGAGTTTTCTCTCTGATAATTTTGCGCCACACGGTATAAAAATAACCTTATTTCCTCAGTCTTTAAGCACTATTTCACTACATTAGAAAAAGTACATAATTACCGCATCAGGCATCAAATAAACAAGGGTTATTTTACTCAGCAAGTGCCCACTGAGGTGGAAAAACATCTTTAAAGTATATAAGTATAGGCCTACGCGTTTAAGGCAATGTCCTACCTGAAACCAAAAAAAGTTCTGTGCATGTTTTTAATAAAAAAACGAAAAAACTGAAATACTCAAATTCGTCAACTTAATTCTTAATTAATACCTTATGTTAATATGCCTTTATAATAAATGTGCCGAATACTATAGGCCTACTATAATATTATAAATTCAATTGCTCCGCATATATATTGAAACTGTATATTGAAGGTCTTAGGCCTCTTCCAACTTTTGTATAGGTATAATCGTAAATGTATAATTGAATGCTTTTTTCTCTTTTCTTGACAAAAATTCCTGTATTATTACTCTGTAATGATTGTGATGTTTATTATTATTGTTCAATTCAAAAAGCCATTGATAATGATACCTCCTATCTTTTTATTATTAGTCTGTGATAATCTGTTTGCCTAATTATTTTTCGCTGATGCTATTTCTGATTACTTTATACCGTCTCGGTGACCTAACTGGTCTTGCATACTGACTGTCACAAATGATGATCATGAAACCAATAAATATATATTATTTTAATGTTCATTTAAATTTAAAATAGTGTTGACTTTGTTTGTGATAATAAAATCTCTCTCTCTCTCTCTCTCTGCACGAACAAAAAGTTTGAGAAGTCAAAAAAAAAGGATATGGCCCGCCGTTTCTTATATATTTTCAAGCTATAGTGTTGCCACTGTTTGAAAAATATTTGTCATATATGCCATAGAACAGGGGTTCCCAAACTAGGCTACATGTCCTCCTAGAGGGGAGTAGGCTACATTTCGAGAAGTACATTAGATTAAGCTATTGTTTCCATAACTGCTAATCTGCCCTAAAATATTTTTCCTCGTCTGATTTGAGGAACTTCTCAGGAAGTAACATTTCCACCCCAGTAGAAGCTTTAACTAGAATGTGCAGTAACTATCAAGTTTACTTTCGCAGTTTACACGACTTATTTTTTGTCCAATCACATCACGCAAGGCAATTTTGGGGGTACATGGGGGTAGCTATCTATAAATAGTCTAAAGGGTATCGATGGATGGAAGGTTTAGGAAACCCTGCCATAGAACATTCCTTGTTCATATAAAACTGTGGTATAACTAATTATTTTGCCACAGAAACAAAGAGACTTGCTCAAAAAGACTTCCTAAGCATGGGACTAGGTAATGAGTTATTAACTTGTACATTCTTCAACCACGGAAAATTTTAAAGCAATTGGTCCAGTAGTTGATGAGAGAAGCGACTTTTTTCACAACGACAAGAAGAAAAATATTACTAACAAGAACTACAACAACATATTAGAAAAACGATCCATAGGTCCATTTCGTGTCCAATAAACACAAGAAAACAACACGAAAAACATCAGGTGCAAGCATGGGGCAGGTTGTTTAAGGCCGTTACGGTTGGTCGCAAAAAGTATCTGATAGTAAAAAAGTATAAAAAAGAAGGGAGTTTTTCGGTTTATAAATAGAGATTTGTGAAGTTTAAGGCAACAAAGCTGAGAATTAGTTGAAAAGCTTAGAATCCTGGTATACATTTTAATGATAATTAAATTTAAAAGGTAAGGGGATCACTTTCTTCGGCATTAAAAAATGCACGGTGATTGAATCAATTCACCACACAGGCGAAGCGATTCTCTAACAAGTAGCAACAACTATAGGCTACGGTTCGGTAAAGTAAAATGTATGAATATATTCGTTTTCCCGTAAGTTTTCCCAATAAAAAAATCATTGATATACGAACTAATCCTACGTATAATGGTTACGCAACGAGCATATATACACATTGGGTTACGTTGGAATATCAAACATTAAAAAAACGACTTCATATTAGGACGTTTTCAGTTTCACATAGTTGACTGCTGGTGCCTCGTTTAGAACTTTTCGACTAAGACGCAACTTCCCTGAATAGCTCGCAGAGATGTTTTTGACTGAAATTGATAATGAGTGGAAAACTCCAAAGGGCTTTATTGTGATTTGTGTAGCCGCGTTAGCCTCCACAATACTGAAGGACCACAAGCGAGGGATGTACTTTGTGATGTCGTAATGGGGCTGACATTTGCCAACTCCTACGCACAAGTATAATTGCTAATACCTTAAATTTGAAAATAAGAAGTTTAAGGCTGTGGTATAATACAACAATAGAAGGAACACGACACCATTTTACCCCTTTTTTCAATACCAATCCTCCAGTCATAAAACAGTGTTAAGTGTCGGCCTTGGGGTCAAATGGCCATTGATTGGTTAACACATCTTCATCTTTATTTATAAGGAAAGTATAAGCACACATTCATTTTGCAACTGCCATAGATAACAAATGTCACGTAAATGTAATGCTGAGCTCAATTATTGGAAAGAAATGGTTTTGAATCATCAAGTAGGAGGACGCAAAATTCGTGTACAAACTTCGTTCATTTCTTGACGTAATTCTTTGCTTGCAGGTGAGCCACACATTTTAACAATTTGATGTAATTGAATGTGAATGGTAATATCGAGTGAATCCTAGAAGCCCGAACCACGAAATCGCGTGAATAATAATGACGTGTTTCTACCATCGATTGTCATTTAAACTACGGGAAGTTGGGATAACAAAAAACGCACTATAATACACCGGAAATTAACATTTGATAACCATATGTTTTCTTTTTGAAAAATCTGTCATTCACTGTCACTGATCACACATACAGTTGCCGTCAGGCGCCGGGCCAAAAGGAAGTGTTAGTTTGGTTAAACGCACTGTTGTACATTTATACTACTATCACTACTTACTAGGATACAATGCAGAAGGACTTAATATAACCGCACCAAAGCGGATTTAATTAACATTGATGTTACTACATCAACCTATGCGCTCAAATATCCCGGGGGGAAAGAATCGCTATTGCCGACTGTTCGGGCACTTGAAATGGTACTTGAAGCATTTTTCATTTAATGGGTATTCACGAAATATCTCATCGATATCATTCCATTCACGGTGGTCCGTGCCTGTCTTAGTGAAAAAATGTGCATCTTCAAATTAAAAACAAAAAGAGCGCTGCAAAGCCCTACCCAGATAACCTGACTGAATACATAAAAAATAGTATATTCTCAATCTTCTGTAATACGCAGCTCAAGACTATGATACATTGAAGATTCTAAAAACAAAATTCAAGTTCATGTACATTTAATCTTGAAACAGTAATGATTTGAGTGTTCTGAACAGTAGCATGATTCAAATGAAATAAATTAGAAAAATCAATAAGAAATTCAAAATGATTGTGATCACTGATAATATGTGTACAGTGTGGCCACAGAATAGAACTTTTGTTGTGGAGAATCTTGAGGAGATATATCCATCTTCAAACATAATTAAAAAGTGAAAATTTGAATACCAAATTAGTGAAGTGAAAGCATGAATCGCTCACAATAGGATAATTATCAGGGAGTGGTTTAATAAAATGCAGTAATTAGAACACAGTTTTATAAGGTTACAATGCTTGAGGCACATTTGAAGAATTATCAAGCATCAACGAATACAAGACAATTTGAGAACCATATTATTTTGTATAGATTGTTTTAAGGCAAATAACATTAACCACAACTTTTCAAGTGAAAAAAAAACTCACTACGACTCCCTTCCCTGGAGTAAATACATTAGTAATGAAGCGACATAGCCTTATCAAACCACAAAATACAATAATTTGCAATACCATCCAAAGAACTTTATATTTTCTTGGGTACATTGTGTCATCTCTCATGGCACACACACAATACTGCAATCTGCAATGGTTTATAACATTGGTTCCCAACCTTTTATGCCTCATGGTCCCCTTCCGGAGGTTTTTAGCAATTATGACCGCCTTGTTTATCATTCCAGTGGTATTTAGAGTGTTATTATGATTTGTAGATTCCAAATCCCTTTATGTCAAACAATTAATGCTTGCGAAAGTGAAAACACCTAGTCAAATAAATCACCTTACCAGGCAATGAAACTAGGAAAACCGGTGAGTTTCCTGTCACGGAAAAAGTAAAATCAGTTTTGTGCCTAGCATTGTGGCCCCCCTGTGGGCCACGGGCCCCTGGTTGGGAACCACTGGCTTATATCTTAGCAAAAAATGTTGAAAAACAAAATATATCCGAGTTATTGTTTGATTTCTACAGCTGGTTACCAAGCCACACCATCAAGGTACTGACTGAATATCAATAAATATAAGGACAATTGAGCTATACAATTTCAGATAAAATGTAAGTCAACATTTTTTTCAACATACTATACAATATGTTGCTGTGGTGCAGAATACACATAATGTGTGAGTGTTAAAATTTACTATAAATTGACTCATCATTTCAGATAATGCAAGGTTTCTATTTTAGCTAACAATGTACGAACCAGCCACTATGATACCTAAGTAACTACCTACCTATTATTCATGGTTACATGTTCCAAAAATGACCACAACAAAATGAGAATGCGAAAAGATTAAATAATACAAGTTCAATACAATGCTGCTGAAAAAGTCAACCACATATTAAATCAAAAGAAAAATTTTTCTTTTCACTCATTTCTATACTTTCTTTGAAATCACACACAAAAAGAATACATGGGTTATTTAAAAGAGTCTTGTTACACGGAAGGCTATGAGCAAGAACAAGTTAATACCAAACTTTGGTTTTCCTTAGAAACAAGAATGTCTGTGTGGTTCACAGAGTAACCATTTTTTTATTCATCTCTATCTGAACAGATGATAGACATCAATTCGTGTTCATGAATTCCAAATTAGTGATTATAATTATGTTGATTACATATTTTTACATGACATTAAGAACTTTTCTTTACATCCATATTAGGTAGACAGGAACAAATAAGTGACTTAACAGAGCTCTGTCAAAAAAGCTTTGCAGTTAAAATTTTATCAAATATGAATTTGTCTGAACAATGAAGATTTGACTATATTTCCCAAACACTTTATATCATTGATTATAAACAAATGTAATTGCTTTATCTTATCAAAAAACTGTAAGGGTAACCTTGATATTTTTGTCGAAATATTGATAGTAAAAGACTAAAGAAGAAGACGACCATTCCAAGTCCTGCCATCGCGATCATTCTCCGCTTGGAAATATCCATCTTCGTTTTTGCAGCTTCATTTAAAATTATAAAACCAACAGCGATAGCTGCATTAATTCCCATAATAATGTGAGTTTCTGCAACAAACTGGCCTTGACTGCTACCATGTATGTAGTGCATTGCTCCAGTCTGTGGATTCCTGTGGGCATATGGTGGTCCCCTTATGTGATTCCACATTTGGCCAGAAGTCATCCCTAAAACAATAACCATGGATAATACACCCCACATGGTTTTATTGTATAGAAATTCAAGACTGTTTCTTTTCATGTAAAGCAATCCACCAGCGAGAGAAAAGAGAAGAACAAGGACAACTGTTCCTGTATAGTTTGGTGGACGGAAGATCCTGATGTTTACTTCAGAACGTTCTGCAATCCATTTAGCTAAATTTTCAGCTTGGTATCCTAATCTTTGTATATCGTAAGTGTCTGCCGGTTTTCTTTTTGTTTTAGCGGGAAAATGCATAAACACAGGTGCGGTGTTCAACTTCATCATTTGAAAAATATCAGAACCATCATCAAAATCCACAACAGAGAAAAATAATTTGTTGGAATACGAGGGTGAGAATCGGTAGGAGTTGGCGACAATATTATATTCTTCACTAGCGTCTTTACATACAGCACAACCTCTTTGTGGACTCAATGCAGTAAATAAAACAATCATGGAATAATTTCTCGGCTTATTTTTAACGTAAGTTACAAACTTGTCAGAGGTCATGTGGATTACTGCTCTTCTATTACTCCATGTCGAAAGTTGTTGAACCTTTTCGTCTAAATGATCTTGTTTTGTTTTTCCAAATATCAAGACAGAAACTTCAAGCAATATGATAAGAAGGAAAAGGAATTTGACTGCCATTTGAGCAGGTAACAATTCCATATTGCTTTTCCTATCAACAGCAATAGAGCTATGGCTAAAGTTTATAAATCACTGATGGAGTAAAACAAGCAATAATTAAACATAGGAACCTCCTGTATGACATCATAATGGTAACTGAGAATGCTTCCTGATAATAGTCACAACAAACCGGACTTACTAAAGTGGGGGGAATTGTAATTTGTATAGCTTTCAATTACAGAATTAACATTGGTTACATCATAATTTATCACAGAGATAGGAACTGAGCCATGCTGTGGGCAAATGTTGCAGTTTCATTTATGCATATATATAGGACAATGAACCAAAGTTACCCCAGCCCACACTCGCTCAGCCCACACTCAGCCTGACGTCAAGGGGTTAACCAACTATTTTACCACTTTATAAACGTTAATACATAAAAACTTGGTGGCTATGACAATATAGAGACCATATTGGATATACACAGCGCAAATGCAATACCAAGCACGGACCAGTTACCCCTAGTATGGCCTGTCAAAAACGAGTGTGGGCTAGCGTCTCACGAGTGTGGGCTAGCGTCACACGAGTGTGGGCTGGCATCCTACGAGTGTGGGCTGGCGTTCTGACAGTGTTATACGGTAAGTTAAGGCATCCTAAACGCTCACAGATTACTAAATTACATATATCCACGTTTACCTCAGCACCAGAACCTCTCAGAGTCCGGCAATTGATAGCACAAAATGGCCACAAATGCCGGGAAAATGATTCAAAATCAACTGAACAATAATATCTCTAACCAGTGTTACCAGATATGACGGTAAACAAGCCTGAAATTGACCGTCGAAACTCAAAAATAAGAAAATTGAAATTTAAGCTAAGTGTCTGTTCTTTTTATGAAAAAAAAATGTAGTTATGAATAAACCATAATTGATTTGCACAAATACATCTTGTATAATAAAAAATAAACATGATGAAAACATTTCACTAGCAGATACACATTGTCTCGAAGGCTTTTGATGTCGAAATTCAACAGTTCATCGAAAAGAAATCAACGAAATGTTTACCACGGAATTAAATTATCATAATATACAGTATATGATCTTACAAATTTCAAAAAATTTTACCGTAGAGAAAGACTTCAAATTTAAAATCAAAATTAGCACAGTCGACCGTTATCAATATTTCGCGGTAATGGTGTTCAACGTCAAATTTCAATTGTAAATTGAAAATGATCCTATGGTTTGTTCCTTAAAAAATTGAATAGTCTCATTACATAGTATTTCATTTAAAATATATTAAAAAATAAAAAAATTTTACCGTCGGGAAAGACTTTAAAATTGAAGTCAAAATTAGCACACTCGACCGTTATCAATATTTCACGGTAATGGTGTTCTACGTCAAATTTCAATTGTAAATTGGAAATGATCCTATGGTTTGTTCCTCAAAAAATTGGATAGTCATATTACATTGTAATTCATCTCAAAAATATCAGAAAATAAAAAAATTCTACCGTCGGGAAAGATTTTAAAATTAAAGTCAAAATTAGCACACCCAACCGTTATCAACATTCGCGGTAAAGGTGTTCCACGTCAAATTTTAATTGTAAATTGAAAATGATCCTATGGTTTGTTCCTCAAAAAATTTGATAGTCATATTACATAGCATTTCATTTAAAATATATTGAAAAATAAAAAAATTTTACCGTCGGGAAAGACTTTAAAATTAAAGTCAAAATTAGCATACTCGACCGCTATCAATATTTCACGGTAATGGTGTTCTACGTCAAATTTTAATTGTGAATTGAAAATGATTTTATGGTTTGTTCCTCAAAAAATTTAATAGTCCTATTACATAGTATTTCATCTAAAAAATATTGAAAAATAAAAAAATTCTACCGTCGGGAAAGCCTTTCAAATTAAAGTCAAAATTAGCACACTCAACCATTATCAATATTTCGCGGTAATAGTGTTCCACGTTAAATTTTAATTGTAAATTGAAAATGATCCTATGGTTTGTTCCACAAAAAATTTAAGACTCATATTACATAGTATTTCATCTAAAATATATTAAAAAATAAAAAAATTTTACCGTCGGAAAAGACTTGAAAATTGAAATCAAAATTAGCACACTCGACCGTTATCAATATTTCACGGTAATGGTGTTCCACGTTAAGTTTTAATTTTAAATTGATCCTATGGTTTGTTCCTCAAATAATTTAATAGTCATATTACATAGTATTTCATCTAAAAAATATTGAAAAATAAAAAAATTCTACCGTCGGGAAAGCCTTTCAAATTAAAGTCAAAATTAGCACACTCAACCATTATCAATATTTCGCGGTAATAGTGTTCCACGTCAAATTTTAATTGTAAATTGATCCTATGGTTTGTTCCTCAAAAAATTTAAGAGTCATATTACATAGTATTCCATCTAAAATATATTGAAAAATAAAAAAGTTTTACCGTCGGGAAAGACTTTAAAATTAAAGTCAAAATTAGCACACTCGACCGTTATCAATATTTCACGGTAATGGTGTTCTACGTCAAATTTTAATTGTGAATTGAAAATGATCTTATGGTTTGTTCCTCAAAAAATTTAATAGTCATATTACATAGTATTTCATCTAAAAAATATTGAAAAATAAAAAAATTTTACCGTCGGGAAAATCTTTAAAATTAAAGTCAAAATTAGCACACCCAACCATTATCAATATTTCGCGGTAATAGTGTTCCACGTCAAATTTTGATTGTTAATTGATCCTATGGTTTGTTCCTCAAATAATTTGATAGTCATATTAAAATTTTTTGAAATTTGTAAGATCATATACTGTATATTATGATAATTTAATTCCGTGGTAAACATTTCGTTGATTTCTTTTCGATGAACTGTTGAATTTCGACATCAAAAGCCTTCGAGACAATGTGTATCTGCTGGTGAAATGTTTTCATTAGGGTTGCCACTTCTGGATACATTTTTTTTTGAATCGAATCTCGAATCAAAACTTTTCGAATCGAATCTTTCCGAATCTGATTCCATTAAGCTTTTTTTTTTATTACATGCGTATGTTTGCCCAAAGTCACAAAAAAGCTCAAATCTAGAAGAAAAAAATTTGAAAATGGAATAGGCTATATAGCAAGGATGATAAGGGTTTTTCAGTGAATAAGCCACACTTATTTTCATCATGATAAAAAAGATGTAGGTCATAGATATCACTAATAAATGCATTGATGAAAAACTTGCTGTTGCAACTTATCTGTGAGTCTTACAATACTGAGTTATTGTGTTATACTTGTATCAGGGCTGAGGCAATTTGATGGAATCCATATGAGAAAATAAGCAGGGAACAGTTGTACTGTTATGTCGTAAACACAGTAACAGCACTGCTTTTCCTTGTCCCACACCAGTATATGTGACCGTGGTATTTCCCTTCTTGTTATATTGAATTGAGGCCGGCCTTATTACCGATTCTTTATCTTCAAAATCTTAGTACAATATTTTATATTTATGCTAGCAGCATAGAGTAATACGACAAAAACATTCTAATTGCATCTGAATTACTATAAATGGGAAATGCTTACAAGAATATGATTGAAGACGATAAAATTAACCACGATTAAATTAAATTCGATAAAAACAATCGTTCATCCGACTACGATTGCGAACAAAAATTTCCATAAATATTAGAGAAAGTATTATTTGTGGCTAACAGCGTTATTGGCTAACTCGGGCTTCATTATTAATGTGGACTACGTTTAATTTCGTAGTTCAGAAAGTCCAAATGTGCATAATGGACGCCGCGCTGACGAGCGATAATTGGTTGACGCTTTATCTCGATCGGACATGGTCGCTGGGGCTAAAGTAAGACGACATTCGCACAGTATGCTCGGTCTGGTATGAAATCTGCCACGTGTTGATGTAAAACAGTGCACAAGTTGCCATTCCTCAAGTATTATTTACTCCCACCTGTCCGTTATGACATTTGCTCGAAATAATCCGAAATGTTTTATTCGCTTGTATCGCGCTAACAAAATTAAAAGTAAATACTACTTTTTTTTGTAACAGCTGAAAAAAGACGTGTATGTACTATTACATTATGTCCCTCTGATTTCGTTTACCGGCACCCGAGTGGAAGCCTGACAAACGCAAACAAAATAAATATATATTTTAGGATGAGAAACATGATTGTCAATTAACATTGCCGGCCGATGAACTCATTCAGTAATAGTTCTCTTCAAATGTAAGCAAAATATTGCTCTCAGAACAAAGTTTAAATTAAATTTCAATCAAAATTAAACATTATCTAGACGTCGGTGGCCGATTCTTTATCCAATCATGCCAGGGCGTACAATAACTTAGTCGCAGCGCAGGTGTGCTGTTGAAAATTTTCATCAAAATTGTCACGAATTTTCAGGTATACGATCCATTTAAATTCGCGCGTAATGGAAACTTCGGCTATTTAGTGGAAAAATTGAACTCGCGGTTTGCTGGTAATTACGCCACACATCATCTCGAGTGATGCGTAAAAGAGTGTGTTGTGTCGAACTTGAAACAAATGAGGGCAGACAAGTAAAAAAGTCAATCACGAAAAATTCATTTTCATTTATTTACGTCCCGTAATTTGTTGCTATTTGGAGTGCCGCATAAACGCATTCGGCAGTTTTAACGCCACCGAAAACAACGATTAACAAATGTTCAATGTTTTTCTTTCGGTCCCGTAATTTGGTGTTATTTGGAGTGCTGCATAAACGCATTCGGTAGTTTTAACACCGCCGAAAACAACGATTAACACACGTTCAATGTTTTTTTTTCGGTCCCGTAATTAGGCGTTATTTGGAGTGCCGCATAAACACACTCTGGCAGATTTAAAGCCGCCGAAAACGACGATTTAACAAACGTTCAATGTTTTTTTTTTCGCTAAATCGCTCTCTTTTTCCGAATCGCGTAAATCTGATTCGAATCGATCCGGAAAAGATGCGATTCGAATCGATCCGATTCGTAAATCCAAAAGTGGCATCCCTAGTTTTCATCATGTTTATTTTTTATTATACAAGATGTATTTGTGCAAATCAATTATGGTTTATTCATAACTACATTTTTTTTCATAAAAAGAACAGACACTTAGCTTAAATTTCAATTTTCTTATTTTTGAGTTTCGACGGTCAATTTCAGGCTTGTTTATCGTTATATCTGGTAACACTGGTTAGAGATATTATTGTTCAGTTGATTTTGAATCATTTTCCCGGCATT